CCTGGAGTCCACTTAAGCTCACACCAACTGCTTCAGTGACTCCATCCAGCCACCTCATCCTCTGCCATCCCCTTCTTCTTTTGCCATCTATTGTTCCCAGCATTAGGCTCTTCTCCACTCCTTCTCATTAGGTGGCTAAAGTATTTGAGTTTCATCTTCAGTATCTGGCCTTCTAAAGAGCAGTCAGGGTTGATCTCCTCTAGGACTGACTGGTTTGATCGCCTTGCGGTCCAAGGGACTCGCAGGAGCCTTGTCCAGCACCACAATTCAACGGCCTCAATTATTTGGCGCTCAGCCTTCCTTATGGTCCAGCTTTCACAGCCATATATTGCAATTGGGAAAACCATGGCCTTGACTATACGCACTTTTGTTGGCAGGGTGATGTCTCTGCTTTTAGTATGCTGTTTAGATTTGCCATAGCTTTCCTCCCCAGGAGCAAGCATCTTTTAATTTCTTGGCTACAGTCCCCGTCTGCGGTGATCTTGAAGCCCTGGAAAATAAAATCTGTCACTACCTCCATTTCTTCTCCATCTATTTGCCAGGAAGTGGCAAATAGACCAGATGCCATGATCTTAGTTTTCTTAACGTTGAGTTTCAAGCCAACTTTTGCACTCTCTTCCTTCACCCACATCAAGAGGCTCTCTAGTTCCTCTTCACTTTCTGCCATTAGAGTGGTATCATCTGCATATCTGAGGTTGTTGATATTTCTCCCAGCAATCTTAATTCCAACTGGTGATTCCATCTAGTCCCACCTTTCTCATGATGTGCTCTGGATATAAGTTAAATAAGCAGGGCGACAGTATACAGCCTTGCGGAACTCCTTTCTCAATTTTAAACCAATCAGTGGTTCCGTGTCCAGTTCTCACTGTTGCTTCTTGACCCGCGTATAGGTTTTTCAAGACAAAAATAAGATGGTCTGGTACTCCCATCTCTTTAAGAACTTGCCACAATTTGTTGTGATCCACACAATCATAGGCTTTAGCATAGTCAATGAAGCAGAAGTAGATGTTTTTCTGGAACTCCCTAGCTTTCTCCATGATCCAGCGTATGTTGGCAATTTGACCTCTAGTTCCTCTCCCTCTTCGAAATCCTGCCTGTACTTCTGGTTGTTCTTGGTCCACATACTGCTGGAGCCTAGCTTGTAGGATTTTGAGCATCACTTTGCTAGCATGTGAAATGAGTGCAATGGTGCGGTAGTTTGAACGTTCTTTGGCATTGCCCTTCTTCGGGATCGGAATGTAAACTGACCTTTTCCAATCCTGTGGCCACTGTTGAGTTTTCCAAATTTGCTGGCATATTGAGTGTAGCACTTTTACTGCATCGTCTTTTAAGATTTTGAATAGGTCAGCTGGAATACTGTCACCTCCACTAGCTTTGTTGTTGCTCAGACTTTCTAAGGCCCATTTGACTTCACATTCCAGGATGTCTGGCTTGAGGTCAGTGACCACCCCATCGTGGTTATCAGGGATGTTAAGCTCTTTCTTGTATAGTTCTTCTGTGTAATCTTGCCACCTCTTCTTAATCTCTTCTGCCTCTGTTATGGCCCTGCCATTTTGGTCCTTTATCATGCCCATCTTTGCATGAAACGTTCCCTTCGTATCTCCAATTTTCTTGAAGAGATCTCTGGTCCTCCCTGTTCTATTGTTTTCTTGTATTTCTTTGCACTGTTCATTTAAGAAGGCATTCTTACCTCTTCTAGCTATTCTCTGGAATTCTGCATTCAAGTGGGTGTATCTTTCTCTTTCTCCCTTGCCTTTCTCTTCCCTTCTTTCCTCAGCTATTTGTAAAGCTTCCTCGGACAGCCATTTTGCTTTCTTATATTTCTTTTTCTTTGGGAAGGTTTTAGTTGCTACCTCTTGTACAATGTTGTGAACCTCCATCCATAGTTCTTCAGGCACTCTGTCTATCAGATCTAATTCCTTAAATCTATTTGTCACCTCTACTGTATGTTCATCAGGGATATGATTTAGGTCATACCTGAGTGGCCTAGTGCTTTTCCCTACTTTCTTCAATTTAAGCCTAAATTTTGCAACGAGCAGCTCATGATCTGAGCCACAGTCAGCTCCTGGTCTAGTTTTTACTGACTGTACAGAGCTTCTCCATCTTTGGCTGCAGAGCACATAGTCAGTCTGATTTCTGTGTTGACCGCCTGGTGATGTTCATGTGTAGAGTCGTCTCTTGGGTTGTTGGAAAAGAGTGTTTGCTATGACCATTGTATTCTCTTGACAAAATTCTACCAGCCTGTGCCCTGCTTCATTTTGTACTCCAAGGCCAAACTTGCCTGTTATTCCAGTTATCTTTTGGCTTCCTACTTTAGCATTCCAATCCCCCATGATGATACGGACATCATTTTTGGTGTTAATTCTAGAAGGTGTTGTAGGCCTTCATAGAACCGGTCAACTTCAGCCTCTTCAGCACCAGTGGTTGGGGCATAGACTTGGACTATTGTGATGTCGAATGGTTTGCCTTGGATTCGAACTGAGATGATGCTGTCATTTTGGATATTATATCCCAGTACTGCCTTTCCTACTCTTTTATTGACTATGAAGGCTACTCCATTTCTTCTGAGGGATTCTTGCCCACAGTAGTATACCTGATGGTCATCTGAATTAAATTCACCCAATACTGTCCATTTTAGTTCACTGATTCCTAAGATGTCAATGTTCAGTCTTGTCATCTCCTGTTTGACCACATCCAGCTTGCTTTGATTCATGAACCTTACATTTTAGGTGCCTATGGAGTATAGATCTTTGCAGCATCGGACTCTCCTTTCACCACCAGATACATTGGCAATTGAGTGTCCTTTCGGCTTTGACCCAGTCGCTTCATTCTTGCTGGTGCTACTAGTACTAGCCCTCCGCTCTTCCCCAGTAGCATATTGGACACCTTTCGACTTGAGGGGCTCATCTTCTGGTGTCATATCTTTTTGCCTTTTGGTACTGTCCATGGGGTTTTCATGGCAAAGATACTGGAGTGGGTTGCCATTTCCTTCTCCAGTGGATCACGTTTTGTCAGAGCTCTCTGCTGTGACTTGTCTGTCTTGGGTGGCCCTGCACGGCATAGCTCATAGCTTCATTGAGCCACGCAAGCCCCTTCGCCACGACAAGGCAGTGATCCATGAAGGAGCACAGGACTTAATTTTGTGTAATTTTTTTACAGTGAATTTCAACTTGAAATATTGAGACTTGGAAAATAACAGTTTAACAAATACCAGTTTTTCTGGTGCAGTCAAACAATACGTTATTACAGTGTAATTCTGCACAGGAGCAAACAGAATTGCTGAGAGCCAGCCAACCCATGAAACAGGGTGAGGTATCTGCATGAGGTGGCAAAACTGGAGGAATGGCAAATTGTGCCACTTCTCTTGCCAGGCCCTCAGCCAAGGAAGTCCACTGGTGCATTAAAAGCAAGTGCTCTGAAGAGCCCTACCAGCAACTCTCCCACTGTGCTATTTTCTGCAGTTGTAGCCCTCTTATTGTGAGCCTCTGAACTGAAACCTCATGAAATGTTTGGCCATTTCACAAGGCTCTGTGAAGATCTAGTGAGAACTTCAGTGAAGTAGTGAAGTTAGTGGGATGCACAGTGGTGGGAAGAAGGGAAAGCAACAGGAAACAGAGGTTGCGGTGGTACAAATTCTGCTCTCTTCGGGTACAAGACAGCTTATAATGGGCCTACAGTTAGAGGCTGCAATTTAATATGTAATAAATAGCCCATTAACCAGTTATTTCACCTGCTCATCCATTTTAGGAATTACCATTGCAATATGAAGGAAACATATTCCTCTAACACTTTGCCACAGTATTTTATTGTAAACAGTGAATTGCTTTATGTACACAATTCTAAGAAGACTCCTTTCCTGTTATGTTTTACAAAACATCGTGCTCTGCTTTCTGTATAATCTCAACATAAACAATGCTTACATATTAGACAAACATTTTATTTAATAATGGAATATAAAAATATGTTAAGTGAATTTGTATGAAGATGGTTCTTGGCTTTCTTCCATATCCATGTTAATACAAAACTAGTTGGCCTTCATTTATACAAAATATGTCCGCCTTCAGTAGGAAGGTACAACACATAGGTTTTAGTGTTTTGCACGGCCGTCATTGAAATTAATGAAACACGTGCAGCTTCTTAGGAGGGCATGTGACTGCCTTGAACTTGGCATCAGGATTATGATGGAACTGATAGAAAAACCAAAGGTTTGAAGCAGATAGTTCCAGCTGAACAACTGAACTTCTAGTGTGACTTATAATGGTGGTTGCCAGTTTGTGCTTTTATAGTTTGTCAAACTCTGGGCCAATTTAGGTGATATGTTAACTGACTTTAAAAACCATTCAGTACAGTGGCTTTTAAGGCAGAAATACATAGATGCAGAAGGCTTTCTCCAGCCAGGGTGGATCACTAAGGATTTCTGTACATAGTTGCCTTCTCATTTAGGGTGATTTGTAAACAATGACCATTCTCTAGCTGAAATTAAAGTCCCTTAGGACCTGTCTGCCCAGCCATAGGAAAAGGCAGAGTCCCTACTGCACTTTGGGAAAAGCCTTCCAAGGACACAGCAAGGACTTTGTTTTTGGATGTCAGCACAGTCTTTTGCCACCCTTGCAGCCTGCATGGTTCATCCTGTGTCAGCTACAGTCTTGCACATGCAAGAGAGGCATATGCTGGGAGCACATTCCAGGGGCTCTCTTCCAGGGAGAAGAGTGAAGCGCCACCTTTGCTGGATGAATCCAGGGAGTGCTTCTGCTGCTGCTCCTCACAAGAAAGGGACAAACATTTAGATGGCCATGTTTTTGAAGATGAGGGGAAGCATAGAGGCAATCTTAGCTTCTGCTCTCCTCTCACACTTATTAGATGCCCGTAAGTTTGTGACTGAAGTGCTATAGGCAGCCACATAGGATTGTGCCGTCAAAAGTTCCACAATTCAGCTGGAGAGATTAAGCAGCTGAGTATTTGATTTTGGCTAGCACATATCTCCTTTTTTTTTTTTTTTAACTAAAAACTACACCTTCCCCGATGAGTATTTGAGAACGTTTGCATGATAGAAGTGCAATTTGTGAAAAAGTACGATATCTGCACAGAGAGAAAATCATATATCGGTAAGAGCAATTACATCAACAATTTAAGATTTCTAATTAACAGTTTCATGTGGAATAGCAGTGTCATGGTTTATTACTCTATTATTTATTAGAGTAATTAATAATTACCATTATTACTCTCAAGATAATTATACATTTATAAATAAAATCTAGGCAGTATATTCATTTCCCTCCTCTATAAGCATTGTTTCATCATTATATGGACTTTGATTGGTAGACCTGTGTATTGTATCTCTTGCTCCAGAAGAAACTCTCCTTTGGTAAAGAAACCAGAGAATTGCTGCAGCTACTGAAACAATTACTGTCGAAGTTATAACTAAGGCAGTTGTCCATGCTGTTTCACCTGAAATAACACCATGAATCCATGAAAAACACATAGTCCATATCGATACAGATGTCCATCTGCTGTTGCACTAATTTAGCACTTCTAATGTTAGCAGTTATTGGATCTTTACTTAGGCAACTTACTTTATGACCTTTTCTATAATATTTCAGTTCTAAAGCCTGCTACAGAAGACCAGCATGCAGTACTGTATCAATGTTCATAAACAGCTGAACATTCTTAAACTGTTTCATCTCACACAATGTGGGAAGTTGAGGGGGATGGAGAACTGTAAGGTCTGCAAATGTTATGACAGGTTATTCATGAGCCAAACATGATTACTTCTGTTTCATCATATTTTGACTTATGCATTACCAGGTCCAATACATGCTAGCCAAAAACTTGTTTTGTATAAAGCAGCAGAGAACCAATACCAAATCAGGGTGGTAGCTGGGTCAGCAAAAAAGCTGACAATAGAAAATGCTAGGAAAATGCTGTACTATATTTACCACTATCTTGTAGCAACAAAGTTGATTGGACCTGAAAGCACAGAATCTTTGATACACACAAAGCACAACAAATAGAGCTTTGGCTGTTGGGTGGTATGGAAATTAAATTATTTATTTATGAGATTTATATCCCACTTTGTTTCTTACGACAGCAACCCTGTGAAATAGGTTGGCCTGAGAGGCTGTGACTGGCCCAAAGTCATCCAGTTGGCTCCATGGCTGTGTGGGGGCTGGAACCCAGATTACTCAGTCTCTTAACCACTACACCACACTGGCTCTAAGCAGAGACTGTTAACATACCACTTGCATATCTAAACAGAGAACATGGGATCCTATCGAGATTTAGTCAAACCTAGAGTAGTGCCATTGAAATCATTGGTACTAAGTACCTCACCAAATTAATTCATATTGACTTCACTGAGTCTACTTTGGATATGGCTGCATCTGGAGGCAAACCATTCTAAGTGTGGATGCTGCAGTTTTCAGTTTCAGTTAGAACAGCTGTTCTTCATCATGGCCTCTGTGCTTCACACATATGGGTGCTGCACCTGCGCAGTGCCTATGGCTGGAAAGATTCAAAGCTTAACGGTTTTGGCGGGAACTCTGCATCCCCCCCACGGTATAAAAGAGCAGAGTGCCCCCCATTTCCTCAGTCTTCTTGTGACCACTGTTTGCTGTGCCTCGAGCCTTTTGTCTCACAGTTTGTACATGTTTATCCAGTTGCTATTATCTCTCTTAAACGTTACGATTCCAAGTTTTTCCCTCCCTGTTAGAAGTTTCTTCTCAATTTCCCCCTTTTCTCTGTTAAAAAAAGAACAAAAAACAAAACAATATTGTTCCTCTTTTCTCTTTACTTTGCTATCTTCTCTTTCTTCCTTGATGGTGCAGTGTGTGGCTTTTCGCAAGTGCTCTCAGTGCGGGTCCAAAATGTCACCTACTGATCTGCACGATCTGTGCCTTCTCTGTCTTGGAGAAGGGCACAGGACCGATAAATGTGGCCATTGTCAGGCTTTTAAGCAGGCGAGGAAAAATCGGGAGAATCGCCTACGCAAACTTTTGTGGGACCAAGCCCTGCTTCAATCAGACCAACTGGCAGGCAAATCTGCCCCTCCGTCCTCCTCTTCCACCATGCTTCTGCCCCGCCCATCGGCTGATGGTGCCCCTTTGCCAGAGGGTCAAAACTCCTCTGCATCTCCACAGAAGGAGAAGAGGAAGCATAGTGGATTGGACAAGTCCTCAGGCCGTAAGAAGCCTAAGACGGATAAGTCGGCCCGCAAGCCTAAAAAACTCGACCATTCCAGGTACCGTGACTTGGGTTCGTCTGCCCCATCGATCCCAATGGCTGCTTCAGTACCGACACCGACCAGACACTGCCTGGGTCTCCAAGATGGGTTGCACCTTCTGTCCAGTCTTCCCCTGAGCAACGGGACATTCCCTTGCTGGGATCAATCTCCGACGAAAAGATTCGGGACTCTCCTCCAATGGCTCGTTCACCTACCCCCCAACCATCACTCAAGCCTTCCCCGAGGGCTGCTCCTCAGCAGGTGTGATATCAGCAACGCGCCTCCATGCACCCCTCGGAAGAATGGGTGCAACCACCCCATAGGCCGTCTCATCGTGAGACATGGGATGATTATCCACCCTACGGTTACTACCCACCGGTGTGTGATCGTACCCTCTCTCCGGTACCGAGAGACGCCCCTTTGATTTTGAGGGCGGCTCAGTCCAGGCGTCCCTCTTTGCCTATCGACTCTTCTTCTAGCCTCCCGCCTCACTATGATTTGGACTCGGAGGACTCCGAAGTGGCGCCTACTTCACCAGACGCGGTGATCTCTACACAGGGTCCCAGCTCACTGGAGGAACCCTTTGGAGAACTGATGGTGAGGCTTACAAGGTCACTTGAGATCGAGGCCCAGCACCGCTTCAATCCCAATACCGACAAGTTCTACCACATTGTCAAGGGCGAACAGTCTGACCACCCTTCAAAATATCCTTCCGTTGCTTAGGAGAGAGGATTGGTTCGCTTCTCTGGATTTGAAAGATGCCTATTTTCACATTACCATTCACCTGTCCCACAGGCGTCTTCTCTGATTCACTGTCGGTTCTGAGTTCAACGTCCTTCCGTTTGGACTGGCTACTGCCCCCCGGGTTTTTACGAAATGTATGGCTCCGGTGTGTGCGCATCTTCGGCTCCAAGGCATTCAAGTGTACCCCTACCTGGATGACTGGCTGATCTTCTCCCCATCTAAGGAAGGTCTTCGGCCATCATTTCAGACTATTTGTATCCTCTTGGACAATTTGGGTCTATGCATTAATCATGAGAAATCGTGCCTTATTCCTTCACAGATCATCGACTTCATTGGAGCTCGTCTCGATTCCACGCTGATGAGAGCCTTTCTTCCACAAAGTCGACAAGACAATCTGTGCTCATCGATCTGTCGAATCCACATGGACAGAGCTGTTCCAGTACTCTCAGTGCAGAAACTTCTCGGTCACATGGCCTCTACAGTCTCCACAGTTTCCCACACCAAACAACGGATGAGACCACTCCAGTTGTGGTTCAACTGAATGTTTCAACCCCAACGAGACTCAACCCCTCACTGTCTCCTCCGCCTTCCAACCTCCGTCCTCCAGTCTCTATGCGGCACAATTTGTCCGGAGGCGACCCATTTCGTCTGCCTCACCTGACCTTGACTTTGTTTACCAATGCCTCCCTTACCGGGTGGGGAGCCCTATGTGCCAGTCTCCGTACACAGGGCACCTGGGACCATCAGGAGACCACCAGACACATCAATTACCTCAAACTCCTGGTGGTCTTCAAAGCCCTTTGATCATTCGAGGACACTTTCCGGCAGCACGTTGTGCAAATTGCCTCCGACAACATTGTCGCTGTATTCTATATAAACAAACAAGGTGGGACAAAGTCGGCCCCCGTGGCCCGCCTGGCAATGCAGCTGTGGGACTGGTGCATCTCCAGGGAGATCACCCTCCTCGCTGTTCACCTGGCTGGTACCGACAACGAGGAGGCCGACGCCTTCAATGGGCAGATGTCGACCCACGAATGGGAACTGGATTGTCTGACCTGCCATCGCCTCTTCCGGACTTGGGGTTCTCTGCACATAGACCTGTTTGCCACTCACACGAACAAGGTGTGCAAGATGTTCTGCTTTCATGCCGGCATCAGTCCGGGATCGACAGGGGATGTACTCATGATCCCTTGGTCCAACATGTTCTTTTATGCGTTTCCCCCAATCCCACTCATAATGAGGGTCCTAGCCAAGATTGTCTATGATGGTGCCACGGGGATCCTGATCACCCCCTGGTGGCCCTGTCAACCGTGGTTCCCTACTCTTCTCCGTCTATCTGGCAGCACCTTTCTCCGCCTGCCTCTCATACTTCATCTAATAACTCAACAGTACAGAGCTGTTCGTCACCCAGATCTTCCCTCACTCAGCCTGACAGCCTGGCACATTCGATGAACCATGGGGTCCCTTTGGTACCAGCGGATTTGGGGACTCCTACACTTGTCCAACACCGTCCCGAGACAGCCTCTTCTTCCCCGATACCGATAGACTTCTCATCGAATCCAAGTGCTCTCCATCCCGATACTCAATTCATTCTCCAGTCTGCCCTAAGACCTGCAACTCACCGATCTTATGTGGCTAAATGGAAGAGCTTCACATCCTTTGCTGAATGCAACAGTTTTACCACTTCTTCAGCCTCTGTTGAAAATATCCTTCAATTTCTCTTATCATTCCATCAATCGGGACTTCAGCCATTGTCTATTAAAGTTTATATAGCTGCAATTTCCCACTACTGCGGACAGGTGCGGGGTTCTTCGGTTTTTTCTCATACCCTCATACGTCGATTCCTCAAGGGTTTACAGAACCTCCAACCACCACTTCGCCCAGCTATCCCTACTTGGAGCCTCTCGGTTGTTCTTCAGGCACTCACCTGTACTCCTTTCGAGCCCCTGGCAACTACTGACTTACGCCTCCTATCTTGGAAGACTGCCTTTCTCGTTGCAGTCACGTCTGACCGAAGGGCTAGTGAACTCTGTGCACTTTAGATAGATCCTCCTTACCTTAACTTCCATAAGGAGAAAGTCATTCTCTGTACTGATCCGACATTCTTACCCAAGGTTCTGTCTCCTTTTCACATTAACCAGGACATCGTCTTACCAGCCTTTTTTCCTACGCCTGCTACACAAATAGAACGGTCATTACATTCTCTCGACATTCGTTGCTGCCTTGCCTTTTACAGGTCTCGCACGGAGTCCTTCCGTAAATCTAACCGCCTCTTTGTTAAATACTCAGACTATGATAAGGGCTCCCCTGTTGGTTCACAGAGACTTTCAAAGTGGATTGTACAGACCATCGAGCTAGCGTGTCAGCTCGCCAAGCTTGACATACCTGTCATGCCCAGAGGGCATTTTATGAGGGTGGAAGCTGCTTCCTCTGCCTTTGCCGCTGGCATTCTGATCCAGGACATTTGCAAGGCTGCCACTTGGACGATTCCTTGCACCTTTGCCAGGCATTACTGTCTTGATGTGCATGCCAGACACAATTGCTCCTTTGGCTGGACAATCCTTTCTTCTGTTCTTCAATGATGACACCGCCTGCCTCCAGGTCTAGTAAGCTTGCTAATCACCCATATGTGTGATGCACAGAGGCCACGACAAAGAAAGGCAGGTTGCTCACCTGTAACTGTCGTTCTTCGAGTGGCCATCTGTGCATTCACACAACGCACCCGCCGGCCCTACTCGGTGTCGGTGAATGGGCTTATATGGTACCATTTCTCTTTGATAACGGTTTCATTGGTAATTTTTTCTCTCCGGTTCAGCAGTTCCCTGCAATATCTCTTGCTCCCACGAGGGGGCAAACAATCGGTCTTCAGTAGACTGAGGAAATGGCCGGCACTCTGCTCTTTTATACCGGGGGGATGAGGAGTTCCCGCCAAAACCGTTAAGCTTTGAATCTTTCCCGCCATAGGCACTGCGCAGGCACAGCACTCATGTGTGTGAATGCACAGATGGCCACTCGAAGAATGACAGTTACAGGTGAGCAACCTGCCTTTCTCAGTTAGGAAAAAGCAGTATCTAATCACAGTTTGACTACTGGACAACATGAAAAAAGAAGAGAGAGAGACTCTACTCACCCAGTAAATATTTCCTTTGATTAAAAACTACAAGCATACATGTAAAAGAAAATAAAAAGGCACTGATGAGTACTATTTTTTAAAGAAGAGTACATTCTTCAGATTATCATGCAGCTGGATTCAGGTTTGCATTCACATTCTAGGACTAATAGGTACACATTATAACATGCAGCTTGGACTGTGTTGGCCTGTTTATGATCTGGACAATGAATTGTATTTTGCAATTTATTTTTCTGTATACTTTCTAGCAGTACAGATAATATCCCATATTAGCTTTTGCTGCAATGAATTATAAATTGATAATACACCAAATTCTACAAATCCTTATTTTGAATAGTGTACTCTTGAGTGTCTGAAGAACACACCTTTTCAGGCAAGAAACTTTCCCATTCACCTTAGTTTGAAAAGCAGTTATGCACACACAAAACAGATATGATGCTACCCTTGCATTGAAGTATACACTAATGATTTGCATTAAGTAAATACAGAGCACCTGTCTGTATAAGTCTTTGAAAACCAATAAAACCTGCATTCATATGGGGTGTTACAGTGTGCACTGTATCCTTTATCATATTGGAATTATTAATCCAATTAAATTGTTTGGGATGAAAGCCAGTGGCTTTCCAAAAGAGTCTTTCATGCCTGTCTTCATGGTATCTACAGTGCTGGAAGTCATGTGCTCTCTAAGAACTTCTCTCGAAAAGCTTGAAATATGTAGGTGCTTTTATGGATTGCCCAATCCTGCAAGCCTTCATACTCTTTGACATGAAGGGAATATACTGCAGTTCTTTCCCATGGGGGCTGGGAGGGGAAGGGATCCCACTTGAAAGTTCATAGGAAGGCCTGGTGCCTCAGCAAATGGAATCCACCCCCTGCAAAAAAAATCCCACGGTCTTGGGATGTACTCCTATGGACTGTAGGATGGCTCGCTAAATAAATAAAAAATGGATGTGAATACATACTCTAGCTGAACAACTGCAAGTAGGACATGCATCTTTCACTTTTAGCATATTTAGAAGAAAGAATTAGTTGGATCCAGAGTTTCCATTCCAGTGATGGAGTGTCCCAAGTGGAGTGCTGCTTGGGATGCTGCTGCTAGCAGAAAAGCAGGGGAGGCGTTCTACGCTGGTTCCCTCTCTATCTGCAGCCTCCATTTCCACCTACCGCACTTTTCTTGGAGATCTAGACCAACCCCCCAACAAATTTTCAGGAAACTGCAGGGGGAAGGGGAGAATTGTTCCTCCTCCCCAATTACTTCCCAATTCCAGCCACTCAGTGGAAGGTTCCACCAAAGAATCTTCCACTGAGGGGATCCTTTTATGTTTTCCCTGGTTCTGACCCATTGTGTCTATCATAGTACTAACTCCTTCCAAGACATATCCTCAACTCCTTATAAAATCTAGCCATGTATTGTGTGAGACAGAAACCTTTTTCAGGGTGTCAGTAAAGTAACATACATACCAGTAGCTTCACACAGAATTTCAGTCAGCGGTAGCTGCTCACAGCTTGTCTTCTTCCATCCCCCTGAGCTAGTGTGCATAGTGGCGCAAGTGTTGAGGAGCTCTGTGTTGCTTTCCTCCTCCATCCAGTTTGTAAAACTAACTTCTGAATCATCGAACCATCTGAAATCATCATCTGCAATGAAGTAAAGTGGAAAAAAGGTAAGAATTTTTTGTTTTTCTGAAGGACAGATGAATTAAAAAAAAACTGCTTGGGATGCTATACATCCCCTGTCCTCAACATTGCAAAGAAGCTTCTGGCACCTTAAATAGAAATTGTCAGGGGTAGGCAACATACAGCCTGTGCTCTACATGTGACCCCATTATCCTGGCTGGAGTGAAATAAATCTGGAAGACAACAGAGAACTGCATGGGTCAGAACTGCTTGTTTGCAAGTTAAATGTGACTGTTTCAGTGATCTGTACTTGCTGTGGACACCTGCAAAGGTCAGTGTTTCCAAACAAGCTAAATTTAATCCTTGTAGTTCTGTGGAGTAGCTTGCCACTTTTTTAATTGCCAGGGTGGGGGGATTTTTCCAGAAACAGTCCACAGATCTCTCACAGTTGCTCATCCCATTCTACAAAATATGCCCCAATGAGCACAGAGGCACCTACTGTTTGAGTACATGCTTAAGCTTGTATTAATGTGGCTTTAGTGTGCTATAATTTTTTGTCGACTCAAGTCTTTATCAAAAGCATTGTGTGTTCTCGGTTGGATAACACCTCAGTTACAGACCCATGCACTGGCTAATAGATAATAAGATCTTGATACGAGGGAGGCAAACTGACTACAAGAACAATATGCACCCGAAGTGACTGTCCTGGGCATCATCACCAAATGGCTGCTATGGGAGCATAGCAAAGGGCAAGAGACCTGTCCTGAATCTAAGGCTGAAGTTGGGTCTGAAGTCCAACAAACAAAAACCCTCAGTTTTCAGCACCAACACAAGGCTATTTCACAACAGTCGCAGTGACCAGAAGGAAAAGATTAAAACAGTGGGAGGGACAGGGTGCCTTGGTGGGCCTCAGGAAAGGAAAGCAGGGGACACTGGTGCCTGTAGGCACCAAACTGCCTCTCCACATCTGAGTCTTTCCAGCTATTGGGCTGCCATTCCATTTCACTTTCCTTCCCAGTTAGTTCCATGCCTGGGACTATGTAGCATCCTTTGTATTTCCTTTGTTTGATGACACTGCAATTCTCAGGGATGACTTTCGGTAAACCGCACTGGCACCTGTTCCCAAGCTCTGGGCAAGAATAAGTCCTTACAGAAAAAGAGCCTACCTTGGTCTTTTCTTACATTTGGGGATATTGAAAGTAGTTATTTTGATGTGAGTTTTTCCTTGAAGACACTAGAGGAGCCCTAATGGAGGTAAGTTCCCCAACAAAAAATAGGGCTATGTCAGATCAGTTCACCATCAAGCCTTGCGTCACTCACCATCTGTGTCAAAAAACATGCCCAACGATATATATTCAGGTCCATGCCAATGGGAACAGAAACTGTTTTTGATGAAAGTATTCTCCTCTTTGTTATTTATGCTGATAATATCTGCTCCTGATGCTGCATTTGAAAAACACGCAAATCAAAGTCAAATCTCAGTTTTAAAACGAGAACTCAAACAGACCTCAGACTATGCCTTTAATCAGGAATGACCAGAATCCAACATAGCCACTGCAATCCCACTGATTGCCTTACACTAATGGGATCCACTGGTTGTGCAACAGGGAATTAGGAACTCTGAAAACAAGTGGAAACGTATGTTTCTGCACTGGATCAGGTCAGTGGGACATCCTGCTATGAGTTACTGAAATGATTTACACCATTCCAGAATTAAGTGTTTTAGATCATTTTGGGTTGCTTTAACAACTGCTTAGCTGCTCATTGTGCTTAAGATGGTACCCTCTGGCAGTCAGGCAAAACTGGACACTGCCCTCTGTTTAAGTACTGTCTCACAAAGTTGTGTTCCTTCTCATCTGTCTTTTATAAAAGCATAATACGTCACAGTTTTGTACCATTCAGTCCTGTAAGCATCAGTGGGAAGTGCAAGCACAATTTAACAGCTGTCAAGTTAATCTTTGACAGCTGATTCTTAACTAATTTTCTTGGAAGTATATCCCACTAGAACTACCAGATACTGGGGGATTTTAAGAGCTGACTTCTAAACAGACCTCACTGATGCAGTACAACAACCCATGAGAGATACTTTGGTATAGCCCCATGACAGCTTGTTTTTCAAGTAAGTCACCATGAAAACCCATGGACTATTCTAGGTGTCATTTTACTCAAGGTGGTTGTCATGTCAGATGACCAGTTCCTCCATGGGTGAAGTCCAACAGCAAGGGAGTTGTGCGACAAGAGTGACAAAACCCCCTTGCTGTCTTTAAAAGTGCTCTAGTGGTGTTGTGCAGTGGCTGGCACCGGTTTACTGCCCTCCCCACACCATGTTGGGGAGCTGTTCTGGCTCACTACAACTCTCTTCCACCTTTTTACTCCCACTGCATCCAGATTAGTTTTTACAGATCAAGAAGTGGTGTGACAACCCAAATAAGCTCAAACAAGTGTATGTTGGGTACTCTGTAGGTTGTTCCTGCAGTTTATTGCCAAGGTTGATTGGTGTGGCATGCAAACCTGCCCAAGAGTTGGGTAACCACACTGGGCTAGGTCAGTGGTTTTTTAGTCCATGTTCCTGGGTATCTCTGGCACAGTTAAAGCTTCTTAAGGGATTGCTTTAAACCACCACGTATGTATGAAGAGAAGTTTGCTTGAAAGATAGTTTGCCTGCCCAGTAGTCATCTCTCTTTCTCTGCAGTCTGCAGGAGTGTGTTGGTTCTCTTGCAGCATGTGGGGTGCTAAGACACAGCAGCTAAGGCACACATTCAAATATGCTGGAGTCATCTGCAACAGACTGCAACTCTTCTGTGGCGGACAAGTCCATGTGGAAAGCATTCTTCAAAGTAAAATGTTTTAGAAACACTTGAGCTGACAATGACACTGCAATTGCTCTCCTCTCACCCGCAACTGGATATGCCAGAGGGCACAGTGAAAGGCTTGTTGAAATTCTGTTACCTTGAAAGATCTGCCAACAGCCTGCTAGATTGTTATGAACACAAGACTGGCTGGACTGAATCGGAATGGAATGTGGGATGGAAGGGGAAAAGGTTCCATCTTAGCCTTTGCCTCTGACTGCAAAATGCTTAAATCATCTCTGCTAATCTGTATCACACTTTCTGCCAGTTTTCCTCAATCTTGGGTCTTTCAGAAGTTTTGAACCCATTTTGATAGGCCCCAGGCAGCATTCCCACATATGCTAGGAATAGTCATTCAAAATATCTGAAAGCACCAGGTTCAGGGATGCTGGTCTAAGATCTATAATTACCCTCATATTTGGCCAAATCCCAAAATGATTTGGGCTGATTCAGAAACATTCAGGAAATGTTCAAATAACAGAGAGCCCTCCCCCACTGCTGTAAGACCTGAACTCTCCTGAAGATTGATTAGCACATAGAAAGGACACTGCTGTAGACAATATGCCTGCAAAATTGATACATTTGTCCCCAAGCTCTCCAAATAAGGGAGACAGAGCTAAGCACAAGAGCTCTAGCTTCCAATGATAATAAATGGTTTCACCAGAGCTTTCCACTCAGTGTTTTGGGGAAGGGATGCTGAAGTCATCTATCATAGGGCTGTTCCTGTGCTCAGTACTCTTTGCTCGTTCTCTTTCCCAGGAGCAGGAACATGAGAGGAGTTTTGGAGGACCTGTAACAGTAGATGCTTCCCTGGAAAATGCTGGATGTTCAGGACCTTCAGCCTCTCTTCATCCATCACCCATTTGTCCTACCACACTTTGTGCCTTTGGTGCCAACTGACTAGAAATAAAAATGCCTTTAGAGCACAGTTTGTGCATGTCTGAACTGAAAAAGTCCTATAGTCCACTGGCTGGCTGGGGAAGACTGAAACTTGTCAAACTTGTCCAAATATGCATGGGATTATGCCCTTTCACTTTATTTTAATCATCATAATCCTTTTGACTGGTGATACCTCTGTGGTGCATTTTTCATACAAATTCTCCAAAAAATGCACACAGCCAGAAGGGAAACTGAATAACTCTCCCCCACAAAAAATGGAATAAACTCTCTTTGATAAAGACCATTACACATTTCTTAAATTTGTCAGGTTTCTTAACTAACTTCAGGGCTGCTTTTATGGAATATGCCAATTTCATGGCAATGTCCCACAAAAAAATGAATGGGAATATGTTCATCTTTGGAGGGAGAACATCAGATCAATAAAGGTTGCTCTTGCTCAACTCCCTGAACCTCTCTGTCTGAAATGTGGCAGAAGAGGACTGAGAGGGTTAGAGAAATATAATCCAGTTCTGGCAAGAAATTGAAAAAGGTACTGGAAATTCAATTTTAAAAGAACTCAAACTTTAAAGAAAACTATCAGAAAAATACTGGATCTATTTGTCTGAAATGTGGCATGCACCATCCCTTCACAAAGGGATAATGTGCTGACAATACTGCCAAAAAGAAAAGGAATTACAGCCACTGAGCTGTTCTCCAAATCAGGATCTGAACTGAATGTTGACACTGGTGCAAATCCCTATGATTATCAGAGTTTTCAAAGGTACAAATAAACTGCAAATGCTAAATGCACTTTTCCCCACATATCATAAGTGAATAAAAAATGGGCAGGTTGTGACCCGAGAGAGATCAGCTGCATTACCATTGCCTCTGCAGTATTCCCTGGCATCTTCAATGCTGCGTGTCTCCAATGGTCCTGGAAGCAAAGCATAGCAGCTCCTTTCGAATAAAATCCAAGCCAAAGAAGGACATGCTATGCCAGGAAGAGAACAATCACCATCAGTGCTACTGTGCACTCATTTCTATAGACAGTTCTGTTTATATAGCCACCCCAAATGCTAATATCCCAGGCCATTTGCCAAGTAACATAAAACAAAGTGCAGTTGGTACCTCAGGCATGTATTTTAAGACAGTAGCAATCAACATGCATAACCCTGCAAAAGTTGACCATCAAGACCCATTCAAAATCAACAGGACCAGAGATTAAACTTGAAGATGTGTGTTTTCTATGTCTAAGAGCAAAACTAGATCTTCAATCACATTCTTCTGCAATGGTGCAGATAGGGCAGGGAGAGATATTAAATGAAAAAAATGCCACTACAAAAAACATTAAGCAGCCTTTTGCCAGCACCATAGTCTCGATCCATATGAGTTCTCTTGAAGCTTTTATTTTTAAAATTGATAGTGCAATCATGGATCTTCACTGCAATATTTAAGTAGTGCTCTTTACTTTAGCCAAGGTGGCCTCTAGATAATGCCCAAACTGTATTACACTGCAGTTACATGGGTATATGTTTTTCCTTCCGCAAACACACCTATATCTGGATGCCAATGGGATTTCATCTCCCACAAGTGTCTGCAGCATTTGGGAGCCAAATGCTAGCTAACTCATTGTTTTAATGCATCCTCCCCCAACCCAGGTCTTTCCTTGACCACTGAGTCGCTGTGGATGGCAGCTGTAGTCCAGAACATCTGGAGGGACCCAGCTTGGGGAAAGCTTGTTTAATACAAGCTTGGATCTTTATATGATTCTATCTTGTGTGCTTCCCAGTTTCCACTGGTGCTCGCTAACCTGAAGAATAGTCTGGTTTGCATTATCTGCTGATGGCCTTGCAAGCAGTTGTTGATCCAAGGGGCTCTCTTGAAAAGGCACATTGCAATCTAGTTTCTTTATATTGTTCCTTTTTTTTCCTGTTAACTTTCTAGAAGAGAAACAAATGGATCCCCCTAGCAATTTTCACTCTAACTAAAGCAATTTCTGTTAAATTCAATCACACTTGTAAATTACACTTAGTTTTAATAGGTTAAGAACAGTCTTCTGTATACAATAAAGTCTTCTATGTAAATAGTTCATCATAGTTCTAGCATTTTGGACCTCAGCTGCTCTAGCAAAAGGTCACTTTTCATTACTAAAACTGTTATAATATCCTTAAATCTCTGAATTGGCTTCTTATTGATTCTTATGTCAACTTCAAACTCTTTATCTTAACATCAAAAAATTAAGTTATACATTTAAAATGTGCTAGTGGACAAGTGATTTTTCTCCCTTTACTCAAAAGTAAAGCTGTACTATTAGGCCGGGTGAGACACTGTACCTTAGGCAACAGATTTTGCAGTACTGTTAGAGGGCAGCAAATGGCCAATATTTCATATACATTTTTACCATAGGGGCATAACTACTGGATTTTGTCTAACAATATCTTGGGGTGTTTCTGCTGAACTTTTGTCAAGTGGCGCATTTTATAGCCTATAGGCTTTTCAGACAGAGCTCCCCCTGCTGTTTGGATTTGGAGATAGCATCAGTCAGCTCAGAATCACGCCGCACCCCTGCTAACCTGGGACTGCCTTTCCAGCAAAATGGATACTGGGTGAGCATGGCTTCCGAGCACTTACTGTCTGTGCCAAGGATTCTGATCTTGGCTGAGCCATGTGTATCTTAAAATGCCTCGAGAAATAAAATTTTAAGAAGACTCACTACACCGTTTCCTTAAAAGATTCATATTAAATCACCAGTTTAGATCTTTCATCTTCCCTGTTCTCTTGATATCCGGATTACTCAGTGTGAAGACAGACATATACACTAGAAATAGAAATGGTCCCGAGCAAATATGATTTACAGAAACTAACAGCCAACAGACATGTCAGCTAGGAACAGAATAAAGCAGTCCTAATTCCTCATAACTTACAAGAACTGAAAGTGCTTTGGAAAACCAGTAACAGCTTTGCACTCTAAAGGAAATTTCAGCTTACTTTAAGAGAATTGCTTGTTCCTCTTCCAAACCACAATGAATAGTTTAGAGGAAAGTAAGCAGTAAATGTTTGTTTTTTCTTCTCCAAGATGAATACCATATGTTTTAGGAACATTGTAACAAAATAATATTCTTTAAATCAGTTCTAAGTTCACTTCTACTGTGGGAACAATAACCAATAGAAGACACTCTTCTTTATGTCAAGATACGAGTTACTTTTTCATGTTGTAAATAAGCCAGATAAGCATTTGACTATGTAGAATTAAGATTGTTTGCCTTACTGACACATTGCATCTGGAGCCTGAACGAAACAGGCCCAGTGCCACCCAGGGAGGGTGATTTCTACGCATCATCTCAGCTAAGGCAGTCTTTGGAGTTCCACACTGACTTCCAGATGAAACAGGCCATGACTAAGAGTTCTGGGAGGAAGGTTTAGTTTGCTGCTGCAAACTTCCATATTGATAGGTCACTGCTGGCTTACCAGAAACCAAATCCCATATGTGCCAGCACAACTTCACAGCTATAAGCAGAGGCCACTGGGCCATCACATCCTGCAGTTTCCACAGGCTGATGTGGGTACAAGAATAACTCCCCAAAGTCCATCAGGTCTCCATTAAAGAGTCTTATCTGGATCCGGGATATTTTGTCTATAAATGGAAGGGCTCAGCTCAAACTTGAACTTTACTTCACCCAATTTGACAGTTTCCCTCCCTCCTCCACCCAGCTCACCCCATCCAGCTAGGCTCTTCAACCTCTGTGTAGCATATCCAGGGGCTGGAGCACTTGTTATTGGGAGGAGTGTGTGCCAAAGTCTGCTTTCATCCACTTCCTCGCATACACCTAAATCTGTATCTATTCCTCCTTCTATAAATAACTGGATAAGGACGAATGCCCTACTCTGATCAAATCAGAATGAAACACTGTGGCCTGTGCATTGGGCTTGATTTCTCAGTTCTTGCCACAGCAAAGGATGCTTCCTTTGAAGGAGCTCCCATACTGCTGGCTAAAGACTGGAATGAGCCAAGGGCTTTCCAATTTTACTAAAAGACAGCTATGAGGTTTCCTTTCCATTAGGAGAGTCTCTATAGTAATAGATGCTGCTAGGTAGGTTGAGATATGATGACTTCGTCCTTGCTACTTAGCAAAAGGTATCAAAGGACAAAGGAACCCGGAGGACTACATAAAAAATAGACCCGACAGCTGTTGCCAGAGTGTTCGATCAAAGTAACTATTTCACACTTTATACACACATGCCCCCATTCAGGAGAAATCTACTGTGTGCATGGAACATGTGAATCTGTTTCTTCTGCTGCACAACCTGGGAAAGTCAGCATAAGGAACTGATCTGAGCAGTGGTGCTATTAGGGGCAGAGTCCAGGGCTTTGATTAGCAGAATGAGCAGACGGAATCATGCAAACAGGATTATACTGTCCCTTGAACATGCTCATAGGGTGAGAGATTGGGTCTTAAGGACCAAAGACTCCTACTTTAGTATGCTCATGCGTTAGCATTAGAGCTGGAAATTAGCATGGACTTTATGAAATATGTCTCAATGCTCTGTTAAGGGTTTCTTTTCAGGCCCTCTGTCTTTGCATCAACAGCAGTATACCAGTCAGGTGGGTAAAAAAAAAATCTTTCCAGAATAATGCAACTTTCTCATCTTGCTACAGAGAAAACAGGAAATTAATTTGTCCATTATCTTATTTGCTTCCTGTGATGATCAAATCCCCAAAATATGAGGTAGTGTGCTATATTTTAGCACATACGAGTTCATCTTTACAAACCGCTTGGCTTCATTCAGTTCTCAGCAGATAAACTAAAGTGAATGGAGTGAATGGGAATCATTCTGAAATAAGTTTCCAAAGAGACTGAGAAGCAGGTTTCTAAAATTTAAAAAAAAAACCCTCTTCTAATGACTTCTAATGCATTGTAAGTCATTTGATGTCTAAATATGCACCCTTCCCTTTTATATTGGTCTTTATCCCACAAAGACAGAAACCACTTTGGAATAAAATTAAAAGACTCCTATACCCTAATTGAATTCCTTATGCAAATGAAAGATGTTGCAAAAGCAGGACTGCAGCTCAACATTAAAAAAAACAAAAATCACGAGTATGGAAGAATGACACAATTTTAAAGTCAGCAGTGAAGAAATTGAAATTGTAAAAGACTTTGCTACCTTGGCTCAATTGCCAATTCAAAGGGAGACTGAAGCCAAGAAATTAGAACAACACTGAGATTTGGAAGACCAGCAATGGAAGAATTAGACAGAATTATACAGTGTTAAGGATGGTTTCACTGAAGACTAAGGCCAAGATAACCACACTGTTGTACTCCTAATCATTATGTAAGGGCATGAAAGCTGCTGGACTGTGAAGAAAGCCAACAGGAAAACAAGTCATGTGTTTGAAACACGGTGCTGGAAGAGAGCTGTGCAAATTTGCTGTACCAACTGAAAGACAAACAAGTGGGTCCTAGAGCAAATTGAGCCAGAACATTCCCCAGAAGCAAACATGATGACACTGAAGCTGTTGTACTTTGGGCACCTCGTGAAAAGGCAAGACTCACTGGAAAAGATAATAAGGCTTGGGAAAGTTGAACACACAAGAGGAGGAAGAGCAAGGCCAACTAGTAGTCCATCTCATCCCAACCCTGGGTTTACAAAAGCGGAGCAGTGCTGTGCAGAACAGGACAATTTGGAAGACATTCGTTCATAGGGTCACCATAAGTTGGTGATGACTTGATGGCATGTAACAAAAGCAGCAGCCTATACCCTTAGCAACTGAAACATTCTGTGCTCCTAGTAAAATCACACCAGCAAATCTTAGGAGGAAAAAACACACTAAGCACTGAAATTACCCATTTTTTTCCCTTTAGTTTTTGATCCCACGTCACTTCCTTTATAATTGTTGTTTTATAAGCTATTATTTTTTTCTTAATGGGAAAGGTAACAGCACTCAGGCCTGTACAACAGTTATGGTCCTCCAGTTGTTGTTGCTGAAAATAAGTCTGTACATGCTTCAAGTCACTCACCCGTCATTTCCATCTCCCATGCTTGCTTCCCCCTCCCCCCCCAAAAAACCTAGCAGTGCAATTGCACCTTTCATAGCTGCAAGAGACAGAAATTAAGCAAGCAAGCAGACCTCCTGCCCTTGCAGCTGCTTCCAGAGGAGTTGGGTGCAGTTAAAAGCCATAGCAGTTCACAGGAAAAACATATAGATGTTCAATTGCGAGTCTAAGGCCAATTGTTGTTACAATACCCATCAAGCTGTCTCTGACTTATGGCAACCCTATGAATGAAGTCCTCCAGAATATCTTCTCCTTGAGAGCCCTGCTCAGCTCTTTCACATTCAAGGCTGTGGCTTCCTTTATGGAATAGGTTCACTGCACAGTAGGGCTTCCTCTTCTTGAGCCTTCCTCATGATTAACATGTCAAATGAGTCTTGCCTTCACTTGTCATGTCCAAAACAGGACAGGCTGGGTTTCCTCAGTTTCACTTCCTGAGAAAGTTCTGGCTTGATTTGATCTAGGACCCACTGGTACAATTTCTTTCGATCCAGGGTATTCACGGGCTATTCTAAGGCCACGCTCTATGAAAATGGCTTCCATGCAGACACCTACAGGTTTGCACTGTAAGTCTGTAATCCGATACACAATTATCTGCACCTAAGTCCACTGACGCCAATGGGACTTCTAAGCAGATATGAATAGGTTTCCACTGTACTCTTGGCGGCTAAGGGCAGATTCTAAGGAATCGCTCTGGTTCAAATTAAGGCTTCAGTCCTAACAATGTCACGTGGGAATGACCCTTGCTGCAATTAACAAGCATGCTTGTGAGTAAGCATTCATTTATTTATCTATCGATCTCGAAATGGCGAGATAATGTATTTTTATCGCACCCTTTCCCCACCGTGGCCAGCACAACCCATCGCTTCCAGGGGAGGCAGGCTGGGCTGAGAGAGACGCCTGCCGAAGACGCTGCGCCCAGCTCTCGCTCTCGCTCGCCCTCCCCGGGATCGCGCCGCAGCCGCTCCGCGTGCACGGCCGCCCGCGGGCCTCCTGAGCAGCGCGGAGCGCCTCTCCCAGCAGAATGGGGGGCACTGAGTGGCCCGCGACCCCACCCCCTTCCCTGGCGCGACCAGGCCCGAGGCGGCCTTGCTTCTCGGGAGCCGCCGCGATCGGCAGCTGGGCAGAGGGCGGCGGGGCGCCGCCTTACCGTCCGCTCCGTGGCTCGGCGCTGCGGCTGCCAGCAGAAGTCCGCTCAGGAGGCAAGAGCGAGCTGCCAGCAAGGGGGCGCCCATGACCCAAGCAGCGCAGTGCGGCCGCCGCTCGCTCCCCGAATGCTGGCCCGCCAAGGCCGAATAGGCGTCACCCCGGCCTGGTGGGCGAGCCCTGGCCATTGCTCCGGCAGGCGCGAAGGGGAAGAGCGGCGGGCCCAGCAGCCGCCTCGCGGGCGGCATTCTTCCCTTGGTCAGACATGCATTACTTCGACTGCGGATCTAGCTTTCCGTTTTATTCTTGCTGCTTGGGAGTAGCTGTAGGGGCGCTGATTCAGATCAGGCTCGTGGGGTGCGAGTACTAGTGTTTTTGAAATCCGAATTAGGCGCCCTGCACTTAACCTAGAGAGAAAATTAAAGAACAGAAAAAGGCTTCTCTGCTGGACAGAGTTAATGTTTTATGTGCTTTGGCCCGCTTTCTTAGTGCAGAGAAAGATCAGGAAGCACTCCGGTGCAGGCTGACGCTATTCATTAAGCAGCCTCTTAGGGCACCACGTTTTCCTGATGGAGCTCTTGAAGTACGTAAAAATTCAACTGGCACAGCTTCTCCTGGCATGGGCTATGCTTATACACCTGGTGCCCGGCACAGCAGTTCGAAGGTACACAGGGTTTTGCCAGATGAGCTGGAATTCCTCGCTCCTTTTGTTGAAAGTTGAAATAGCAGATGATAACATTTAAGCGCTTTTAGAGGGATTACTCGGCTGTACTTCACTCAAGCACTCATTTGACTATGATGCTGGTCTGTGGAAAGACCCTATCCTGGTCTTGGGGATTTCTGTGTAACCATCCCTGTTCCTGACTTGCATTTGTGATCAGAACTGACAAGAAACACGTTCAGGGTGCTTAGGTAAAATGGATATTAGTAGTAGCTGAAATGTATTGCATGACATTGAAACGATACTACATCGAGCAAGAGTGGTCAGGGCCTAGTCTTTCAGAATACTTTTTAAATGAGAACCTGGTGAGCCACCAAACGAAGCCTGGTGCAAAATGCATGTTATCCTGAGCCCTGGAATTTATTCCGAGCAGGAGAGCTAGGGCACCAGGTATTTTAGTATGGAAATAAACTAGCAGAAGTTTTCTCAGGCCCCCAGCTCCATTCTTTTTATTTCAGTAGTGTAACGGGGAAGAGACATTTGGTTCCCATTGCTAAACACTTGGGAATTAGAAATGCTTGTAGGCTACGTTAAATCACCCAAGGGATCTCTAAGTAGATCCCAGTCTTTTACAAATTCACTGTACCTTCTTGTGCGAAGCTCTGCCCACCGCTGGCACAGAAAAGAAAGCAGTTATGCTTTTGGGAGGACAAAAGCAGGCTATATAGCTGCACTTGTACATCCCTTTGTTTCTGCTACATAAAAAAGCAAGTTCCATACCAACAGTTCCAATCCCAGGTTGCTTTTAGAAGCTGATGTAGGCCCTACCCACCACGTGGCTGCTTGAAAGCTGTTTATGTGTGTCACACGTTTTTCCCTCTTCGAAAAATCCCAAGGTGGCTTGCATAGCCATCCTTCACTTTATCATCATCATAATCCTGTGATGTAGATTAGGCTAAGAGTCAGTGTCACTCAAAGCCACCAATGAGATACTGTCTGTTGTCAGCTGGTGTGTGGCATTTACTGCCATGCATGAGATTAATGTTTTGGGACGCCACCTTGATTTTATACCACAGGTGGAATCTTTAGCTTGGTCATGGGTTGCAAATGTGTTATAAGCCAATGTCACTTGATGAATTAAATAAATAGATAAGACATGCATAATAGCTATGCGCTTGCAAATTGAAGCCCTGATTTTTTTTTTAAAATGCAGGAAGTGATAGTTTGTATCACTGCAAATATCAGTAATTTGAATATACTAAAGAAGTCTAAGTAATCTACATCATATTAGTGATTGGATTTAACTCTCATGTAAGCCTTTAAGTTTTAAAAAATGAAATATATTTTCATTATTGCAAAGTTGAGCCTTGTCTTAACATGTCTATTTACATTCAATTTTCAGTATAGTAATTACATTTCAAGTCACGCATTGAACTAAAGGTTGGGAAATGTGTGGTCCTCCAGAGCTCTTTCTTCTGTTCTTGGACTGCACCTCCCATCAACCATAGTTAATGTAAACATTGGTGAGGGTTGATGGGAACTGCAGTCCAACAATTAATACTTCTCATCCCTGGAGCTGATATTATCTGCATTAATATTTCTCATCTGTTATCTTTTACATTCTTAAATGTACAAAGACAGAGTGCGTACTGAGAATTGCTTAGCAATTAAAACATAAATTGTGTGAAGTGATCCCGAATCCATATTCCTGCTCAAAAATGAATGTAAAACATCAGAAGATTGTGCTGGATCAGAGGAAGATGCTTTGCAAAGAATATCAGTAAAAAGCTGGTATCATGGTAGTTCATTAAAAATTGGCCAGTGGTCGAATGAATCCAGTACATTGATACAAGCTCACAGAACAGGGCTGCTCCTTTCGTTAAGCGTTATATGCATGTAGGCCAGTAGAGGGTATCAGTGTTTTTCACTAATGCACCAGCAGTATATGGGCAGGACCTATTTACTATAACAGTGTATACAATCCAACCAAAGTTACTATTATTTTCCTGTAGTAAGAACTAACCCACTGAAAACAATATGACTTGAAAGTACTTGATTTTTGAAAGATTACTTCCGATTGGCATTGATTCAGTTCTGATCATATAACGAACTATTTTTCTAAACCAGTTTTACATCTAACCCATACTTTGAAATAATCCAGTAGAAGTATTAAGGAGGGTTTATGATACTTCCAAGACCTTACCTGTTAGTGTGATGGCAATTTAAAAGCTGTAACCCTATGCATCATAGAACAGAACTGCACATGATGGCAGAAGTCTTGTCATTAAACGTGGATTCCTGCCAAACACCTAGAAAGTAAGAAACTAGAGTGATTTTAGGTGGGAAAATTGGTACATAGGAGGTACTGAACCCTTCATCTACTCAACTTTTCTCTTTTCCAGTTATTAAATCCAGCTGATGTTTGATAAAAAATAAGTTCAGCTGGGTGAAAAATCCAGAGGCAGAGTGCAAGACAAAGTGGTCAGAGAAAGCAGCATTCCTCCCACTTGACCACTGTTTTCCCACATGAAATCACCAAGTCATTCCCAGATAGTTCCAGATGTTTTGCCTCAAGCTTTGTGTGAAGACATGTGCTTTGCCAATGTTGTTTTTGTCTACCCTTTGAGTAGTTACCAGCAGACAGCTAATTATATTTACAAGCACATGTAAGTAGGAATATTAGGTTGCACAATGCCTCATACTGGCTGGACTGTATTTCTTTCAGGCAAACACATAATACGGCCTGCTTCAAACCATGTTTCCTCAGAAGCCTTGCTGTTTTCACTGGCACTTACTTTTCTGTATAATCTTTCATAACAGATACTTGTCTCTGATCTACTGTGCTACTCAAGCTCATCTTGAATATGCAACTTAACATAGACAATCCCTTACTTAGGGGTTAGAGCTATGCAACCCCTTATATTGGTTTCAGAGGCCCTTTTGAAAGAGCCATCCTCTAAGGAGATGAGAAGAGGGGCCTTTTTGGTGATTGCACCCCCCTGTTGAAATAGCCCCCAGGAGCAGGTTGCCTAGCACCTTCATTACAGTCTTTCTGGCACCAGGCAAAAACGGTTTTATTATCCAGACATTTCAATAATTGACTTTTATTGCAATTATTTTAAAAGAAAAAACAAATTTTTAAAATGATTTAAATTCACCATGCTTTGATTAATACTCTCAGCTGTTACATTTGTTGTGTTTCTATTATTGCTATATTATACTGTTTTAACTGTTTTATTATCTGTTTTTATATTGTTGTGACTGTGAACCACTCAGAGTCTTGTAGGACTATTGGAGTGGTATAGAAATTAAATAAAAGGAACTAACTATAATAATACTCTGTGCATTGGTAGACAATCTGGCTCCATCCAGATGTTTAGGACTACAACTGTACAAGCAATATTTCCATGCAGCTGGAGAGAAAAGGTTTGGCTATTACCTAAAATGAGAGTCCATTCACTCTTCTAGTTGGGCCTTATGGGAGTTGTGGTCAAAAACATCTGGAGGTTATTAGGTTATTACATGACGCAGCAGACTTGCAGGTCTGGATTTGGTCAGTGCCTGGTGTCAACATAGCAGGATATAAATTAACATCACCACCACAATTCATTGAATGAGTGGTGGAAATCTTAATGTCTTAAATAGCGTCAATGCCATTTTTCCTGAGATAGTAAAAAAATAGCCTGCTTTTCAAGAGCCGATTCCAAGTTCCCACTGTGTACAAGAGCAGGTGTTTTAAATGCCTTCACTTGACCATTGATGCAGCCAGAGCCTGTATGTGATTGCTTGGAAGCCTTGCTGTGTATCTTTATCTGGATTTATGTTTGATAGATATTCACCCAATTCCCATCTTAATTTGAACCCTCAGACCCATGTGTGGTATACTTATATAACACAAGCTTATCACTGCCAAATAGCTCAGTGATTTTCAATCTGTGTTCCAGTGTTCACTAAATGCCTACTGGTTATAGGAATTAACCCCAAATCTTCTGTGTAGGAAGAAAGGAAAATGAAGAGGTTATAGATGTATTTTATTTACAGAAGTTAACAATTTAATCAGTTACAACTCTGCATTGTCATGTTGCCCCTTCAGCCTTAGAAATTCCATCCTTGTTATCTGCCTGTTTTTAAAAGAATTTAATGGCTCTGCTAATGTATTCTTAATGTGTATTAAATGGAGAGCCTTTTGTTTTAGGCAAAAAGTATAAAGCTTTTCCTCCAGTTGCTGTCATGGAGATACAATTGCATTCAAAGAGATGGCTTGCACTGTCCATTCTCGGAAGCATAAGGAATAAATATAAAATTTGCTCATAATGAATCAAATTTTAGAAGCTTTCATTTCTAGTTAAATAAAGCATCCTGTTATAAAAGAAATGGGTTTAATTCCTGAAATGGCTGGATGTTTCATGATCTGATGCTACTGTTATGGTTCAGTTCAAAAGCAATCAAGTATTAACCATCTTCTCAGCATCTGCCGCCATTAACTGATTTTAAATTGGGGAGGATTTACACTGTAGCCCTATGCCTGCTTATATGGGAGGAAATCCAGTTGTGCTTACTTCCTCTGTACTAATGTGTAGATAACTTATAAATTAAGAAAGCTATGATCCAATAGGATTGTGTAGAGAGTTTTTTTTTCTCTTTTTCAGATGGGGTCACCCCAAAAAGTTAAATGGTGGAGTGTTTAGGACGTTTTCATATCCGATTTAGGAGATCCCCCTCAGTAAGGCCCCATATTCCAGTATTATGTTTTAAAGAGGTATGATAGGCTCTTTAAAACATAATACTTTAATACTGTGGGGAGAAGGCAGCAGGAAGGTTTGATTCTTGCAGTCTAACTGCATGCAGATATATCTGGATGCAACCCAATGGGGTTAACAAGTGCACTAGACTTTGCATTACATTAGATTGTGTGGTGTAGCACATTACCCATGCCTAGAATATTTAAAATACTTACAATTATGTTTATAGTATTTGTTTCAAGTTTGAACATACTCAGAGAAAGTTGCGTTTACTCCTGTAATTCCAAGGATGTCCAGTGGTGAGGGTTTGTAGAAAAACTCAGACAATAGTAATACAGAATTACATACTTTAATTGTAACCAAGGCAAAGTGAATTGCAACCTACAGACATGGGACATGTCTCTGTGTGTTGGGGTGACAATCTGAAGTAATCCATACTGGTTGAGTGTTTGTGACATAGCAAACCCCAGTCAGGTGTTGCATATTCGAAATGTCACCTGTCACACACCTTGACCCACTGTGAGTAAAAGGCCCAATGAGCCCAGCTGTGTTGTGTAAACTAGGGACAATGTCTCCCGAACCAGTGGGCTTGTTTGTTTTGGAATCACACCTGTGTAAGCATGGGAGAAAATCATGGGCTGTACTGAGTGATAACAATGAGAATAAAATGATCCCGATATGAATTACCATTTGCTGTGTTCAGTTAGATTGGAGCCAATTTATTTTATCCTGTAGAACGCTATTAAACTCCCTCCCTCCCTCTGTGAGAGAGGGACTGGGACCATTAACTGCAGCCTCACCCCTTTATTTTCACGATCATATTCTGAGTTCCATCTGATGCTAAAGTGAGTTTTCCATTTAACTTCTTCATTTTAAGTATGAGGCAACTCTTGCCTGGTAAACGTACCCAAAATGGAGGTTCTGTATTTTTATCTGGAAATGAGGTAGTCAAGGTCTGAACCATTATTTAAAATTATACTCCCTTTTATTAATCCAATGAACAGGAAACACAAACTATTTTTCTAAGGTTTTTAAGTCCTTCCATTTACAGAGCAGGTCTGTTGATTCTCCCAGGAACGGAGGGCAATTGGGACTAGTCTGGGCCCTGAAGAAAATATATGCTCATTAGAATAATGGGGAGTTTTAATCACAGAAACCATCCTTAAAATACAAAACAGCTCAACAAGGTTTTAGTTAAAACATTTGCAAAGCTTTATTTATGTCAAAATAAATAACTCATATTTGTGTTAAAAAACAACAGCTACACCTCTGATTTACATCCATTCACAGACAGGCATTTTCTGGCTACTGTATTCCATGGGTGCTTCAAATGGGGCTTTTATCCCTTCCTCAAACATGGAAGTCCAGCCACCAGAAACCTACTCTTCTATCTGCAACCTGTTTTATCCTATCAGGTCTCCTATCTTTTTTCTTACCAAAAAATATCTGGTTGGAAAGATGGAACAGCTCAGACTTCCCCAAGCTGGTGCCTTCTAGTTGTTTTGGACTACAGCTCCCAATAAAGGCAGCCATTGCCTCTGCAGGCTGCAGCAGATGGAAAATCTCTTAGCTTAACCCAAGCTGGATAAGACTAGAATAATTGTACAAGTTTTGATAGGTAGGGAAAAGAACTGACTTTCTGAAAGCACTCTGTCATCAACAGCATTCCATCACTCTTGCTCCTTTGGAAAACCAAAAGGAGTAATTGAAAAAGAATGCAAAAAGAGAAAATCGTTCTCAGAAAGCCCAGCAATGAAAATTTATTTGGAATAGTAGAGTTCTTCAGGGGCAAGCGTATTCATCTAAATCCTGTTAAAAATTCCCCAGTGGTGCAACATACACATGTAAAACAATCTATGCTGGGTCATGCCAACCAGCCATCTAGTCCAGCATTCTGTTTACAGTGCCCAACCAACTGCCCATAGGAAACCCACAAGCAGGACATGTGTGCAAAAGCGCTCCCCTACCCATTTGTCCTACCAAATGATGTACACAGACATACTGGGCTTGATACTGGGGGTATCAAAAGGAGTAGTAGCTGTTTATTTTCCATGAATTTGTCTGATCTCCTTTAAAGCTGCCCTTATTGGTGCCCTCACCACATCTTGTGGAAATGAATTCCACAGGTAATGTGCTGTGGGGAGTACTTATTACGATACAATCTGTACTTCATGTTGATCTGTCTTGAACTCCCACAACCACAAATGGGAGGCCCCGGGTTTTAGTATTATGGCAGAGGGAGAAAAATGTTTTCCCATCCACTTTTTTCCTCACCATAATCCAGTTTTAGATGCAGTGACCGGAACTGTACACAGTATTCTAAGTGCACCTTAATTTATGTTTGGCAGCTTTATTTTCAGTTCCTTTCCTAATTATAAACCATTTTTATGGATTTTGCTGTTTTCAGAACATCTGTATGCTGAAAGAAAGGCACTCACCATTTAAGCTGTTGTAGCCTGTGTTTAGAATTTGGATTCATAAGATTGCCCTTGAACAGCTCCTGTTCCAAAATGTGGTGGCTGGCGCTAAACTTAATCACAAAATGCTCTTCAGTGTAGGTGATTTTTTGCTGATTCCCCCTTTCTTCTGCAAACTCTACATTTCCCCCACCCCAAATCTGCTCCAAAGAGTTGGAGACCCGTTGGAACAAGCACGGGATGTGACATGAGTGTACTGCAAGTGAAAGGGGGGGGGGGCTTTCTGCTTTCCACCTTGCTCTTTAATCCACAAGAAGCTCTGCTGAAGGAAAGAGCCTTCTCTGAATGGTGGGTGAGCTTCTCTGAAGTTCTATGGGAACACAAAGAGCTACCTTAGAGTGAGTGAAACTCTTGGTGCAACTACCGTGGTATTCTTTACGATGACGGTTAGTAACTGTTCAGATTTTCAGACAAGTCTTTCTCAGCCTTTTCAGGAAATAACAGGCATAGAAACGGGGGCTTTCAACATACCAGGCAGGTGTTTTCCCACTGAGCTGTGACGCTTCCTCTTGCACTGTCAGTTATTTCACAAAGAGGAGAAGCAGAGCATGTGCCAGGCCCCTTCCCATCTGACAGATGTTCAGTGATTCCAGGGCCGATAGTGCAGCTCATCATAGAGAACAGTACGGCACTCTGTGCAGGCACAGAAATTCTTCTGCCTTGCTACTCAAGTATCTGTTCTGAATTCAATCTCTGTTTACAACTTGCCTATGGTCTTCTTCCCCTCTAAAAGAAACTCATCAGAATAATATAGGATTCTTTTTAAAAGTTTTATTAACATTAATTTTTGATTTCTTTAAATACTGAAGGGTACAAAAAGATTTTAATAAGGTGAGAAGAATCAAGTCAGCTTAATTTTCTCTCTAGCACAAGTCTAAGTTAGCAACCCATGAAGCCATCTTTAAATCTACTGCTATTACTCAGACCATAGGTAGGTTTCAACAACTGGTCTAATTAGATATAGTAAGGCATTTGTCTTAATTCACACAACATTTCACAACATGACTAGGAATAGGGTTTTTTCGGGTGGAGGGACCCACACAAAGCTCACACAATTAAAAACATAACTTACAAAATGTATATCTTTTCGAATATTATACAAATAAACATTTTATAGAAACACTTGAAAGTTTTGTTCATATTTATCCTATCTTGCATAATTGAACAACGCTCATATTTAAAATAAACTTTCTTTATAGATTCACATCAAAAGAAACCCAGGAGTGCAAATAGTCATGAATTCAGTAACTAAGCAGACTTAGAGAACTGAAAATTATCCCAAACCCTGGTCACTACTCAGTCCACAAAGGAGTAGTGCATGGAGTATACACCCACATCTACCTGCAGGTTAAGGACATTTCAATTATCTAAATCATGCTTTCAGTGAAGGCAAAGTGCATATGTCTTCTAACTGTGGATATACATGTGCATCAGTATTATTCAGCAGTCTCACATGGGCTATTAATATAGGCACTATATTATAGGTCTTTCTGCACAATCAGATTTGATACAGCATGGACACAATCCAATTGTCTCTGCCCTTAGTGTGTGTAACTCTCTGAACTCAAGAGTGCTGGAAGCACTGTGCCGCCATGGCTTGCCCTGTGCATTTCATTTCATTGGAATGGCCCTTCCAGCACTCTAGATAAAACAAGGAAGGGGAAGGAAGGAGCCTGAAGTGGCTTTGGGAGCTGATGTAGGCAGATGGCACCAGCCCCCTCCCCACCGCAAGCTCCATTTCTCCCTCTCCAAGGTTCACTTCAGCTCTCCGACGGCCATCTGCTGCAGTTCTTCCTATGCTGGCTGTGAGGGGGTGGGGCATGGGCTTGGCCATCATGGCCCAAGACTGCAGGAGCTTGGACTGAGAATATGTGGAACTCCTAGGGCACTCCAGACAACATCCGGAAGCCACAAGGTTGTGCCCTAAGAAGCTGCCACCCCCATAGGCCCTTGCTATTTTCATTGCAAGGCTGCCATGGTTTCCAAGTACTCAAAGACCAGTACTTGATTATCATGGAAACTACAATACATTCTCCAGCTATTTATTTATTATTCATTTATTTATTTAGAGTTTTTGTAAGCCGTCCCATCGCTTATAGCCTCGGGACGGCTCACATAAATATGTATTTATTTATGTTAAATGTTAGCATGTAGTCACTGAGTTGTGTCTAATGCTTGTCCTATTTAGTGTACATCCATCCAAATTAATGAGGCTTAACTTAGACTAAAGTTGGATTCAACCCATTGCAACTCCTCTGTGGAATGCTATTGTGTAAGCATCACGGACACTTGCTGGATTTTGTGACTCAGATGGTATGCAGATAGAGCACTCCTGTCTCTATGAGGCTTTTGTTGTAGTCTGGGGTTTTTAGTTATGACTTCTGATCCAAGCACGCATCTATCTCGATAGTTCTTTTTTTTAAAGTTCTTTTACAAAGAGATGCAGCTATGGTGGCATGTCGTGAGCTGGCGCCATGGGTCAGACTAGATGGCCCAGGAGACCCCTTCTGCTTCGCTCTGTTTCTATGTTACTGCTCCTCACACAGCAAGCTCTCCCCTTCCTTTATTGAATACTTTGCTATGGTCACTGCAAATATGGAATATCCTTCAATGGCTAAAATGCAAATATGACATCTTTCAAATGATCATGCAGAAAGACCCTGAGAGAAGAGATTGAAAGCAGGAAGAGAGATTGTTGTCTGTCCAGGAAAACTACTTGCGTACACACAAAGGCCTACTCATGTATACATTAACACGTAAGATGTTCTAGTCTTATAAAAGGGATTTCCAAACACTCTTCTACAGAGAAGGCTGCATTACTAAACTAACAGATTTCCCCCCACTACTTAGGGCACGTTTCAGTAATCACATGGTCTTATGTCTGTGCATAATATACAGAACACTAGACCACAATCTGTAATGCAGAACCCCATGCATACAAGGTTTTCCCATTTTTATGTAGGAGAAGCAATCTGATACGCCCATGGAGGGCATAGCTTTTCTAATGCTTGCTAATTCTGTTTCTCCTCATATATGACATGGGGAGCTCCTGCCCATGTGGGACTCTGGATCAGGGGCACAGCATTTAAATACATAATTTAACATTCTGTTTATCAAGACTGTTCAAAATATGCATCTCTATCACCTTTTAAAAGAGCTAATAGCAGTAAACCAATTCTTTTTATTTTTGCCATCAATTTTGATAGCATTCCTTTAAAAAATCAGTAGTATTATCAGAACAATTGGTTAAGCATTTCCCTGGTGCATTTTTCTTAGGTTAATGGGATGACAATACATATAATGGCTCTCCTTTGTTGACTTATGAAACAGTGCCACAATATGGTTGAATTGTTCCATGTTACCACCAAATAAAGAATCAGTACAAGGGATCGGTGGTGGCACAGAAGCGGGGAAGGGAATCAATCCAGTGCAGCATAAAGAACTATGATCAGAATATTTTTTTGGAAAGCCCTAGTAATGGAAATGTTTTATCAAGTACCTATTTACATTTCAGGCAATGCATTTAACTTGTAAATAAAGGAAAACAGGCTAGTACCTTCATTGGAGTATCTGACAATGAAATAAGTAATCAGAATAAGTACAAATATCAAATGAATGCAAGATGCTGCACAATGTCTGCTTCTCTAGCTTCCATTCACTAAGCTGGACCTAGTGAATATGATAATTTATATAGGAGTCTGAATTTTTCGTTTAGCTCTTGCTTTAATTTTTTCAGCTATTGTGTATGGCTTATTCAGCTTAAAATTCTTTGACCAAGATGCAATCTTTGGTGCTTACAATGGAAAAGGGACACAATTTCAAAAGAGGGCTTTAAAAACAGCAACACTCTGTACCAAGAGAACTTAAGTAAAACAGAGCATGATCGATATTACAAGCTGACACATTCCATGTTTTATACAAAGTAAGTTACATTTCAAACAATTCCCTGGATGTCTGCCGCTGAACTTTGTATCAGTAGATGGAGCATGTCCTGATCTTAACATCAAGATAATATCATGTACCTTTTCTCCTGTATGTGCAAATATTAAAAATGAAGAAAAAGGCTGCAGTTTAAATGGTTAATCAGACAGGGTAGGTACACTTTGTCTCTTAAAGTTGGAGAAAGAGTTGCTGTTGAGGGACCCTGAACAGTAAACAAAAACAGTATCCAGAAGTCAGAGTTTCTCTGCTACTTAAGACACCTGGCATAGGTTTCCCAAAGGAAACCTTTAAAAAGATGCCAAAACAGCCCATTCCAGAAAAAGTTTAAATAAAACCTGCAAGAATTATTCCTCAGTCACCATCTCTGGTGAACATGCTGTCAGTTTCATCTTCGTACATCCCCCGTTCGTAGCGTACTGAAGAGAATCCACTCCAGTGCAGTCGTTTCTTCTTATACAGGAAGCATATCAGTCCAGCCAGCAGGACCACAATGAATAAAACGGCGACTGCTATTGCCCCTCCCATTCGATTTGCAACTGCAAAGAGCAAACACCAAGAACAATTACTCCAGAGCAGCTCCATTGCAAATCATGTTCTATATGCAGAATGGTTACACAAGCACACTGTATCCCAACTGCCACGTGAAGCATCAGGTCCATGCTTGCTACCCCACAGTTTCAGTGGGGAAAGCCTTTTGTGAATAGTGAGCACCTACCCATTTTGGGGGAAATTATGTGGGTAAGTGGGCTCCTTTTTTTGACCCAAACTCCCTAATAATAGCTGCTGCTATTATTAAAATGGTACCATCCATGTTCCATGAGTATAACAAAATGCAAGAGACCAGCTCCTTGCCAGGAACAGAGAAAGGGGGCTGGAGTCTGGGGAGCTGACCGATTCCCACCCTCAAACCGGATTCCTGTAAAATTCCATGAACGAGGCAGGGGAAATTGTATGACAGAGACTCGTCTGGAAGCACCTGTAATAGCTGATGTAACAGATGGAGATGCACAGGTAGTCATGCATAGCCAGAGGCCAAGGAGGAAAAATGACAGGAAAGAAGTTGCTAGTAAGTTCTGTGGAGATAATTTTCCTGTGTTCAGCTAGAGAGAGATGTAAGATGCTGCTAACACAACTGTGTGCCAGTAGTTTCTTTAAAAATATACAGCTTATTCAGACAATACCCTACCCACCTTGAGGAGCTTTGCACACCACTCTGGTTTTGCCAGTTTTGCAGTCTGTCTTGGACCAGGTTCCATTTGTTGTAAGGATAACACTACATTCACCACGAACATTTTCATTTCCCTTTGCCCAGTTTGTATACTTAACCTCTGATCCATCAAGCCACTTCAAGGATTGAGCTGTAAATAAAAGCCACAAGAATTTATTATTTATTCAGATCCCGCAAAGTCAATTCAGGGTCAGGTGTCTGCCTAATATTGGGAGGGTCCATTCTGCTATTTTGCAGGTTGTCTAAATATAGCTCCCTAAGTCTGGTATCAGTGTGCAAGCCAAGAACAAGTAAAAATGACTACCTTATACTACAGAATTTTAACTGACACTGGTTTGCATGCAGCGAGCAACCTACAGTTAACTAATCATGGCTCTGGAGGCAAGTCAACACCCTGATTCCTGGTTGCTCATCTGCTTCTGCTGTGGTGAACAACCCAGGGATGTCCGAGTTGTTCCCTGTGATGTGTGAACCTGGAAGTCTGGCCTGTTGAGGGCAAAACAAAGTGGCCCATGAAAACACAGGGTGTCCTTAGGTTGAGAGGTCAAGCAGTGGGGAGCACAGTCTCAAACAGCCCCACGGAGCAGAAAAACACATGTCAACATAAGGTCAGGCAAACAGAAAGAAGCTACAGCAAACTTGTAGAATCCAAAGACACTCACAGATATTCAGAATATTTCAGAAATTATCCAAGGATCAGCTTATGCCTGAGCTAACAGTACATTTACAGAGAGGAAATCATGATTTTCTGTGTTCCCACTGGTGCTGAACCTTAGGAGAAGAAGGTGCATGACTAATAATGTTGAAAAGGAAGGGACCAGCAAGAAACCTCTCCTGGAGACTTGCCACATCCAGCCAAGGACTCTGATGCTGGCACAGGTCTTGATTCACAGATGGGCAATGCAAGCATAACTGAGTGGCAGGACAGAGCTGACTATACAAAACTTTACAAAACCAGGGCATGGCTGGCCACGTAGCTAGCCAGCACATGAAGGTATACCAAAGAAAACTACCATTTATGTCTCTGCAACAGCCAGCTATGAAGCTGTGCAGCTACACAAAACTAGCCCACTTGCCTGTTCTAACTGCTACTTGGCATTCCAGCTGTTTACTCTGTATAGAACTTCATAACATTTGCTATCTGTATGGTACCACACAGAAAGATTTTGTGGTGTGGAAAACTCTTGTAATGGATGTTGCCTGAGCTGCTCTAGGATCATAGGGAGGGAGGGTAGGCAAGAGGCTCTTCTGAATGCTGCTCGCTGCTTTGCTTTGATCCTACACTGTTCTGGCTGCAACTGACTGGACAGGTCCACTTCTAAAAAGCAGCAGTGCTAGCAAAAGGATGCTGTGAATGCAGAGAAAGCAGCTGGCTTAGGGAATAGGGAGATCCCAGGAGAAAGGCCTAAACTTGGGGTAGAGGTATGGAAGCAGCAGAAATAGGAAAGATGAAGCGAAACAGTGCGAGAACCAAGTCTCTCTCTAAACCGGCACATAGTGAGAAAGGGCAGAGGTGATATGATGAATTTAAAATACTGAGTTGAAATATTGGCTACTGGCCTCTAGTTTGACTCAAATTCACTGTGCTTAAATTTAAACCACCAAATGTGTAAGACACATTATCTATTTTAAATTCTATTAATTACAATGTTATTGAGCACTTGTTCTCAATAACACATTGAGAATTAACAATCACATTAATTTCTGTATTAATGTGATTTCTGCAGTGATTTCCATGAACACAATCCAAATACAAATGCTGTCTCATTAAAATCATGAAACTAAAGGATGCAACGCAAATGTATCTAAGTTCACCTCAAAATTTATCTCTCTGCTTATCACACGTAGTTTTTGTAGTTCTGTGTTTCTGAGAGACTCCTTACCATTAGACTGTATTCCAAGCCATGCTCTTCCAGTGATGTAGTGGTATTCTTTCAAGTGCATACTCACAAACTGGTTTTCCTCAGCATCCTTGACAGTCAAAAGTGTTGCGGACGGGTCTAGTGAGAGAATGTTAGCAGTCAAAAGAGATAAAAACTTTTTGAGATATTCATTTAAACTTCCTAATAATATTGATGGAAAGACAGCGCCTAAAATTATACTGGAAAATAGGTTTTACTGTTACTTATATATTATTCACTTCTTGAACAAAATTTAATATATTTAAAATATAATAATGATGAAAAATTAACTCCTCATCCAAAATATTACATGGGGTTTTATGATCTCCTTTTTAACTATGAGACAATGCATTATTTGAGCATACCAAGCTTCTTGCAGACTTCTTTAGCATCACCCGCAGTATATATTGAATAATTGTATAATTCCATAGCAAATGCATAGCAATTGTCTTTATATTGTATCCACTGTGGTGATCCAGCAGCTGGTTGTGGACACTTGGCTGCAATTTCAGTTTGCTTGGACTGCATTTCTGTGAAAATGAAACTACTGTCATTATCACAGGTCAGACAGAATGAGGCTCTTCATTTAACAGGCAGTTTCATGTTGTAATTCAAAGTTTAAAATAAAGTACAGCTATGACATTTGATTCGCAGACCTAGTTATCTTCTCTGATGCAGCACTATACACCTTCATGAGAAAATTTAAAAAAATCTTTCATGAATTATTTGCAAGCATACAAGGTGTTGCTTGGAGATTTCTGTGTTGATGGGATTGATACGATCAGGGAAGAAAGAGAAGCCACTGTGGCTTCTTTTCTCCATCTCCCACATGCCAGTCACAGTACACCTCGTTTCCATAATTTACCTTGTGGGCACAGGGTGCCATGCCATCCAAACCTGGCATGGGTGCTTTGCAGGGTGGTTTGGAAGTTATCCTGACTGCCTACTTGGCTGGTTTGGACCACATGGCAACCTGGGCCCTGTGAAGATAATTATGGAAACGAGGCACATGCAGCATGGGGAAAAGAAACAACCATGGTTCATATGGATTTGGTCAATGGATTTCCTGCTCCTCTTTCCATGCTGCAAACTGTACAGTGTGGTATAGTCTGCAGACTGTATGGCCCAGAACTCCTTGCGGTTCCTTGTCTTTTGCATCCAGGTCAATAGGATTACATGAAAGGAGCCTTCTCAAGAACTAACAAGGCTTCTCTGTGTTTTTTAAAAGGCATGAAGACAACAATTTCGGAAACAGTTCGACCTGCAGTGATGAGTGTACAAGGCTGTTGATTTGATAAGCAGCTGTGCAGAGTCGTGTCCTTTTGTCTGAAACATAAACCCGAACCTAATCCTGTGAAATGGATGTGTGCAAAAGCACTCTCAGAAAAGTGTGTCCCCACACAAATGCATTTCCCCCTTGCAGACCTATGTGCATATCTGTTGCTGCAGTTGTGAGGACAACAGTGAACAGATCAGCTGCTCCCACGCTGATTCTGAGGAGTAAGTGGGGAGGAGGCAGATGCCAGGCTGTGCTCTGAGGCTCGCTTCCCTTCTCCGAGGGAGCTCTGTCAGAGCTGGCCACACGGAGCATTCGTCTGGTGAGCAGAGACAGTGTTGGGGCTGTTCAAATGTCACAGTGTCTCTCCAGTCTTCTGCTGTTTTCTGATCTCTCCAGATGGTGGGCATTTTCTTGTAAACTCAGTACTTCGAGTCACATTGATTTGGAAGGAAAATTACACACCGTTTAGCAATTAGGCAGTTTTGCAGCCAAGGAGATTAATCTGATGGTCCTGATATGTCAGGGCCACTCGCCTGCCGTTAGGCCAGCATAACAACTGTGAAATGATAATCACATCCGTACGCACTCTCAACAGCAAAGCAACAACCAAAACAAGAACATCTCCTATGTTACTTTGGGACACTTACAATAAACTAAGTCACACTGATTTTGATGGATATATAACTCATTGCAGTCCTTAGCACATGACCTGAAACCTTGAAAACAGTGGGATCTCATTCTAGGGACATTTATTTAGCAGCAGCTAAGGACATCACTCCTCCAATTTTGTTGTTGTTTTGATTTAGAGTCCTCAGAGTATGCGGTGCATGGAAACATCAAGGTGCATGAATGCAGGCTTACTGTTTGAAGGGGAGTAGCAAACAGCACCATCAGCGGGCTTTGTACATTCCACGCGATTCCAAAGTCCTTTTGTGTCCAAGACAACACATTTTCCAGGAGGAGGTGAATGTTCAAATTCCCTGGGGTGGTAGTCAAATGTGCTCCCATCAGACCATTCAAAATCGGAATCATTTTCCTGGAAATGAACAATACAATTCAGGCTGCACAAAGGTTAATGCTATTCTTTCTTATCAAGCACTTGGCTAAATGAGCATCATGGCTAAAAAGGGAACTGCAGAGGCTCAAGACTTCCTTATTTTCATGTAGGGGCTTTGAATTTTATTACACTTCAATATCCAGATTTGTTCTCAGAGAAATTATCCGAGGCAGAGTGCACTGAACTAAGCTGGTGCCAGAACAGGTGATATGCTTTGAGAGCAAAGCCCACAGGGACAAATTAGATATGGCAAGACCCCATTATTAAGCTGTCCACTGAGACAGGATGCTCTTGGTGGTTCTCCCCATGGACATGTGCACCAACTGGGATCCACCTGCAGTAAAGCCATCATTGTGGAGGTCCCTGCTTCTGAAAATCAGGAAGGCACCAACACTGCATTGCTTTCAGCACCCCCTGAAAACAGCTTAATTTCAAGAAACCCTTGACCAACCATGGTTTTTATTGTTACTGTTTTTAAAAACATTTAACACCGTGCTTTATTCTTTTTAATTGTTATTATTCATTGCTATGGAATCTGTTTAGGTATAGTGTAGGCATGTTGTAAATAAAAGAAAATAACTAGATGGGTAAATAAATCAATTTGAATTTTGCAAATAACGGGGGGTTCAGGAAGGGAAGACTTTAACTCAATGCTTCTACCTCCCTGTGGTTCAGAGCAGGTCCCACACACCTGCCAGCAGCACCAGGAGAAAACTCTCACAGCTTTTCTCTGAAAACAATAGCAGGTGGGGCTCTCTCAGCAGACTCTGCAGACTGGGAGAGATGGCGGGGAGGGGAGGAGGCGAAGAGTTAAACCCTTCCTCCTCACTGCCAGGGTCCTGCATTACTGGCTGGGGCACGCTGCAAGTTGTATGACTTTTCTCTGACTGAACATGCATTGGATTTAGACAATGATTTGGGATATTAAGAAATGTTTTGATTTCTGAGGAACAAAAGCAGCATGAAGCTGCGTGTAGCTTACAGCACTTGTAATTGTGGGGGGAATTCTGTCAATGGATTGGCAGCTTCTGTTTTCACAGGCAGGTAGCTCTGCAAGAAGCTTCAGGCAATTATTTTTATTCACATACACAGTCTACCCCACCCTCCAATGTGCCTGATTTGCCAACTGTCCTCTGTCTTGGAGTCTCACACTGTATGGGTTACTCTGGTGCTCTCCCAGACCTTTTGCATACAGAGGAGGAAGGGAGACTCGGCCTGCAATCCTGTGGCTGCTTACCATGTGCTAAGCCCACTCCACCCCTCACCATTCAATGAGATTTACTCCTGAGTAAATATGAATAGAGCTGTCTGCCAGTCATTGTAACACTATTCTGTGTGATAGAGGAATTAAATGAAACAATCTTCTACGGGAAATATGATAGCAATCTGATCTCTGACTCCAGGTTTTACCAAACTATGATCTTACTGTATTTGACTGTATTGTAGACAATTTTACAATCTCTTCATCCCATTCCTATCCTCATTGACAGCTCAACATATTTAAGTGTAAGGAAAGCATTTAAAGTGGAGGCAAAAATAATATATTATAAAGAACAAAATAATAAATGCAATGCCATAATAAAATTAATGTATAATGCATTTAAACATGTACATGTGAACAAGAGACTAAAAACCTCTAATGACTACTACGCAGCTATGAAAGTAGAGATCAGACCTACATTATGATTGGATAAACCAATCCATAGTGGAAATCCATCACTCTTTACAATATTTTTCAGAAAGTCTTGTTCAGATTCGCTGTGTATGCTTGCTAATTCTCTTCCGTTTTGTTTGCATTCTTTCCATGCTTCGTACCAATTGATCTGTTTTTGAAGAATCCAGTATGATGTGTTTTTATAGGGTAGTAGTGTAGGCAATGGTGGTTTGTCCTCCTTTGGTCCTATTTCAATATAAAAAATGGATAAATGTTTGCACATTTTCTTCAGCCTAGGTATGTGTAAGATAATATTTGTGGGTGTTTGCAAATTCAACAAAAATGAGAAATATTCCTTACCCATTTCTACTTTGCAGACGAGAACGCTGTGTAGCTTGAACTGAAAGGGTAGCCAGCGAGTGTCATTGTAAATATCCCAGAAGCCATCCAGGTGAACACCAGCAACAAAATGGTTATTCCTTATATAAGGTCTCCCCATTCTCCAGTTATTGTATGTCAAGCGTGTATCATCAGACCACTTTAAAGCATTATCTGCAGGGAAAAGACACGGCATTTTCATACCGAGCACTACTGATATTATTGAAAAGACAGCAGTGCTCAAAGTAGGTCATGCCTGGACAATGTTAACAACAGGAATATTACTTGATTATCATTGCTAACAATGATTGGTCTAGAAGGGATGTATCTATTTCTCCCCATTGGAAAGTAGTGTGGATTGCTTAAAGTTTTACTGGGTTAAATTCAGTGTTACACAAGTGAACTTCTGTTCATGCACTGGGAGTTTCCCTTCTCCTCCCTCTGCAGTCCCAAAATCTACAGGATGGGTTTGGGGAGCATGAAGTGAGGCAGGAAAGGGGAAAATTCTGTGTCAGCTGTGTGGCATATTGGTGGTATCCTGTCCATTAGGCTTGCAGAAGAACAGCACCTGAAAACAATCCAGTATTTTTGAGACATTTTTCATGAAATTTCTCAGTTTCAACTCCAGAAGAAATTAAACTAATAAACATGACTGCATAAATGCAACACTTAAATAATAAGCATCCACGTATGAGATTTTAAATATTTGACCGATCTTAAAGCAGGCTGTGCACGTGTACTGAAAGACTTGGAAATGAAAAACTGCTGTACTAGAACAATTAGCAAATAGGATTTTGAAAACCAGAACGTTACACATTTGCTATTTCTTATGGACTCAAAGGCAATTTCATTCAACTACACAGAGGCTTCAATGTTTACCCAGCCTGCATCTTCTTTAAGTTTTCATTCTTTGCAATGGCCAAAATAGCCTTAACTAACAGCACAATTTTCCAAAGCAAATGAGTTTAGAGAATCTTTCCCATTAACATTCATCTGACAATTCAACTAATCAAACATAACTTTGATACAAATTCAGTCTCACTTCTCTCTGCTAATAGAATTTGGCTGCAAATTGCATCATTGTAGCATTGGTCTCTTTGTACATTTATAAAGGGACGCAGTAGTAACAGGGTTTTACAGCTATAAATAACTGAGAACTTACCGTCAGCCTCATACACCAGACCTAACCACAGCCAGTGGGCAAGGCCACTGAAAGACTGAAGCTGCTCCACAACAAAATCATTTTCATATTCATCCCTGATAATCAAGAGAGAGGCATTCGAATCTGTTGAAGAAGTTTTTAAAAAAGAAGTCACTGAATGAATTTGGAAGGATTCAATTGACAATTTCTAACATTCTTTTGGAGTAAGGTATAACCTAGATGTAAGTTTTTAATTAAAAGAATCTGAAATCACAGTATTAAGTGCAAAGGGGATTCTGCACATCTACAAATAACCTGAAATGAGTGGACATATTATTTCTGGAAAGGGGCAGGTATGAAAAAATCATTTTGTGCAAATCTCCTATTGGGATACCAGTATGCTGGGCTAAATACCAGTCTTGCCACTCTAAGTGTAGCAGTGAAATTCCAAACAAAAGAAACCCAACCCAGCCCACTGGTGAATGTGTTCTTGTAGCTGCGAGGGCTCTAAAAATTAATTCCATTTGGCGATCTGGGGGGGCAGACGGGGGGGTGGCGGTCTCTTTCAGAAGCTAGCAACTCCAGTGGGCCAACTGCAGAAAGGCTGCTGATGTAGGGACCAATGCGACCAAAAATTGTGTCACAAAGATGCCTGAGGGTTGTGTGCTGGAGTTCTCAGGAGTACTGAATGGGAATAAATGAACTGGAACAAGCTATAGAAGCACAATTATCTGCCAGGAGTACTGTGGGCTGTTTAGCAAAAAAAAAAAAAAAAAATCCAATCCTAGTAGCTTATTAGCAAGATGGCTCAGCATGACCTTGAGACTCACCTATTATGTTACTCAGAACACTGAAACCCCAACTAGACTGTTCTAAAAGATCTCAATTTGAGTAAATAGGCAACAAAATGCCAAATGAGGCTTAATGCAAATAAGTATAAGATGATAAACACTGTCAGCTACATATAGTCCTATAGTTTCTGAACTGGCTACAACTTCCCAAATAAGAGATCTTGGGATTGTGGTTCACTGAAAGGAATACAAAGCATTCAGTATTGATGAAAAAGGCAAACTCCATGTTAACATTATTAGTTAAGGGACTGACATTCTAACAGTATTAATAATGCTCTCGACAAACAAAGCGCATATCTGACTTTACATGTAATTACAACGGCAAGGATTGTATTTGCACAACACTGAAAGAATGAGGAAATACCAACAGAAGAATTAATTTTAAAGAAAATACTGGACTGTGCAGAAATGGATAGATTGACCTTGTCTCTCAAGGAAAAAGAAGAAACATATTATTACCAAACTTGGAACTTCTTTTATCAAGGGCTAAAGAAACAGGATTATACTTAGGGCTGAAATATACATTAATTGTAGAGTGAATAAGATAATAACCCAGTATGTCCGACGTCTTTTGAATGATCATTTGTTTTATTTGTAGAAAATAATAAACGCTTGATACTAAATACTAAAAAAGTATTAATAATGCTTTCATATAAATCTTTGTATCTGTTTTCACTATTTAAAAAAGCAATATACAGAATTGGAAAAGGAGTTGAAAGGGCAACCAAAATGATCAAGAAGCTAAGACTTTCTCGTTTTGAAAAAGTTGGCTATGGGGAAATGAGTCAGAGGTTTAGAACATTATGCATGGTGTTGAGAAAGTCCCCCCCCCTTCCATCCATATTACTAGAACGCAAGGTCATTCGTTGAAATGAATGGGCAGCAGAAACAGGGAAAACCAAAGGAAGGCACTTCTTCAGACTATGAATATATAGTCTATGATTACTGCTTGACTATATGGCTTTAATAGGGCATGAAACACATTCATGACATACAGAGACATCAACAGCTAGTAGTCCTGATGGCTAGATGAGACCAAGTGCCAGCTGCTGAGAGCAACTGCAGGGGACCATCATGGGCTGCTCATGGCTTGCCTATAAGCGTCTTGCTGGCCACTGCTGGAAACAGGATGCTGACTAGTTGGGCCTTTGGTCTTGTACTGCTGGACTCTTAGGTTTTATGTATCTTGACCTTATACGAAACTACACTTTTAAAACTCTGTCTCACTAAAGGTGCATACACCAGCAGCATTTTTCCCTAGAAAACTCTCCAGAAGGTCAGGAGAAATGTCACCATTCTTAGAGGAAATCTGCATTAGTCTATTGCAGCAGAAGGAACAACAGGCATATTAAAGATAAATAGTTGCATTCTGGCACTATTCATGGCCCACTTCATCAGTTATTAGTTCACTTATATGTACTCTGCTAAGAAAAGATGCCCACCAAAGTTCATGCTAGCAAACTGAAATTCTACATAGCAGTGGATCTTTTTCTTTCCAAGTTTTCAACAGATTGCAAATATGGCAAGAAAGAACCATGAATATAACTAGTTCTCCAATGAGATACAAAGCATAATATAACCTGTGGAGCTACTCCAATAATTATGTGCCTGTTCACACATACAGTCATTGCTTGTTTTATTCAAATAATAATTTACAGCTGCATGGAGGAATCTTAGTCTGACCTGGGTAGTAACTTGGAGGGAACTGTAGAAGTCCCACGATTTCAGCTCTAGAAAAATATGAGGCTGTGATAATAGAAATGACTGTTAGCAGTCTCCATGGATTGCTCAGTGTATATGTGTCTGGACATAGTTATGCTCTTGTCCATGATCACATAGGAAAACTAAGAAGTTCTTTCGGATCTAAAGATGTCATTCAATATCATATGAAGATAAGAATTCAGAAAAAACTGCCTACTCATGTTTCTGCATAAATGGTGGGCTTCATCCGATTTCAATTCTTTCCATCGATTTTTTGTGATTACGAATGTATAACAACTGTTCTGAAAAGCTATCCATGGTGTATTCTTGATCTTGTGTGGACATTTGATAGAATCATAATATGCTTCTGATGTTTCCGTTTCATCTGTAAAAATAAACCACATTTCTTTAGAGCACAAGAATATATTCAGAATATAACTAGCTGCCCTAGGATGCAACACTGACTGAAAGAAAATTATGGGATGTAATGCTGGCTTCCTGAAAACCATGCTTTTCAAATTAGGAACCAAATCTGGGATGCATACTTGCTCCTGCCCTCTTCCAGAGTAAATCCCCCATCCCTTCTCTTGCTTGGCTTTGTTATGGCTCTGCATTCTGTGTCCAGTGATTCAAACAACAGTTAACAGTAGCCAAATTTATCTACCCATAGCCATGGTAGGCAAGCTTACTTCAACAGTTTCTAATTCTGGTATAGGAGGAAACCATGAGTTAATGCTAAAATCCAGAGATGTAAGTGGAAGGCACACTTTCTTTTGGAAATACAACATGAAGGGTATGATGTTGCTATTTTAAATAACATTTAAAACACAGAAGCCAAATACTGTATGATTAAATATTTTCAATAATATTTTTTACAAAAATATTCTCAAAACAATAATTCAAGGACTCCTACTTGTTGGCTGGTAGCAAATTGTTCCTGGTTTTTCGCTGTAACAATCAGCTGTTTTCCATAATCCATCGGTATCCAAATATACACAACTGTCAATTAAATCTCCATCTTCTTCAGACCAGCGACTGAAACTGATATGTTTTTTATCAGACCAGTGATAATGTATTCCATCCTAGTGACATAAACATTAAAAAGATTAACAGAATTAAACAATAAAACCGAACTAAACTAAACCACATGACAGCTCTAAACTCAATTATACAAATGGAATACTGTCTGCACAGAACTAAATATCAGGAACAGTTTTGTGTCCTCCAGTTGTTTTGGGCACCAGATTTCCTACCCCCCCAGCTTATCCCTAAGACATACTAATGACAGGTTTCCCCAACTTCAACTCCCGTTAGCTCCCACCAGCATGGTGAATAGTCAGGAATGTTGGGACTTGCAGTGCAAAATATCTTGGTTACAAGCTGGGGAAGGCTGAACACTGAGCCCTGTAGAGAAATGTACAATGTGTAAAGTGTATTCTTCACCATATTTCTTGTAAAATTATATCCAAGATTTGTGGATATAAATGAACTTGTGTGTAGGTAGTTATATGTATCGGCCTAGTGTTAATGGCCAGCACAATTGCTTTTGCAGGTCCTTGGGCTAACGTTAGTCCTCCAACTGGATGGAATGGAGGTATATTTCTTTCCTATTGTGTAAAAGTGCAATAGCTTTTACCTGTACATTTTAAACAGACATCCACAAATGATTCACAGTTCAAACAACAGAAGCAGCATCGAAGGGCGAATACTTTACTGATATGGTTTAAACTGTCTCAGTACACACCCCCGTTTGGTATTCCAATGGTATGTTTCAAAGGAGAGTGAAATGAAACTTACATCTTTGCTGGAGAGTCCAATCCACAGTGGGTAATTATGATGGGCAGCCTGAGCAGCAAGGAAGGCCTGCTGGTATTGCTCTGTGATGCTAACCAGCTGCATATTATTCTGCAGGCATACCTGCTGTGCCTCATGCCACGTCAGGGCCTTCAGAATTATGGTGTATGTGACATTTTGATAGTTCACAGTGACATTAAGCTCTTGCTGTGTCTGGTTTTCTGCAACCTCTAAGGAAGAAACCAAATAGTTAAGTAGGACTAACTATTCATCACACACTGCAATTTTGTAGAATCAACCATGTCTCCTATACTGTTTTGGAGTATATTTTTTAAGCTTGAAAAGGAGCTTTATAATGTTGTACATAGCATTTTCAGTGATGCAGGAAGGACTGCAACACTGAGTCAATTGCTTAAATTAAACTACTAAAACACTTCGATTGACTAGAACAAATTCCTTATTGGTTCATATTTTTTTCTTAAAATACTATAATACATGTACTTGTAAAAATTACAGATGGCAAACACTATCTTAAGAAACAGTCCTTCCTCCCTGTAACTGGAATGCCTTGTGTAAAGTAAGGCACATACATGCATTGTCTAAGAAAAAAATGAGTATCCTTTTTTTGGGAAGTATTTTTCCTATATGCAATATTTTGTAGATAATTGGCTTACAGCACAATTGTCTACATGTCTACTCAAAAGTAAAAGTCATTCTATTTAATATGATTTCATAGAATCACAGAATAGTAGGTCATTGGGTTCAACCCTCTGCTGTTGCAGAGCAACAATTTACACCATCTCATTCTGACGACTTTCCAGTTTTGGTTGAATGCCTCTGCTGTGGGAGAATCCACAACCATTCCAGGCTCCACTGTCATAAGGCTCCGACAGTGAGAAAACTGTTCCTGATAGCAAGCCTGAATCTGGGTTTTCACAACTCGAATTGATTATTCCATGTCCTATTCCGTGAGATGCTAAGCATTTCATTCAGCAAATATATCTTGGTTAAGATGCCAAAACACCATCTAGGTTGGCTCCTGTCATATGGCATAGCGGTCATGCGCCAGAAAATTGTATTATAGCAAACACTCATATGGAACTCTGCGTAGCTTGGGCTGTCACATAAATATGATGTATGAGCAGTTTCTTAACAAACAGCCTGTGTGCAGACAGAGGTCAATCATTTTCCAGGATTCCCATGGATTTCTCGGCTCATAAACATGTGATACTCTTTAGGGATTCTGAGCATTACCAGCATTCTTTTGACATATGGCCACAGACTTGGTATCAGCACATGAAGTGAAATTCCAGGTTCCAAGATATGACGACTTGGGATCATTGAGCAAAACACCACACTGGTTGTTTGCTTCCTCATCGAAGAACTGGAAAAGAATGCACCCAGAAGATGGAGTGATAGACACTCAATTAACCATCCTAAGATATACCAGAAAAGATATGGAAACACTCTTTTCATCGTAGCTAAGACATCATATTGCCCTTTTACATTATGAAAATCAAGTATATACTGTCTAAAGTAGTTTATCTGTTCCCAAACTATGTGACTGTTATGTCAGGGATGGCCAACATGCCGTCTTCAGTGGCTGCTGCTCCCATGACTATCTCTGTGCAGCTAGAAAACATATAGCACTCTGCCATCTAAGTTAGCTGTCTAACCACTGCAAAGGCTCAGAAGTGTCATAGTTAGTTTGTTTCCAAGATAAATATTGTTCAGTTCTGTCGTTGGATAGGGAGAATCCTTGCCTTTGGATTAAATTTTCCTGTAACCGCCTAAGGCAGAATAGTGTAGCATACTATTATAAACAAAGGGGCATTAGATAATTCGATTTCTTAATATGAGATCTGACCATGGAGTTGGGAATCCATGCTCCAAGTCTCTCATTCCTTGTTGGTGCACAAAGAACCACACTGGCTGCCTTTCCAAAGTTGGGAAAGTGACCTCGGGGAGCATGCAAACATAGCAAGGAGGAAAGGCGACTGGGTCTGCCATGATATGAGGTATCCTGGCAATATCCCAGCCTCCTTCCCTCCTGCTCCAATGCGTTTCAACTAGATGGCCTGCAGTGTTTATACTGCTCCTCCCACTATGCACTGCATATTTGTAAGCCTCCAGGTTTCAGAGGTTATGATCCTCAATGGTGCAACCCACAGGACTGTAAATAGATTTTTTTTCTCTCAGTCATTATTATGCACTTTTAAAAATATTATATTTCTTTATGCTATATAATTATTTGTTTGAATATAACAATTATACTCCATTTAATTCAAGAAAACTCTGCCCAGTGGCATTATTCTGGATTTTGGCTTTCTGTACAAGCCAAAACGGGAGGGCATACTTCCAGGGGTCAAAGGACCACATTCCCCCGGAAGGGGAATATCGCAGCCTTATCTGCTGAATGTGCTGACACAACTGGGCAGCAGCAAGTGGCACAGATGGGCTGCTTCAATCTGAAAGGATGCTGTGGCACAAAAGGGCCAAGGAGTCCATGGGCTTTGCCCTGCCCATCCCAGCTCTCAAGGAAGGCACTCAGCTACAGACCAAATACTTAGGAAGCCTTGACAGATTTTACTTTCTTCTCTCTTTTGTGGGACACACAATTCTTTCCCTACCCTACACTGGTAGTCCTTTTCTACCTTAACCAACTTCATGAATTATCAGGAATTATCATGAAGTCTACATGAAAAGAACAATCTCAACAACTTACATCGAGCTGAACCTTTCTTATCCTTCCTTGAAGTAACGGGTGGAAATTGCTATATTTTAGTGGACTGCCATCTTCCCACTTGTTTTCACGTGTGTGAACCCGAAAGTGCAAACCAATCCAAATATTTGGGGGTTTATGAGGAAGCAAGGATGTTATAAAATCTGTTGGGTGAAAGAGAAATATTTGTGTTTTAGAATCAGGCAGCCGGAAGAGACATTCTACAATCTGTTTGCATATGTAAAACAATTCATCCTTCGCTTATGCCAACTGCATTTCCTTCAGCTGCAAATCACCTTGTCTACGAACTGCAATTAGTGCAATACTAGTAAACCAGTCTGTAGCTACCGATGGCAGGAAATTCTGAATTTGCTTAGAGGGCTTTCTTCATCTTTTACTCCAACCCTTAGATCAGAGGTGAGAAACTTCTCTCAGCATGAGGGCCACAATTAGTTGAGGAGAAGATCAGGTCAAAATGTGGGGTCCAGATAACAAGCATTCTGACATATTTTGACTTCTCATGCTTAGGAGACACATTTCCACTTTTTAGCATGGGGAAAATGTGTAAACACTAGAAAGTCAATGAATGACTGGCTGCCCTTCAGGGATGGCTGCCCTGAAGCACTCTCCACAGTGTGTACAGGAAGAAGCCGAGAGAAGGCGCTGCGTCATGGTAAATGCCTGCTGAAGCAGGATGCAGAAGCCAGCTCCCTGAGCCCGGGTCTGCGGCTTGAGAGCCTGGCCCCACAGCAGGGCCTTTAGGCGTGCAAACTGCCTTCTCCTGACCTGCTTTGCAAAAGCCAGCAGTCTGTACAGCAGCCCTTTCCAAGAAGGCAGCTGCGGTGCCTGTCCGTTAATGGTATCTTTCTGACACGCAGGTGCCATTTTGAAGAAAGCCTTTGAGGCTGTGCACTTTGAAGTGGGAACCCAAATACAGGAAGAAGGAGAAAAAAACTAAAAGACAATAGGAGAAGATGAAAAGAAAATGGAGGAAGAAAACTCTGTTCACCATGTCAGAAGAGGACGGTAGAATGGAGAGGTGAGATAGCGTTCCAAATGCTAATTGCTGCGGTGAGTGAAAACAAACTGGGAGACAGACAGGAATCAAAGCTGCATGACAGGGAAACTCTCACATAAAATTGTATTTAGCTTTGGCATGTTCTAAAAGTCTGTTTTGTGCAAACATGTAACCCATTTCTGTGAGTCACAGAAACCACAAAGAAGCAGAGTGTGTTGAGACATTCTTGGTTCAGACACAATGGCCTGGTTTGTATATCAGGCTCACCATGGCTTGTTAATCCAAAATGAGATACATTATCATTTTGAATATGAAATTCTCAATTGCGTATCATGCAAACCTGGTCACTGTGAGCTATTTGAGGGTTAAACCACCTTCACATAACCATACCACAAACAGAGGGTGATGTAAGGGTTGTGTTACCCACAGCAGCTGGGTCCACAAAACATGACAATTCTCTAATTACACCAATCAAGAGTTGCATATTCAAAATGGCAGCTGGCACATGCCATTACTTACTGGGGGTTGAGCAATCCACTCTGTCCTGCAGACAGAGTTAATTAGGGTGTTAAAAAACAAATGTTTCCAATCTGGTTCACTGGTGTAAGCTAAAAAAATCATTTTCTTTCAATGAACAAAATGTAAAGTCACATAGCAATTTATTATGAAGCAGAATCAATTCCATCAGCTATATCTTCAGTGGGCAAAGTTATATTCTCTCTCTCTCTCTCACATACACACACACTCACACTCATGTGAACACAGGTGTAGTGAGAAAGAAAAAGTGTGAGCAACACAAGGTAATGAAATGGAAAAAAAATAGTCTCTCACTATTCAGAACGGGGTTTGTTTTGAGGATGCAGAATATAACAACTGTAAAATTGGATTGTGTGTTAAAAACTCTTATCAGTGGCAATTCAGTTCCTTTCACTCTTGCCTGAAACAAGCAGTCTTCTATTTTGCTGCACTGAGCAGAAACTTTCATGTGCAGTTTAACCATCCCAGATTTAGAAGCACAAGCAAACCTCACATGCACACTACTTTTCAATAGTAGTGCACATGCACATGGTAGGCATGTCATTAGTGGAGCTAGCTGGAGCCAGGGGTCAGACTAGATGGCCCAGGAGGCCCCTTTTGACTCTGTTTCTAGTGTAAGCTTCAGGGTTGAATTTAGCTTCAATTTATCCAGGGTTGAGAAACCAAGTAATATATATATATATATGAATAAACAAAACATGTCTGAGATAAATATCTATATTGGCATATTAAGAAAAGATCCAGTTGGTTCAAGAGGGCAGGGGAAAGAGCACCATTTACCCTTATTTCCACAGCAGGTGCTAGAAAATCTGTAGAATCCTGATGTCTCGCCTATCTCCAGAAACATTCAGAGATCAATGTAATGCCTAGTTTTCTAGATTAAACCATACTTACTAAGAAGCATGGAATCTAGCATCTTACCTTGTTCAGCTTGGTTTTTGATTGAAGGAAGGAACCCATTATACGAATGGCAATATTCACTCGCTTTTCTAAACGTTAGATCCTTAGGTGGCACCAATTGAAAACACTGAAAGAGGAGTATTTTTCTTAAAGCAACATATAGTGAACTGATTACGGTGAGAATTCTTTGATGCTTAGTTTAAGGTGTAGCTGACAAAGCACAACATCAATCCAGGATCGGGCAGATCCTTACAAAAAACAAGTTGTTACAATTCAGGGTCACTCTATGACCTTGCAAATACCCATCAAACTGATTTGGAGACTTAACATCAGAAGATATATTAAAAGTTTTCTAATAGATATCACATGGTCTGAAAAATAAAGGGATAAGGATACTTATTTATTTTTACCTGATCCTGGAAAACGAACCAGTTTTCCGGGCACTTTCTCTGAGGTGCTTGAAAATTCGGATCGTGTGCCTCCAACAGCGATGTGTTGTATTTCTCACAGATGAAAGGGAGCTTGGCACTGCAATCTATGGTGTTGTCTGCAGGAACCATAAACAGACAAGTAAAACCATAATGTTAATATCTTTGTGTTGTGTCCCGCGGTTTTACGGATGAGACCAGAGACCAGCTGGAATTTTCGAGAGAAGCAGTTTATTTCCTGCAGGGACCAAGCACTCATTGGAGTGTGGTCTCGAGCAGAGGGAAGACATTGCTTTTATACTCTTTTACACTTATGCTTGAATAACAGCGAACAATAGGGGAAAGCTACCAAGCCCCATTTGCACATTTATCATGCTAAAGCAAGCAAGCGAGGGTACAAGGGTGTAACGTCTGCGGTGATGCTGGAGCGTAGCCTGCTTTGTTGTCAGCCTTGCGTAGCGTGCACATCCTTGTTCTTGTCCTTGTTCTCACGCGAACAGGACACCTTGACCATGCTTTTTACCCGTGACGAGCCATGCCCTGGCTGCGTGTCCGATTATGAGGGGGGTTACAACACTTTGCATCAGAACTGATTCGTTTGAGGTCCTGTTCACACTTAACAAGAGAGAACCTTGAGCTCAAAAGCAGGACTCACACTTTGCCAGCAGACAGTTGTTGGTTCAACTCACATTATCTCCAGTTTAAAAAACTTTAGTCACAGTGTTGGGAAATGCTTCTTGCTGCTTGAAAGGGCGAGCTGCTCTCCTCAAACTGTAGCTCTTTGAGGTGTTTACTGTGTAGTCAAAAACATGGGCTGTACACCCATGCAGACTTGGCTGGAATGTCCTAGAGCTGAAACATTTAGACAGGAAGCTCATGCTATCTCCTGCAGCATGTGCCTCGAGGGTGATGTTCCAAATGTTTCCCTCAAATAGCAGCACCAAAAAAACTGAGGGAAGCAAGTGAGAAACTTCCCAAAATACTTGTAGCAGAGTAAGAAGACGGACTGTGTGGCTGCACAAGGACCATCGAAAGAACAATAGTTACAGGTAAGCAACGTGTCCTTCTTCACAATCCCTGTGCATCAGGCAGAAGGGTGATAAGCCAGCTGGCTTACCCAAGGAGAAGGGTTCAAGTGCAAGCAGCGTCCCTGCTAGTCTAAACACTGAAGCAGCACCACTTAATATAAAGGCTGCAGACGATGAGCAGGCAGAGGCCTTGCATAGGTTTTAAAGAAGAACACCTCTCAACTGGGGGAAACAACCGGGTACACAATGGGCCTGAGGCAACAGTGAGAGCCAAGTCAGAATGTACTGGAGCCTGATCATTTCAGAGATCCAATCTGATGGTCTTCAATATCAAAGCACCCTTATTTTTGCCACTGTAACTGACAAAGTAAGTATCAGAACCTTTTGAAACACAGCAGGCCCATGAAGGTAGGATAGAATCCATTGCGCTCCTGTGAAGGAAGAACACTATGGAGCTATGATTGCATTTGGCAAGAAGATGGGAAGAGTGGAAGCTTGGTTCAAATGAAAATGTGTCAAAACTTTAGGTAGGAAAGTTGGATCTGTCCTACATGCTGCCTGGCCCAGTGGAGGACCACAATTCTCAGGCTGGTCCGGAAGGCACCTCACTCGATGTCTGGAGGTTATGGCAATGTGCAAACGTACCTTGCATGTGAACAACCTGGGATCACACAAAGCCAGCAGTTTGAAAGGCTTGGGCATTAAGGCAGACAAAACTACAGAGAGGCTCCAGGAAGGAATTGGCCAGGAAACCGGCAGGGATATAGTACTTCAGTCTCACTAGAAGTGTCCAAGTCAACAGATGGAAGCAAAACATATTGAACACAGACAATGCTGCCAAATAAATTTGAAAGGATGATAAAGCAAGTCTTCAATTAACAGAAACTGAACAGGATGAAAGAACAGGAAATAGGATTAACTGAAATGGAGTCAGCAGGCAGCAGGAATTCTCACCCCTGAGAGGGACCCGAAGAGCCATAAGCTATTGTTAGAAGACACTGCAAAATCAGAGAGCACTCTCACAAAAAATAAAGGGAAATGTTAAAAAGTGGTAAGCTATGAAGCAGTAGATAGAAAGACTAGGAAGAGTAAAAATAAAAAAATACACAGCTCCATCATCAAAGACGTGATTTAGTACAGAAGGCTCCCAATGCTGCTGCAGCAGTCGAAGACAGACTGAGGCAAAGTAAGTGTCTCTTAAGTCCTGCCCTCTGGACATGCTTTGGAGGAGTCGGGCCGACTTCCTGCCTAAGATCTCAGCTCAGAAGAGTTCCAACGCAAGATCCCCACGGACACAAACCCCATATATGTGATGCACACAGACCATGAAGAACCACCCTGGAAATATGCTGTCAGGAAATACGTTACCATGGAAAGATAAATTCCAGCCTACAGCTATGCCCAATCTGGTGACAGAAGTTATGCTGCCTTGGTGCGCCCTATTCCCCTGAAGAAAGGAGTTCACAGAGCCATACAGTCGGAAGGGGCCTAGAAGGCCATCGGCCGCAACCTCCTGCTGAATGCAGGAATCAAGACTCCCATCCAAATACCAACCAGGCCTGACCCTGCTTAGCTTCCAAGATTAGGCAGGATTGGGCACCTCAGGCTATATGGAAGCTGGTTATCTCCCGTAATCAAGAAAATCCCTTGGGGTCAAGTTCAGTATGTACACACGCACATGCGCACACACTTGGGTCATATACTGTATATATTGTCCCATAATCTATTCCCCACCCTTGGGTCAGGTCCTGCAAGCCTCAGCCAAGTCCTTTCCTTTGCACCCTGACTGGCATGGGAGTGGCATTAGAAGGAGGCGGCTGGCTTGACGGGCTTGCAGGACACAGAGGGGAGCATTCTGAACACTGGCGATGCACCCACCACGCAGAGCACGCAGGCTGTGCCAGCCACCTGCAGAGCCTCTAGTCCAGTTGTTTCTTGGCTATCTGTGCTGTTAGGAAATGTTATAAAAGCTGCAGAAGTCCTACTGACTTCTACAGACTGCATGAACTCTGAATGCAGGACCATCTCTAAGATTACAAACAAGCCCTGCCAGTCTATATTTATTGCCTTTAATATTTGAAGCAATGTTCTGTCTCTGTATATATTTTTTAAAAACCACGAAAGTCTCTGTGGCTGAACGAAACAAAAAGATTTAATAGGGAACAATAAACTGTTCCCAAAAAGAAAAAACTCTTAAGGGTTGTAAAGGACCTGTTTTAAAAATAAACACCTTACCTCTAAACCAGGTTTGATAAGAAACATGCCAACAATTCCTGAAGTGTCGTTCATGGTAGTATGAAAATAACGCAGAACTAGACACAACAAAGAAAACAAGTATTTTAAAAGTAGCCTTCAGTTGTTATTGAAAGACAAGACGACTAAGTAACAAGCGAGCTATGCTGGCTTCTTTATCTGGCATCTGTTATATTACGCAGAACAGGTTTGCTGGAAGAACAGAGATATGGAGATAGCATCTTTTTCTGCAGCTACTGAACACAGTGATTGTTCCTCAATTGTTAGGTTTCTGTTACTTTCTGCCTTGAGCACTTTGGCCCTGCTGCAGTTCCAATCTGGGGACTCTTTACTTATTGCTTATTCTAAAAATTCTGTCCATGCAATTCCTGATTTGCTTTGGGATAAAGAAGAGGGGCTGGCACGCAATCCTAATCAGCACTAAGATTATTAATTAATTAAATTTGTTACTCACCTTTTTCCTTCAAGGGACCCAAGATGGTTCACATAATTCTCCTCTCCAGTTTGTTTTTAAATTGACCCTGTGAGGTAGATGAAGCTGAATGTCAGTGACTGGTCCAAAGTCACACACTGAGATTCATGGCCAAGTGTAGATTAGAACCCAGATCTCCGGTGTTCCAGTCCAACACTTTAACCACCACACCACACTGCCACAGATATTCCGTTGAGGCACTTGCCCCTTGGCAAGCCTTACATTGCAATCAGTTTGTATCGATGCCAAGGACACTTCCACAAATTTTCAGAAGTGCTTGTGACCCAAGCAGATTGTGCATCTAATCCACTGGTTTTTTGTTTTTAAATATCTGTGAAACTCCTGTGGAAATTTCCTGTGGAAGGTGGTATCAAATTTCAGATGATGAATAAATCTTGAAACTCTTAGCTCCAACATCTAGCCTAGTGCTGCAGCTTGTTCACATTACTAGATCATTATGGGCCAGGCACCAATTTTCAGTCAAGCTTACCTCACAGGGTTGTTGTTGTGAGAATAAATGGAGGGGAGGAGAACTTTGTAAGCCACTTTGGATTCCCTGTAAAAGGGAAAAAAAACAGGGAAGAAATGCAGTATGATAATATAATGATAATGATAGATGGGTCTACATACAGCGAATGAAATCGACTTGTAGAAGGTGTGTATCTCAGCCACCAATTCTGCTTCTGATCTGATAACTGCAAAAGCAAAAGGAGATGTGGACTTAAACCTGGACGACCAAATATCTTTCAGTACAGTTACAGTGCAAAGCAAAGTAAGTGTAACAAAGTGAAAACCTTCTGCATAGTTAGATCATTTATGATCACATCCCACCACCAATCCAGGCTTCTCAGTAATATATTGGGGCTCAAAGCATGAAGCCATTTTAATTTTCATCTTTGAATTGCAGTGCAAGATTTCCCTGCAGCAAAACTACAGCCTGCTGATTAGAAGCCTCTGCGTGGCGGCAATTCATTCGCAAAGACAGTTGGTGCTCTTTGACCACTGCTTGCTCAAATGGGAATCAGGCCAAGACCCTCATGTGGTGCTTAGGAAGCCTCGACTTTCTTGAAATGGGCTTCCTCCTGCACTCCAGATCGTAAGAGTCTCAAGCCCTGTTAACTGTTTTTCCTGCACTTTGGAAAGATGGATGTTCCTACAAGACTAATCTTAATGGGTTTCAATCAAACATGGCTCTAATCTACGTGAACCACGCATTCAAGGGTTTAACCTCTAAGCACCCTTGTTAACTACAGACAAAACTGTAGAAGATGGTCAAGCCAGAATAGAGGAAAACCTTGGTTCTGTTCCCACCACTGGGTATCATACTTCTTACCCATCTTCCTAAGCAGACAGACTTCATTATTTCGGGATAGATATGATTCACAATAAAAGCTATCCATAATAAGTAAGGAATTACATTTGCTATTCTGTTCAAAATTCCTGTCAGTGCTGTGAACGAGGTGACAGAAGCCAAGTCACTGTCATTCTTCGAGCAGAATGCAGATGCTTCTTGATAGCTCAGGTGCTTTTCCGGCACAAACCAGAATTCAGACCCATCAATAATCAGTGCTGGCCCATGAATTCCAACTTCATCTACAAAAAAACAAAAAACACAACAGGCATAGACAGGCATTTATATTCAATAAAAATTACATGCATACACAAACCCCCAAAACTTTGCCACTCTGGAACGTGTAACAAATAGTGGTTAATGCCTTGTAACAATCACACCAAGTAAATCAATAGCATCTAAAAGTGCAGCCGTACATATAGCAAGCATCATGACCTGCACACGCCCCAAGGTGTTCAATGCAGCCCTGAGCCACTGCGTGTGATATTCAGGGCTTTTTCGCACAGTAATCTCTCCAGTTCCCCAGCTGGCATGCCCAAGTATAGGCATGCCATGAGGGCGGCATAGCCTTGCGTGTCCCAACAACCCCGTTCTGCCATGAGGTCGATCAAAGAACTACACAGGGCACTGATTCCAGCGACTGATCAGATTCCAGTCAGTGCACATAAATCCTGGAGGGGAAGAATGAGTTGAAGGAGTCTAGCCAGTCTGCACAGAAAAGGCACATGCTTATGTTCCTATGTGGATCAAGGTCCACGACGGTAATTCTATGAGCAATACTTTTGGAAAGCACGTGTTCCAAATGACTGGCATGATGGGCTCAATTTATAAACAACTCGAGTTCCACATACCTGAGATATCACCTTCCCGCGTTCCATTACAGCAAATGCAAGTGCCCCCATAAGCTTGCAAGCCATGAATCAATTATGACTTCGGACACACTTGCTCACTGCCTGTACTAGCACTCTCCCTGAAAATGTTCGTGGGCAGAGCCAAGTTTCTTTACAAAACTGTGTAAGATTGTTCCAAATTTCAGTTAGCTATTGGTTGCTGGGCAAATATATATTCCATATTATATTCAGTACAGAATTCCTGCTAGTGCTACGAAAGAGATCATTCATAAAGTAATATATTACACATTATATTGCAAAATATATTATATTAGATATGTGTGATGTGTTCATGCTGCTCTTTGATTATAAATCCCCTTAAACGAAGTCCCTGCTGAGACTGTTGGTCTGGAGTTAAGCAGATGGTTCAGCTGGGTACAGAGCAAGGAGCCAGCAGCTCACAACTGAGTGCGCCATTTCTCAAACTGTGGCTTCATACCAGAGTAAGCCATCAGATAAAGCCTCGTGCAACCTTATTAGTTCCTCGTGTCACTAGCAGTGGAAAGCTAAAGTATACTGTCGGGCCGTCTAAAGCAGTGGTGCTGCAGTGTAGCAGAGATCAAGTCAACAGTTCCCTCTGCTTGCAAGCTGCATGCAAGGGTGCAAAGCAAAGCGCCCAGGCCCAGCTGTCAGAGATTTCATTTGAGATCTAAGGCACTTTTCAGTTGCATGTGTGGACACCACCTTAATGTGGGAAAACTCACCTGGTTTATACCACTCTGGTATCTCTGGAGTAATACCTGTGGAGAACAGAAGAAGGAATTGTCATTGGGCCTGCTGATTTTGCCTTGGTCACAACGGAAAGGGCAGAGAGAAATGCGCAAGAGCTTTGTTAAACAATGTGTGGAATTGCTTTGTCTCTTTATCAGAAATGCACAAGCAGTGTGGTAAATATACATCTCTTAAGCATGGGCAAAACAATAATTTAAAAGAAAATTAAATCAAGAGTATATAGTGATTTTGTCACACCCTGCAAATCCAGCTTTACTTGGTCAAAAATACCAAGAAGCTCTTGGAAAGACTTGGACAAAGCCTAGGACTTGGTGTGGTGGTTAAGAGTGTTAGATCCAGGTTCTAGTACCCGCCTGGCCATGGCGCTCACTGGGTAACGCTCGGCCAGTCGCAGACTCAGTTCAACCTACCCCAAAGGGCTGCTGTTGCAAGGATAAAATCAAGCTATGTGATGTATGTCATCACAGTTCAGGTTCCCTTGGCCTTGCAGTTGGGAGTCAAAGGAGCAGTTGGAACTCTCAGAAAAGAGCACAGTAGCATCATGCTGTGCATTTTATTTTCCTAAATTCTGCTGGCCCAGGAGAAGGCACTTAGGCTCAGCAGGATACTTCGTATGCCGCTGGTCCCAGATCTAATCCTCAGCATCTTCAGGCAGGGCTGAGAAAAACCGGTTGTGAGTAGCTGCTGTGCAACTTCAGTAAAGGCTGGTTTGCCAACCCAGCATGGATTTTATTGTTTGGAAACACTGGCCTCAAACGCTGCTTTTACTGCATAAAGTGGCTAACTCAATCAGCATATTTTCCTCACACTAACAATATATGAACAGCTGCCCTCAAAGGTGCCCAAATTCTGCCGCTGGCTGCAGTTGCCTCCCTCTTCCTACTGATGGGGCTTCTCCTCCTGATGAATGTGGTCACATGGAATAGGAAGTATGAGAGCAATTTTTAGACAAAATTCTCTAGCCAATAAAAATTGAGCAGTGAATATTCAAAAACTGATTTATGCATCCCTTATAATCATCACTATAAAAAAGAAAGAAGAAAGCCTTCAATCTTGGATGAAAAGAACTCTGGTTCGAAAGAAATCTTTATTAAATTCTGTGTCTCAGATTGCAGAAATCTGGGTAGGCAGCTTGTGTTGGCAGACATAACAAAATGAAGGTGAAAACATTTCCTACCCCAACCCCACAGTGTGTGCTATATTCAGGACCTATACCGAATACAGTGGCACTCAACTTCTAAATGAACATCCATAGGACAGAGCTGTACAATACGTTTGCAACTGAAATTTACCTTTAGAAATCTGGCACACCCATTCAAGCTTTGCACCACAGTGGAATGGTTTTAAATAGAAATCCTCTTCTCTGTCTCCAAAAAGGTGAAATGACCACATTGCTCGTCGCATTGCTCTAAGAGTCTGCTCAACAGGAAGATAAACATGATGAAAATATGTAGCATTGGTATTCAGTATATTTTCCTGCACACATGCTGTAATATCATGCACGTTTATGGACAATTAAATTCCACTGTGCTCAGTGGAGTATACTCCTAAAGAAGCGTCTAAATGCCTAAGTCAGCTCTTAATAAATCCCATTTATCTCCTGTGTGCTTTAAAAGATAAAATGTACAACTAATTAGTGGCCTGTGCATAAGAATTATGTGTCCAATGGAACCGCCTTCCAATAATACATGCAGGACTGCAGCTTGAAGGCGATAACATGCGACACAAGAACATGTGTGCTTCAGCAGGTGGTGGGCTGGGACAGAGCTATGTGACACGGCCACAATCCTTAAAAGTGTGCGGGAGCACAGTGATGCCTGATCAAGGCTGTGCATTTGGTTATCAAATGCCATTTGTTTGTGCAATTACTTTGCATTGTTAACACTGATCTTTTTGCTTTCAAGTTTTTAGAAATAAAATACTGATGGAGAAAAAGAGGATGCTGCCATTCAAATACAAAAATGAAAAACAACCTACTGCAAAAGAGCCACTGTTGCTGCATTTTTCAAATCTATAAACTCATTTGATGAATGCTGCGTAATTTTAAATTTTTATTTGACAGTGCACTTGGCTGAGCAATCCAAAACCCTTTTGCCATCCATCCAAGGAGGGTCCAGAGATGCTGCTCAACTGGTGGCGGGGTAGACTATCTGTTCCTCTGGATCAGCCTGTGAAGAGCTCAGCAAATATAGCAATCCTGCCAGTACTGATTCTGCTGGCACCAGGTCCTACAAAGTGGTGTTCAACTGGAGCCAAATTCTATTCATTCACTCAGAAGCTCCAGCCTTGAGCTGGCACAACTGACTTCCCCCCACTGGAACTCACTGGGGGGGGAGGGGAGCAGGTGGGGAAACAACAGAGAATCATAGGCAACACAGAAGGGTAAGATCTGGCTTTTCACATGCCTCCCTTCTACCTTGGCTTTTGCAAACTATTAGGGCTTTGAAATTGGTGGAACGTCTAGCCCAGGGGTCTCAAACTCAACTGACCTGGGGGCCGCTGGAAGGAGAGTCTGGGTGAGGCTGGGCCGCATCACGTATCCCTCCACCGCGGTGGTGGTGGGCCGCTCATCCCACGGCCGGCCCCAGCACAGCCGGCGCTTTGAAGGCCGCAGGGCCCCTCCCCCGTGCCCCCCCCTGTCCCAGCAAGTGGCCCACGGGCCGCGAGTTTGAGACCCCTGCTCTAGCCAAACCTCGCATCCTGCCACCCACTTAGGAAGGGTCTGTTAAGCCACAGCTGCTTGCCCAGGGTAACAGGATGACTTGGGAGAACTCACTTAGGACTTACTAGTAAACCAAAAGTGCCTTGTTTTTACTGAACAGCAAACCAAAAATGGCACCTCATGTTGACCAAGTTTATCAGCCAATTAATATAGCAACTGAATTAATGTAACAAAATGTAGCACAATTTTATGTAAAAGTTACAGCACAATCCTATGCATGCCTACTCAAAAGTAAGCCCCACAGATTTCAGCTGGACTCACTGCTAAGTTAAGCACATATAGGATAGCCTTATTTAGTTATTTGATTTGTATTCCACCCTTTTACCAAGAAAGCTTTGGTGATCAGAACAGTTTAAATGCACCTTGACAGCTGCACAGTCTCTAGTGTCATAGTCATCTTCTCTAAACTCAGGGGACATGACGACAGTAGACACCTAAACAAAGGAAAGAGACAGTTGCGCAACATATTACCTAATTGCATTTAATTCATATGAACCAGCAAGTTGTAGCAACAATACCTGCAGTACTACAGAGTGTAAGCATCTCAAATGGGGGCTAGCAGGCAGTTCCCACCCGGTAATGGCTCTTAGTGAAGTTGTGCTTTGGTGGATTGCACCAAAAAAGTCTTTCAAAAAATGCATACTAACATAGGCCTTTATGGAAGTGAAAGGCCACATTCTGATATTTACTTAGCACTAGTTAAAGTTAAAAGTTAACTTTAAAAGTTAGCTCATTACCATCTGGAGCTTCATATGTACTCCTATGAATATACAAGGTGTCATAACTTGAGGGTTCCCTATTGATTTTACAGAGCAAAGCGGAATGTGTTCTGTGGAACTGGTTCTTCTGGTGTAAGAAGTGCAGCAGTTCTTGTGGACAGCAACTTCCATGTTTCTTGATGCCCTTCCACAAGCAAGGACTAGATCACTTCTGAATCAAGTGATTTCTTCCACATCCACCTACATTCTCCCAGTTAGGATCTGATCTTCCTTTACTGTTGTCAACTTACCGGCTTATCGTCACTCCACTGCCATGATCCTGGTGACTCTGGATTCCTCTTATTTAGCCCAACCCAGACCCATCTGTCATCACTGAAAAAAGAGAACATTTCGGTACAAAGCTATATTTCAACACAATTACTCTAAAGCTGTGTATTTTATCACAGTCAGCTTATAAAGCAATTGCCTCTGCAGATTTCTGAATTTTCAGTATGGTGGGGAATATGTATTGTCTGCCAAGATGCCCTCTGGGCCAGCCATTTTTGTGTTCAAATGGACATTTCCATAGGAAGCCAGAATCTGTATTTCAGCACTGAAGCAGAAAGGTGGCATGCATTTGGAATACATGTGGTGGACTCGAGGCAAGTTTGTCTCTCTTCGGAAGCAGAACCTACAAGCCTCAACATGAGGTGATGCACTGCAGTCCCACCCCCTTACCATGCACACAGTACTTAGATGTAGAATTGATTAAAAATAAGAAGCATTAACTTTTAAGATATTCTAAGCAGGTTTTCATGCCATGCTATGCCACTTTGAGAATAAGACCGCATGGATTGTTTGTTCATTTGCTAACTCCAATGGACAATCATGAGCTCTGTGGTTTCCCATGGCATGTTTCCATCCCCCTCAGTCCTCCTACAGACTCTGGTATGTTTTTCAGGTGGCTCTGCATAAAAACTCCTCATGTACTTGGTCCGAGACTTTTCTGCAATTCATCTGGTAGGGCTGCTAACTATTAAGAGAAATCCACTCCCATCAGATCACCAAATGGAATTCATTTTCTGAGCCCTTAGGAACACATTCACATGCTTGCCAACATTTTTCTCTTAAGTTCTTGCACTCTGTTACAAGACTACCTCTCCATGACTAAGACATCCATCTCCTGCTCTGCTCAACAATCTTGTAAACTGGGCCTCCAGGTTGGGTTTTCTTTGCTACTGAACACATTTTTTAAAGTTCCTTCATGTTCTGCTGAAACAAGGACACCCACCCACCAAGTGCCATTTCCCCTACAGCTGCCAGTTGCTTTTGGCTACCACCATCCGTCGAGCTTGTTGCTCTCCCTCACCAGCCTCCACTGCTAGCTCCAGTGTGACACACAGACATGGGCTACACGCTCCTGGACTGGGAGGCATATGCAAATCTCATAGCAAGGCTGTAAAAGGAAGAGGAAGGACGTTGTGGAAAGCTCAGGGCAAAACAATACCACAAAGGGGGAAATTGTGCAAATTTTATGTCAGTAAAACTAAGGGGAAATGACACATTCCCTCTTGTGCAGTTGTGGAGCACTGAAAATAACGGTGAAACAAATTACAAACAGGCCTTGACATTCTCCACTATCCATGCTTCCAGGTTTTCAAGAGCAGGGCTGAGAAGAGGGAGGATGGGAGTGGCACTAGTGAGACTGTGAAGAACGGCAGCGGGTTCTGCCACTCCTGCCAGGTGGCTCTTTGGCCTTTCTCAGCCACTTCCAGTGAAGGTGTCCTGGTGGGCTTTGACTCACAGGAAGCCAATGTGGTTATGAACTGCCCAGCAAGTCACGGGCTGTCCGTATGGTTGTACTAGGGTTGCAGGACGCAACCGCTCACCTGGCTGATCAGCCACTGTGGGTTGCCCTATTCTGAGAGCCAGGTCATTAAAATAGAGCTCCTCCTGTTGATCCGTTTTCTAGCAATAACAGCAAGGCTTGGGACCAGGCATGCCTCCTCCCTTACCGACCTGCCTGGTCACCGAAGTCCTCAGATGACATTCCTTTGCAGGCACCACGCAAAGAGCCACGGACCAACTGGAGCCCACCTGCAGAACAGCCCCATTCACTCAGGAGGTGTGGCAGGCCCCACAGCACGCTATTTTGGGTGCCCGCGGAAGACATCCTTGCTCTGGGAAGCAGGCCAGCCATAGTTATAATGTTACCATGTTTTTAACATACTGTTTTTACTTTCATTTGTTTTATTTGTTTACTGTTTACCACTTTGGAATAACACAGTAAAGCCCCACAGTTTTACTGCAAATAGCTAAACTGTGTTTTTCTATTTTCATTGCCATTTGCCACTTAACTGTCACTTTAAACAGCATACTTTAAACAGCAAACTATTTTATGCTTTGAAGATGACTAATCCTTTTTTCCATTCCGCACTTTTTTAGCTGAATCCCTAATGAATTCTGTTTTCACCAGAAATCAACAAAAAGCACATTTCTGACTGGCTGGAGTTTGAAAGAGAGAAAAGCAAAACATAAAACCCTAATACAAAGAAGTGGAGCAGCAGAAAGAAAGAGGGAGAACCCAGCAGCCAGCACAGAATCTTAGAGAAAAAAACAAGTCAGAGCCAATGACAGTCATTCCAACATGCTGCTTGGGCACAGGTGGACTGGCAAAGTCCCTGGCAGCCACGTGGGGATCTGTGAGAAAAGAAACAGGTTCTGCAGTGCAGGACCCTGGGGTACCAGCCAGAGGACTGGAGGGGACAGAGGCTAAGACAACCCACAGAAAGTACAGAAAACAACTCATCCCGCATAGCTTGTTTACAGAGTGGGTTGTCATGTGAACTATTTCATCAACCTTAAAAAGAAAGTTGCAGGACATCCAAGCTTGCAGACAGATTCATCGACTGACTTGCAGCACAATACCAGCAGGATCTCAAGAATATTACCTGATAATTTCTCTCAATGTGGTATGGAGCTCCCTCATTTCATCCACGTGGCTAAAACTAGGAAGATGTCCTCCAAGAGCCTCACAAAATCTCTCTGCTTCTTCCCACGTTCTGGTTCTCAGCACTCTTTCCTTATGAAAGAACTTTATAAAAGGAAACGAAACATTGTAAGCTACCCACAGAACCTAAGGACTAACTGGGTGCATATAAATCAAATAAATAAAAACATCAGACTCAATCCTTTATCAATTTTATATTTTGAGCATTCTCTTTTAATTCTTTGATTTATTTATTTGGGATATTTTTAGGCCGTCCAATCACACTGAGTCTCTTGATGGTCTGTTGTTCACTCATACTGCTTCTGTGTAAGCATTTAATTTTATTCTTTCTTGATCAAACACACACACACACAGTTAGCCAAGAATACATCTTACATTTTTTTGGTTTGGGTACTAAGCTGCTGTGAGCATTATTTTAGCTTTACTCCACTGGTGGAAAGGGAGAAGGCATTTTTTGTCTGACTCACTCTTACAGTACCCTGGAAATTTGTTCCAGACGATTGAGGGTCCTCTGGAACTATGTGGGAAGCTTCACTGTGGGCAGCAAGAGTAATCAGCAATGAGTAAAACATGCTTTCCTCTGCACAAACCAGCAGGAGCTGGATCAATGACCTTCTGAAAACAGAGGATTTTCCATGCACAGAATGGTAACTCAGGGTCCCAAATAGTCTGCTCAGAGCCTGATCATTCACTGAATAAATTAATATAATTTTAGAAAGAAACTGATCAGTTACTGCAATCATGTTATGAAATAACATGCTGTAATGAAACTTTTGACCAGGAAAAAAGAAAAATATCCAGATATTCTACGGGCTTTAATACAAACCAACACAGTACAATATGGATACTGTTAACACACACACACACATGTTCTCATGAAATTACACTAGATCAATTAGGAACTTTAATAGGAATGATATACTACCTTATAACAAACAAGACCTGATCCACTGTGCCACCCTTCAGGGCAGGGGTCAGTGACTTTGGGTGGTACGTCTGGTTTCCTTTTTGGTCCAATGTATTTCTTGCAAATAGAGTAAGCTTTAAATGTTTTGCAGTTCTTGACTTCCCACTTTCCAAGGTATTTTCCACTCGACATAGCCACACATCCTCCAAGCAGAGCTAGAATGTTGATTTTAAAAACTTTCAGCATTGTCTATACTTATTTTCAGAAACCGAACATTGTACAAAACTACTTTCCAAAACACGTAGCCACACACCAATTTCAAGATTTTACCTGGTTCAAATCTGCCCCAGTTTGCATATGTCAACATTTCAATAGTTCCATCAACACTTCCCCAGCTATATTCTCCTGAAGATTTGATATCTTGCAAGCCAGTCCAGAAGTACTTTTCTTCAACTCTGCTATACTTTCTAATCAGACTGTTTATGAATTCTTGTTCAAATCTGTAAGAGTCAAAAGTTACAGATTAAGGAGTAATTACCCATATCAAATGTGCAAATACATCTTACTTGAGGGAAATGAACACTTTGCTTCACAGGGATATAGTGTATGTATTTTCCACATTCATATATTTAAGAAGTACATAAGAGTTAGCAAATTAGACTTATCTCTTGCCCACCAATTATATTTTATTCATTCAAAGTGAAAACTACACAATACCTGTTCCCTATTGTGAGATTGCATGATTTTCCAAATGAGACTTCATTCTCTTCGACTTTGTAACAAAAATTTCCATGCTTCTTCCATTCCTAGTTTGGAGAATGATAATCTTTTACTTTTAGATAAATGCAGCATGCCCAATTCCCTTACCACATTCACACATAATGCTAAACCAGGATTCCTGGCTTACTTTGAATAAGGCATGCATTTCTTCCTCCTGTCACAACATGGTTTGTTGCTAGCTTACAATTCTACCTTGCCTGGGACCAAAAAATGAAAATTCTGGGTTCAGGTGGCACAGTAAGATCTTCTTTGCTGCTCAATTTCATGCACTTGTAGGAGTGAAGGAGAAAAGGGGGAGTGGACAGGCTGCATGCACTAGCACACAACTTATCCATAGTTATGTCAGGATAGACACGTACAGGATCATCCCCTGAGACATTAAAATAGCCACTAGGCACAATACAGGTGTTTACTCTTTTATTTAGTATAAGAATTGTAAATAATTCCATTTTATTTTCTGTGTTTATTATTACTGAATATGAAATGTGAAATGGCAAACATGTTGAGCAAACGGTAGCAAATTATGTTAAATAAGATCACCAAGATTAATTAAAAATAGAATTGTTGCTATTGCCTTACCCCATCTGTAGGACAATCCTTAACAGGTTTTGGTTTATCCAAAACCTTTCCTTTTTTCATGCACACGTATTTGAGTTTATCATCACAATGTAGAACGTTCCATCGGCCCCACTATAAACAAGAGGAAAAAGCGGGGTTGTCTTTGTTAGACACCTAAAGTCTCATTCTTTTTATGTTGCATATAAACACACTTCTTCAATACTGGAATAAAGGCAGATTTAGCCAATTCTCAGCTTTTCCCATGTCCTTCTCCTCAAAGGAGGGATTCCCACCTTCCTCAATGCCTTCTCACCTTCTAAACCCCCCATTAATCACTGTTGCTTATGCACCTTGGCACCTCCCATTTATCTACCATGCCTTGGAGAGACCAATCAGCAGGTGTGAAAGCTGGTGTCCCACAAAAGGTGAGAGATGGCTGTGTATGTTTCCTCTTACAGAAAGCTGTGAGCGACTGAGAAGACATGATAGGCCCTGTGTATTTGTTCTAAGGTCTGTCATTTTCTTGTTCTAAGGTCCATTAACATGAACTACAGCTGTAGAAACTGGATATTTAATGCTTACTCCTATGCATATTTGCATGGGAGAAAGTTCCACTGAAGTCAGAGGGCCTTATTTCCTAGTAAACATGCGATAATAACCCCCTCCAAAACTAAACAAGCTATACACATACACAAAAGCACAATATAAGGCAATTTATGAATTTTATTCCCTGCTCTGAAATGGGATAGGCACTTTGAACATTTAATTATAGAATATAGACGTTCCTTACCTTTCCTGAGTAGGCAACACAGTTAGGAGTGCTGTTGGAAGGAATTTTTGGCTCATTTTGATCCCAGTAGGTAAAAACCACGTCGGAGCCATCTGACCACTTAAACAAGGCTGGAACTTCCTCATTGATAAACCCTGTCCATACTTTATCTTTTGTTTCTATATTCAGAAATGCAAGCAAGCAATTAAAAAAGAATACAGACAATGGAATGACAAGGCACTTAGAAACAATGGACAGCCAATAGGTCAGGGATGCTTTAACTTGTGGTTATACATTAAGTAGGGAGGTGAACTTGATGGGTTTATTGGCCTCTTTCAACTATTCTTTGAGTCCATGATTAGTCATGTAATCAGAACAAGAACACATTTTTCTCCCAGAACTGAGTGGAAGTTCCTAAGACTTCTTACAGTACATTTAAAAGGATGTAGCCACCACAGTGTCATGAGGTAACTCACGCTTCAATTAATTCATACAGCAGACCATATATCAGCTAAAAACTTTTATTGCTACTCACTACAAAATTTACGATTTAACTGATAAGCTCCACTAACGAGCTCCCTATCTCTTCAAAAGCAACATGTGGCATCAAACCTTCCTGTCTCATCTTTCCGCCCGAGGGTGTGGCAGACCCCTGTCCCGTTGTCGTAATTGGGTCTGTCGCATTAAGGCTCTCCTGTTTTGGGCATGTGCCAAACTCTCCGTCATGTCTTTTGCCCTCCTGAACTCTGTTCAGCAGTTTCAGAGCTAGGAGCTGGGGGGGGGGCACCTTCCTCAGGCAGCCCAGAGCTAGAATCAGAGGAAGCTACTCCTTCAGGAGCTTCCCCATCAGCCTGCGGGGGGTTGTATGCTCAGGGGCCGAGGGATGAGGTGGTGGAGAGGTTTCTTGCTCAGTAGCCTGAGAGCCAGGCTGTATATGGGCTGTCTGAGCACTGGTTCTCAAATATAAGTCTCCTTGGTCCATTGCCAAACTCTCACTGTTGGCTCCTGTCTCTTCCTCATGAGTAGACGTCTCTCCCGAGCCGTCAGGCACGACACACAGTGCATTTAACCCAGGCTGAATTATGTATTTGTTTATTCTTGAAACTGTGACAAATGGGAAATAATAACTAATCGAAAGCTAATTTCCATTACATTACTTATCCTTAAATTGAGAGAGGTGCTTAGGCTGAATACTGTAGATCATTCTCGGCTATGTTTAGCCAAACTTACCATTATGGATTTGTGTAACAAGTAACTCCACATCTGCTAAGGAATTTATGCTGATTAAGCTACTACTGCTCGCACTGCATGAGTGATATGCATCTTTCCAGGAAGCGGAAGCGTTCATTAGCATATAGCAAAATCCATTGTGAGGATACCAGTTAGAGTCACACTGGGTCTCTTCATAGTTTTGAACTCCTGGGAATAAAGAGAATAAGTGAATTATTTGCTGGTCAATATACACTGGGAGGTGATGGTAAAAGTCCCAACCTCTTAAAAGCACAGAACAGAACTAACGTGCAACTAACATGGCACAACCTGACCATACACTATGGAGGAGCTGTAGCTCAGTGGCAGAGTACATGTTTTGCATTCAGAATATCTCAGGTTTGAACCTTGGCATCTCCAGTTAAAAGAGCCATTAAAGACGTGCCTGAAACTAGAGAGCTGCTACCAATCAGAGTAGACAATACCTGGCTAGATGAGAGAGACAGTTTGACCTGGTATAAGGCAGCATCCTTCTGCAAAGATTCTCCCACTCAATTTTGCAGTCACATTGAAATGCTTTTCAGAAATATAAATCAAAGTAGTGCAGAATAAATCATGCTAACATCACATCTTGGAATGTAAGTGCAGTACATTCTCTGCCACCTCCACTTCTGCATTTTCCAAGATTGGAAAGAAGCCCATGCAGGCTGAAGTGTGTGGACTGAAGGGTTTTGGTGCACGGAACAGAAGAACAGGAGATGATTCCCACCCCACTCTTGCCATTGGCACATAATTACCCATGAAGCTTCAATCCGATTTTCTGTCTTTGGTCTTCTGTCCCTTCATACCAATGCTGACAAGAATGTACATTTTATTTTAAAATGCTACCACTCTCCAATTAGCTTCCTACCTTGCATTAATACAAATAATGAAACCCAGCCCAAGAGATATTCATGCTGTCTGATCCTACATGTATTTAATAAAAAGGAGGTTTCACTGAGTTCAGTCAGACTTACTCCTAGGTAAATGTGCACACTGCAATCCCACACACACTTCTAGGGAGCAAACTTGCCTAAACTTTTCAAGTACTGGTAATTATGGTCCCACTCTTGGGTGATGGTGAAAATCCCTTAAACTCTTTCCAGACTTGGTTTCTGCAAAAACTGAACTTCTGCACTCTTTTCTCACCCTTTGCATCTCATTATATTCTACTGTGATGAATATTTGGTATGGGTTTGGGTCTTTGCCGAGAACATTTTGCAATGCTATTTTTATTGCAAACAGAATTTCATAACTAAGTATGCCTGAAGAAGATGACAGTGGTTTAATAGTGAGAGGCAGCTGCAACCACAAACCGATCCTGATTTACCTGGGAGCTCTGACTCAGTGCTGTTGAATTGTTTCTTGCAGACATAAGGAAGTGCCGTCTCACAAGCATAACTCTTCCAGTCACCCTTGTTGGCATCCATAATTGCACACGCAGTTCCATCCAGAGGGGATGAATCCTTCATCTCTGCAGAAGAATAAAAATTAGTATTTAGAGTAGTGAATAAGAAATCAGAGTCTGCATAATTACAGGACTTGGAAGAACCGACGTGTGCATTGTTGTTCCTTCCTCCTTTTAAAAATGGTCACAAACTTCATGGAAGTTTTAATATAATATTCTTGATAGTGTGCTATTAAAATATTTAATAAGGCTGCAAACCTGTGTACACATACCAGAGAGTAAGCCCAACTGAACGCAGTGGAACTTACTTCTGAGTACACATGCATAAGATCACACTGACTAACCGACAGGTGCGTTTACCTGGACTCCAGCTAAGGAAGTTCAATGGCGTATGGTCTGACCACTGCCAGCCTCCAAAATTATCCAGTTGGTTTAATCCAATCCAAAACATGTCTGCAATGTCATCTTTAGCTAGAGGGTTAAAAAAATATCAGATGTTGATATAATTATAGGTGTTCAAGCAACAACATCATACTTGTGACTCAACTGCTGCCCTGAATCCAAACAGCATCTTTCAGTGTAGCTTTTCCTTACCTGGGATATTATGATTATGATTAGAATCTGAGCTGCAATACAACAGCATGGGAAAATGCAGGCACTGTTCCCACAGGTGTTATAAATGCTGTGTAGAATGTGTTCAAACAATAAATGAATTTATTGGACAGTGCCTGTGAAATCACCAGTGATAAGTGAGGACATCATTTTGAGAACTTAAATATTTTCAAAATACTAGCAATGCCTGTGATGCTACAAGTATATTTGGGGTGCCAATTCAGATCTGTTTAAAACAAAGAACACTGCAAACGGGCATGACACAGCATGGCTAGACACATCACATGTATTTGTTCAAGTTGTTGCATAATACTGGATTTTTTACCCTTTTCTGACCAATAGAAATATATGCTGCATTTTGAATTTCCATATTACTTATATGCAGGTGAGCATTTCTCTGCCAAGAAGCACAACGCTGACCTAAGCAGTTGCTTCCTGTAGAAAGCAGCATTGAAATTATGGAGACGGATTCTTTTCGAGATCTGCATGATCTGTAATATGATGGTAGAAAAGCTGATAACTTTTATGGTTGTTTTGAAAAGTTACTGCTTAATAACTTTTTTGTATTAAAATGTAAGTTCTTTTTAACAAGGTTAATTCTGACTTGGAATCTAATAATGCCCCTATAAATCTGCATGAAGGGCAAGTCCATATGCTAAGCTTATTGAGCTTAGTGGCAAATTAATATCCTTTAAAAGGAATGCTATGCTCCAGCATTAGTGCTAATGATATTGTGCTACTGCAAAGCAACACTTGCACAACGTAACTAGTACTTGCAAAGGCAATGTTTGCCACTGAATTTCAGCGGCAAGTCACTTTTCCCCACTGCCTTTGCAAGTGCTAGGCACCTTGCACTAGCATTGGTTTACACTAGAGTAAAGTTCTCATCACTAGTGCTAGGGCACAGATGGCAACTATTAGTTTTCATTCTTGTTGGCCATGGTCAGCAATGGTCTATAGCTCCAGAGCTGCAACTTCTACCCCATCATCGCAAAACATCAGAAATACAGCTATTCTAAGTTTACACATGGTGAAGAAAGCAAAACATTATATCCTTGATAAAATATTGCTGTCTTTCATACTGTAGAATTTGCCTTACTATCCTAAGGTAAGAAATTCAATATATTTTGATTATCCTAAGTCCAGCTCTAGCAATCCCACTACCACATAATGGGATGTACTTTTGCTTAGAGAAAAAAGACACTAAGGGAACAATCCTATGGTCTCTTGATGGTGGTGTCATTAAATGCTGCACGCTGCGTCACTATTGTCACAGTAGTTGTTGAGAAAAGCCTGCACTTTCTCTAGGGATAAAATATATGAAGGCAAGAAAGTAAGGTTACCCTCCTAGTACACATTCACACATTCATGGGAGCAAGTTCCATGGAACTCAGTGGGGCTTACTTGGAGCAGATGTGCACAGACTGCAGTGTAAGGAAGTGAACCTTGCAAGTTGCAGAATTATGATTACAAAAGGCGGGGGGGGAGGAACCTGAAACTGCCATAATAGTCAAAGATCCACTTTCTGGCAAGTATGCCAAGGGTAAATCTCTGTACTTTTGGGGCTTATCTGAATCTGTGAAGTGCTTTTTGAAAAGCAGCTGATTATGTTATATATAGATTAAGTTAACTGAAAATGAGCACATTTAACCTGCTTGGCCCTGTGCCCAAGAAGAATACCACCCAGAAGAAAATAAAACCAGAACTGCTCATGCAAATCCTTTCTTAATCCTTGCATAACATGGATTACACAGAATGTTTCTATATGCAACAGATTATTTTTAATTCAAGCTTCAACACAATTCTGTAGAAAGCTAAGATATACCTTGATCTACATGAATGAACTGGAGCAAGGGGCAGTTTGGATATGTAGGAATATTCACCTGGGAACAAATCTGAACAACATTTAATGAGGTTCAGAAGTAGCCATCCAGAAAGGGAGACCAAAAAAAGAAAAAAAATGAATTCTGAAGCTTTGCATTATTGACTTTTTATACATGATTTATCTTTCATACTTTTCATTTTCTTAATGAAGAACTGTGGCTGAGATATAGTAATTTGTTCCAAGTTGCTAAAAATGTCTGAATAGGAACTTTAGAACTCACACTGCTAGGCCAAAGTCTAGCACTTTATTTACTAAGTAATACTGACTTCTTTTAAGGTACTCTGTGCAGAACTCTCCCTGAACCTCTTCGTCAGAGAGGATCATGCAGAATCCTCACAACTGAAACTTAATAGCTATAGGACAAGACTCAGCTAGAGATATTGAAGGAAATCCTGTTCCATAAATCTCCTGGTGTTTTGTTCCCCTAACTGATTTTTAAAAATTGAAGTAGTTAATGACTTTGTCCAGACATCACAGTTTAGTATAATGAGAATAAGTCACAGCAAGCCCTAAGATCACACATACTCTGCTCTGGAACAACCTCATGGAAGAGTTTTGAAGCTTTTCATTCCATTTTAGATTAACCACAGCCTAGACAAAGTCTGCTTAGTCTTAACTCTGCATTGTTCAAATCCAAGCCACCTTTAAACCATAGCAGATGAAGCTAGTTTTCTTCACCTAATGGTAAGTTGTGGCTTACCACTGTTTGGGGTACAGTGGCACAGTAATTTGTGGTTAATCTAAAATGGGAACTTCTCCATGTAGCCGCATGGGAGGACAGCGGGAGAATCTGGGAAGAGGATCTTATTTTCCTAACACTAAACATTGATGCAACATTGTGCAGTTTCATGGAGAAGGAAGAACTGAGTTGGGGAAATAATGCAAGGGAAGTATTGTTTTCTACTGCATCATCTTTCCTATCTAAATCACATCCCAGTATGTTTTCTTCTGTGTGACCAATAAGAGTTGAGGGAATGCTGGATAGGAAAAATGGTAAAGGGTAGGTAAATTAATGCAATATCCCACCCCCAACTTTCCCAAACCAACTTTTCCCTGCATACAGAGAGAGAGAGAGAGAGATACCTCATGGGAGAGCTTATTCATGGATACCCCGTATTACCCTGGTTGATCCTGAGAGCTTGTTATGCAATTACACAAATAGATTTGATATTCCCCAACTACTAAGGGCAAGAAATACTTGATTAGCCATACTCTGAAATTCAGCACAGTTGAAGAACCACAGCAAGTATGTACACAACAGTTAACAATATAATGACAGAAAAAAGGAGGGGAAAACTAAGAACCTTTCCTGGTTCAGAAAACCTCATGGACAACTTTGCCTTCTGTGTTATGAAATAAACTTGAGTAGCAGGGATTTTGAATAGCTCAGGTGTAGAGAAAAGAGAGCTTCTGCTGTACAGAAGACATTCTCTCTTTCAGGGTATGAGAGCTGGTAGTTAGAAAATTACCTCAAAACTACTGCTCATGTCAAAGATCTTTATGTCTCCTATGTTAATAACTGCTTCTTCTAGAATTCACTGTACACAAATGAACCTACCTTGAATGTAGTGTAGCTCAGATGCACTGGTGATGCTCAGCAAATCTCCTCCTTGCCTCTGGCATGAGATATATGCTTCTTTCCAAGAAAGGGGACCCTGTGTATTTACCTGGTAGCAGCTTCCAGAATCTGCATCATGCTCCCATGTATTTTGACAACCATCCTCTGGTGAAAGCAAAAGAATAATTAAAACCTAAGTCCCATGCAGGCAGCACTGAGTGCCACAAGCACTCAGTAGATTTGTGTTTTGCCCTCAATAAAATGGCATTGACTTGAGAATGATACAGACATATAGTGTATGGACAGTAGTCCAAAGCAGTGCAGCAAACAAGAAGTCCATGTGCATCTGGACATGGACTCCCTACCCAGCATCCTCCTGTTCCATGCACATGTAAAACAAGTGGAGACTAAGAAAGGGGTACACAGTCATTTCTTGTGATGTCTGCTTGCATGTTCCAATGGTCAGGGTAACAAGTGGGCTTTCTGTCCCCAAATCCCACTAGTGAAAACCCAGGTGAAAATACATAGAATACAAGTGAATCACGTCCTACATCACAGCATTGATTCCTCATATGTTCTGCACCAACACTGGAACATTTTATTTATTTTAAGCATTTACAATCCTTATTATTTGGTTGGCTCCATAATTAAACAATTAAAATCCTCTTTCTAATTTATAACATAGAACACAAAAACAGAAGTACAGATATACAACACAAGAGCTTAATACAATTTCTGCCCATGAAGTGTAAAAATAAACAAGACACACTGAAGTAAAATAAATTTTTCAAGATGTTGTTTTATACAGGAATGCTACTTGCCTGGTTTTAAGCAGAAACCCCATTTTCTACCAGTATCAAAATTGGACGTTGTGGAACACCACAGACCATCCTCGAACATTCCATTGCGTATGCAGTCATGATGCCATGTCTTATTCATCAGGAAAGGGAACTCACACGGCTTTCCATTAGAATTCCCATCCCTTGTATAAATTACTACAGAGAAAAGGCCAGAGAAGTATTTAGCATGTAGAATATATATCAATCAACCAATACAGGTCATTTGGAAGTAAGAAATTAACAGCAACTTCAAGCCTTCAACGATGGGGTTTGTATAACTGTAGAACAACATGACATGGTGGGAAAGACCTCACCTTTTGTCCTTCTGTGTTATGCAGACATAGCTGGATTGCAAGAGATTGATCAATGGATCAATTGGACAGAATGGTTTTTGTGTTGTTTCCTCTGTATTCTGTGAGAAGCACAAATGTATATTCCAAAACCAAGGGACTAAGAATAGGGTTTTACGATAAATGGCATAGTGCTGAATCTATTACTAGGTGGGGTTCAAAATGCCCCCAGTGGGGTTCAACATAGGTTTTTCTGAGATGGAGTTTGTTGGAATGCTGATTATTACAATCCCAATGATTTACTGGATTTCTGTATTTCGTGGGCTGAATAGTTTTGTTTTTATCATTCTTGCTGGTTTATATCATAGAAATGTTATTGTCTCTGGTGGATACCTTGAAAGCTGCCTTGTGAGTTCATTTATCCTTAAAGGTGGCTTCTAAACATTTTAACTGAATTAATGTATTAAGAAGTAAGATTTGATCAAGCTAAAGATTACACCATACAGAATTCTTGAATGGTCCTCAAACTGGAATAAGCCGTGCTGAGTTGTCATAAAATTCCACATATATTTTCTGCAAAAATCCATTCAAGGAGAGCCTTTCTATACTTCACAAAACAAGTAAAACTGGCATGCCAGACAGTTTTGCATTCCTATGAAACTGGATTAGAACAAGTTGTTTATGGACTTGAAAAAGAGACTAACAATTTTCTTCAGCTTGACTGATCTCCCTTATCAATGCCAGTCGCTTTGAGTCCACCCAATCATGTTCCTGGCAAAACATATTTTCAGGTTTTAACTGGTATGATCTAACAGAGCTGCCAATGAATATAATGCTTCTGCAAAGGCATAATTACTCATAGTAGCAGCAGAAATTACTGGACCTGAAACTGATATGCCTTAGTCCTCATCTGGTATTGCAGTGCTCGACCTCTGCTATGATATGTCCCTTCAGGTATCTAGGTGGGAAGCATTATGGAGAAATTGCCACAAGCCTGGAAGCAGGCCTTCCTGAGAGGACGCATCCAAGCTAGAGTGAGTTAGGCAACCTATTCGGGCGCATTTAGCAATTTGAAAAGCTATTCTGGGCACCACCACAAAATGGGCACACTGGAGGAAACTATCAGCTCGCCATGATCTTCATTTCCTAGGAATGTCTCAGGGCCCCACATGCAGCCCCATGGAATTTATAGGAAACAAACATGGAAATAGCTAGAAGTTCTCTTTGCTTCGAAGCAATCCCAACTGCCAATAAGGAATTTTAATATAAATGATAAACTATAAGAAGAAGAACAGCAAAGGAGAAGTTGGAACCAAAACAGAAGTCTCTGGGAACACTGGTGGAACACTAAGCTATGGAAATCTTGGTAAACAAATTCTTCTTGCTTTCAAGGAAAAGGAAACTGATTTTAGGTTTGAAAACATTAATCACTCTCAAAGCACATTATCTTAATATTTTTAAGGGCAGTAATTCCAGGACTACACTGTTTATCTGATCTTCCTCCCTACAGCAGTTGTTTAGCTTTCAACACAGTTGTAATGCTAAATAATGTATTCTTTTGAAACAAGTGCTACCATATTGTTGATTGCATTACAGGTTTTGTAGTGGAAACATCAAGACATAACTGGGAAAAGAGTTCTAATGCAAGGAGGCTGTTTGTATGCCATTCACACATGGATATCATGTATTCAAAAACTGTATGCTGAAATACTTTTAGTAGGCTAACTCATAGATCACAAAAATTTTCAGGCTTTTGAGCCTCCACCATCAATCAGGTGGTACTATGTTATAAAAAGAAGTTACAAGATGTTATAAAAATCGGATTAGTAGGGGGTGTGGGATATAAAAGGCTCTCTGAATGTTGTCAGGATACCTATACAGCCAGAGTCATAAAATTATGTGAAGAGGGAGGGTTTGCAATCATTCAAATTCAGCTCTGCCAAGTGATGTGATAGCCTCAGGTTTCAGAGTGCCTGTGTCAACTCAGTGAAAGAATCCTCTGACGGTTGCTGATCAAACCAATTGTTGATTTGAAAATATAAAATCCAGCTGCTTGCCAAAAATCTTTACATCCTGGATGAACCAGGCAAGTTCTTCGGTTGGTGAAAATATATTTTTATATGTATTTTTTATTTGGCTTATATGTTCCTTCTCTGCAACAACAACAACAAATTTAAAAAGCAAAGCATTAAAATGTAATTCAGGCAACATATCCATTTAAAACTGAAACTGAAAAGCTGTCTTGCTGGTACAGATGGGAACTGATCACAAAGCATTTAAGTTTAAAGAGGGATGTCAGTCTAGCTGGTGAAAAGTTTCTCAAGAACATCAACTTCTCCAGTTGTTTCAGTCCAGTTCAACAGGAATACAAAATTAACAGTTTCATCTGCTTCAGTCAATTTGACTGTTTTTTTCCTTTGTCAAGCAAAGCAAGTCTGCATATCCTTCCATTGAGCTTTGCAGAAATTGTATGTGTAAGTGAATAGTAACTCAACATTATTATCCTAGTTCATACTTAAAAGAAACAACAACTTTACTTACTGTAGGTGTGTAATTAAAATAGGTCTATATGATAAACCTGACAGTCCCATCAGATTCCCACAGTGGGGCTCAAACAATTTTGCCTACATACAAATACTCTGGGGTAGTACAGGGAATGCGTCCTATTGCATGGCACAAGTCCATGAACACGTCTTTTGGGATTCTATTACAGTTGTTAATTTATAAATTAAGAATTTCTACATTAAATTAAGACACTGTACTGAGTTTTTAAAAGCACATTCCTGTTCATGGGCTTATTAGCTAACAGACACAATACAACCCTTCCCCCCCCCCGCAAAAAAAGAAAAGAATAGGAAAACAACAGCCAGAAAAGCACATTTTTGTATTAAGTTATAGTTACAGAAGAACAGAAAACTAAATATGCTTTGCAACATGGACTTCATCAACCAAGTTGCACAGCAGCAACAAGAGAGAAAGACACAGGCAGCCTTGATTTATTTGTTCAGACATGCTCAATGTTTTTCCCCAGTGAGAACCACAAATTCATAAAGAGTATGTCTTGTAAGATGTAGTATAACTACAGGCACTTTATGTGAGGCCGGTCATAGAGAATGCCTAGGTAAAATGGAATTGGCAAGACTCCATAACACCTGCATACTTCAAGGGTGCTAAATGCAGAAGTCTGGGGAAGGGGTCAGAAACTTTAATCATTATAGTATTCTCATTTCCAGTTGTTCTAGCTTTACATGGCAAGATTTACCTGGTTCCTTTCTTCTAGGACATGTATTGCTAGAAATAAAGCATGGCCTATAACAACAAAAGGATATATATTATGGTAGTAATTTAAAAATGGGACATGCTTGTTTATTTCTTCCATGCAGCATCTGTCATTCCCGAGGACCTATCCTCCTGTTTTGCAATCTACATCTTACAATACTGAAGTAACTTTCTTGAGTTCAGTGGGCTTATTCTAAGGTAAGTGAGTACAGGACTATAGCAGTAATTAACTTCTAATTAAAAGAACTACCACTGAGTCCTATTACCAGGAGCAATTCTTTAAAATGTGGAGCAGAGCACGGAGAGTTGTAGTCGGATCTGGGACACTTAACTTGAAATTCTAGATCAGCCACACATGACCTTGTGCAAGCCACATTTCCTCAGATTACAAGCTCCTCATCGGTAAACCTAATACAAGCTAACATGTGAAATGGAAATTCAACTTGTCAAAAAAGATGAGTTCAATCGAGTGAATCAACTATTCTTAAACACTGATGTTTTGAAGTTGTAACAATGCAAATTAACAGATTTAATGCATGTGCTTTGAAAAACTAACATTGGGTTGGATCCAAATTAGGTTATGCATGCTTTAGTACCATATAACAAATCAACAGGATTTGTCTTGGTCATGATAAAGTCATCATTTACTCTGGATCTGACTTATTCACTGGATTAACAAATCCTTTATTACATTTTTAGTCAGTCCTACCCGAAGATGTCCAGGGTGCTAAAGCAATCCAGTGGCTCATTATCTGGGAACCTAACCCATTTCATGCCTGAATGGCTGAACCTAGCTTATCCTAGTCCAACACCCCACACAGAACCCCTTGATTACTAGTTCCAGTTGGGTGATGCCTACAATTATACAAAGCACGCAGGGCTGCACCCAACTACTGCAGAATTAGACAGTGAGTTGCAGGACCACCTTTCCTGTGAATTAAGATGGCAAAGCAGCAAATTGTCCGCTCATCTCCCCACCAGTCCTGTCAGCAGAATCTGCCGCTACTGTGTTGCTCCCACCACAGTACAAGAAATCTCCAGGGACACCCTTGCCACAGTTACTGGCTCTGAGGAATAAGCCTTCAAGTCAGGCGTTTGGACGTGGCCGCCTTTCTGAAGAGCCATGCCAGGCACCTTTCTAGCCAATGTGGATCTTGGCCACTGTTCAGAGTATGCAGTAACAGAGGCAACTTGGGAGGTAGACAGCTGGGTGTGCAAGGGGATGGGGCAGGGAGCTTCACTAGGCAGCCTGGCAGACGGGAGGCAGGGAGCCTGACGCAGAAGGAAAAGAGGAGAGAGATGAAGAGGACTGAGAGTTTGCCCAGAACTTGTGAGCAGGTTTTGCTAGCAAATGGAGCCGGAATGAAATTAAGATGGTATGGTTCAAGAGGACTGATTCCTTTAACTAGTGGTGACATCACCTGAGCTGAGTTCTGCTCAGGACACTCGCAACTCTCTCCATGGAAAGGAATGGAAAGCAGATTCTCCATCCCCTTGCAGACCTCCGTACCATTTCTCTAACTATTCCAGAAGGTCCACCAATCCTCCAGAGCAGATTTTCAAGGGGGACGGAGGACTTCAGCTGGAGGGGACGTTGGCTAATATTGCCTCCTCTCCATCCCACTAGCAGAGATATTCTGCCAGATCAGAAGCCATCTCTGGAAGGAAGGAGGAGCCTTTTCATCCACAGGAGGCAAGCTTTAGATTCAACTGAAAAGCATTCCTGAAGTATTTTGCCTCAGTCGCGCAACAGATGGTTAGCTGACAGTATATGACCAGTGTGCCAAGTATTTCTCACGTTTTATGAAATTGCACTTGTATCTCAACGTATTTTGTTAATTCCTTATACAGCCTGTGGTGTGACACAGAATGGCACCTAGGTACTTGGGAATGCTCCTTGATTGTAGTTTGGAGGTACTCATTAATCCATCTTTGTCACTTGAAGCTCAGGAGACATTGGTGGCCTGGAATGCTTTCTACCAGCTCTGGCTGGCAGCCCATCTGTGCCTCTACCTGGACAGGGATAGCCTGACTTCTGTAATCTATGCTCTGGTAATCTCTAAATTAGTTTACTACAACACACTCTACATGGGGCTGTCCTTGAAGATGTTTCAGAAGCTGCAGCCGGTGCAGAATGTGGCAACCAGCTTAATAACCGGGACTTGGAGGCCCAAACACAGAAGACCAGTTCTGGCCCGCTTGCATTGGCTACCTGTATGAGGCCAGTACCAATGCAAGGTGCTAGTCCTAACTTATAATGCCTTACACAGCTTGGGACACAACCCCTGCTGGAGCACCTCTCCCAGCCCCAACTGCCCAGACACTACACTCCTCTGGGTTCTAATCCCTCAAGAGGCTCAGAGGGTGGCAACTGGGGAGGGGAGCCTTTTTGGTGGTGGCCCCCATCTTTGGAACAACCTCCCTGCCATGGCCAGCCTGGTGCCAAATTTGCCAACAGAGTCATTTTCTCCTGGCATCAGAAAGATTGTAAAGATGGCACCAGACAAGCTGCTCCCGGAAGGACGTTCCATAGATGGGGTGCAACTTAGAAGGCCCCTCTTCCATTTGCCATCCTCCTTATCTTGTTGGAGGATGGCTTCCTCAGAAGGGCCTCCTTGCCTTATTTTAGGGGCCAGGTAGGTACATATGGGAGCAGGCAGTCCTTCAGATATTCTGGTCCAAAGCTGTTTAGGGGCTTGGGTGTTAGAACAAGCACCTTATATTGGGTCAGAGCCAGTGCAAGTGATGCATTATCAGGGTAATATGGGCACATGGCCCTTATCCAGTCCATTATCAAGCACAGGCAGTGATTCAGGATGGAAATGCTTCACTTGGGTTAGATGAAAATGAGAAACCTCACTGAAGAAACCTCAGCCCCTACCTCCAAATTACCGAATAACATTTTATTGTTTATATACTTTGTTGTAAACCACCAAGAGAACTTCAGCTACGGGCGGTACAGACATGAAATTAATAATAGGGAACACTTGTGTAAGATTGCCACAGTTAGCAGAAGCAGCACCTGCAGAGAGAGGGGCTGCATTCTTTTATCCAGGTCTAGGTGATGAGAGCCCTGCCTGCCAGGAGCACTTGAAGCACTTGGCCTAGATGTCTTTTAAAGGTGGATGAGTAGCATACATGGCAAGAGAAGAACTACAACTTGCTGCAAAATTATTGATCTTTTTAAGAACAGGGAGGGGACAGAACATGTAAGAACTGTACAGCAGGGTTTTCTGTGCACTGAAACACATTATTGCCTAGTCAGTTTCCCAGCCAATGAGAAAAAAATTACATGGGTTTTAACCGGTATCTAAACCTGCTAGTATGCTGGCTATTTCGTGCTAACCCTTTTATTCTAATAGTGTGGTCCTATCCCTTTTTAGATAAGCAAACAAAACAAAACCCTACAACTCCCAGCATCCCCCAGATGCTGCGAGTAAAGTTGTCTAGGGAACGCTGAGAGTTGCTGAACCTTTTCCTTTTTAAACATACGTTAGGACTATACTTTAAATTATAAAACTTAGAACAAGCTATTGTTTTGAGTCATGAGAATAATTCACACTGAACCTTCAGTTCATGGATTCCCCTTCCTTTCTACTCCTCTGTGCATCAGAATAACAGATGGAATGCTTTCATGGTGCACCTGAGTTAGTTTCAATTTCCCACTGTGTTCAAACTTAGGGAAATTGTTTCCTGTAAACCATGGTTTAATAAAGTAATAAGATCTCAAATCATGAAAACGGGTACAGTTAGACTATCCACAGTTTCCTGAGTTGGGCCAGTACTACAATTTATTCAAGGCCAACAGAGAAACTTTCAGTGTCTTCACATGTGAGGAAGAGTCAAGTATCTGAGCCTGAAGTCCATTGCAGTGTATGCTTTCATAATGTCCAGACCAGGCCACCAATTACCTACTAGTCAATTCAGCATCCTTAAAAGTCAATGACCAAAACCAAACCAAACCACAAAACCTTGTAGGTCACTTTCAGACACCACACTAAGCCAGGTGCAAACAGTGTGATTCTGCAAGTTTTGTCTGACAGCCACTCACTCCGTAATGTTCACTGCTCTAGGAACAGCACCTACATTTACTAAATGAAACCCATGTTGAAATCCCATCTTTCTCCCAAAAAAACAAATGACACAAAGAAAATACATACCATGGTATGGAAGTTTACAAATAGAATCACTGGAATTGCTTCTTCTCCAGATATCGGAAGCGTCAATGCTTACAGACACAATTCCATTCTTTAAAGTCAATTTCTTCTCAGATTCTGTAAGTATTGCGGCATCAACACATCGCCACCACAGTGTAAGAAGGTCCGAGTCACAATCCACAATTTTCAAGGTATTCTGGGATTTGGTATCTAGTCCAAGGCACTTTTGGGATCCCAAATTAAAAAGGCGATGTTCGGAGACCCAGGCCCATAAGGTCTCTTTTGTCTCTCGACAGTCTCCTGCGGTTATCTCCCGGTTTTTAACTTTGATGCACGTGTTGGTTTTTTCATGGCGGATGGCAAAAGCATTATTATCTGCATAAGAAAGGCATATGCTTTAATATTTTTCTTTTGTGAGATGCAGTCAGGCAATATTATAAGGGTGCCATGTTACAGAATGCCCGCTAAAAGAACACCTCCCTAAAAGACTGTAGCACTTTCTATTTATTTACAGTGTTTGTAAATGCCACCTCATAAAAACATTCTAAATTTGGCTTACAATAACAAACATTAAAATGTAACCACAATTCAGTAAAAAAACACTACAGCAAATTAGCAATATTAAATGTTCAAATGTTAACTATTAAATATTCAGAACTCTAAAACAAAGCCTGATATCAAAAGGAACATCAGATGAGCCTGACTGGAGAAAGCGTTCAATAACTGGGATGCCACCCCAAAAACACCCTTTCCACGGAGGCCACTTGATGCATATTACTTGAGGGACACATGGAGAAGGACCTCTAAAGAAAGATGATTTTAGGACCTTTTAAGGTGCAGAAGGTGGGATCTTTAAAAGCCTTGTCTCAAATCATTAAGGATCTGAAAGTTGAAGGCTGCACTTTGAAGTGAGCTCCAGAACAGGCTGAGAGCGGGCACTCTGCATGACCTGGTGTACTATATTCAAGTTGTCCCATGCCATACAGCCTAGGCTGGACTAGCAAATTGCAGGACTGTCCCCAGGGACAAGCCCACAGATAACGTGTTGCAGGAACCCAAAGTGAGATGATTTATCTGTTTCGGTTCTATCTCACCCAATAGTTGACGCTTTCAGGTGGGTTTATAACAGTTCCTAGCAGGACCATAATCCTCCACCCAAAAATCTCTGCACCCTATACAATTATTTTCCCCATAATACAAAATGTAAAAAACAGTTTAAAAAAATGAAACAGTTAACAACTAAAGCTGTATTTAGTATGGAGCAGACATGTGAAAAAAATACACTGATACCCTGATCAAATCATTAGATCATTGCAGATATTTTTCAGTGTCTTGGAAGAGAGGGTTCTCTCAACTCTGTGCCAAAAGGATGACAAAGTTGGCACCAGGTGGGTCCAAGTAGAGAGATGATTCCACAGCAGTGGGGCTGCCACACCAAACGGCCCACTCCTTGTGCCCTCTGAGCCTTCCCTGGGGTTTGGATTTGAAGATAGGCCTCAGATATTAATTGTACTGTACTCGTCAATTGTGGATGGGAGATATACTCCATCAAATATTGCACATCCCAGCCATATAGGGTTTTATAGGTTAGAGCAAGCACCTGGAATCAGGTTTGGTTTAGGGGGAGTGAGACCTGTTTCTTTAGAGAGAGGTGGAATACCATTCACCAGGGCAGACAAATAACCCAAGAACAGTATTTCTGTCTTGCCTAGATGGAGCCTTAATTTATTAGACACAATCCAATTCACCAGAATGTAAATCTCAACACACTGATTTTGAAACCAGTAAATTTTACTGCTACATAGCAATGTAAGGTAAACCTGCTACTAAAGTTTGATCAAGGATAAAATGATCAATGTAATCCATCAAAGAAATGGACAAAGCATAGGAAATCTATTTTTCCTGTGAAATAGCATCCTTTCACTCTTTCTCAGAAATTTAGAATGATTAGGATTATTGTATTTGTACATATTTACATAATTTTCAGAACTTTTATATTTTCAAAAAGTCTTACCCAAAATCCTCACTTCAATTTAAAATTAAATGGAAATTTTTAAAATTTAGCATAAACTGGCAAGTTACCCTGTTCTATAAATCTGTCTTTCTAGAGCTTAAATTAATTTACACATAAAAACACTGCATGTTTACAAAAGCATTTCAGAGTATAGGTTACAGACTCTAAGGTAACTCCCATTCATCATGAACATATATATCTCAGTCCCAAACACCCATTTGGAATTGAAGTTAATATGATGCCCAAATCTGTGACTGTTATTATTGTTATTTATAAAATTGGTATGCCGTCCAATTACTTGCATCCCTGGACAACTTACAGCATAAATAAACTGACGACCCACTCTGGCTGCAAGTTAATAAAATACAACAATAAAGTTCAATATTAAAACATATTAAAATAACGTTTGAATAAAAAGGCCTTGGCCTGGCACCGAGAAACAAATAACGACAGCGCCAGGTGGACCTCTCTGGGGAGCACGTTCCGTAGGCGGGGCGCCACCACAGAGAAGGCCCTGCTCCGGGTGCTCTGCCTCTTAACATCTGTTAGAATGTTACCAACTTGCACAGAGAAAACTGCTCACAGATGACAACTTGCTTCTTATCTAACACATTCTATGGAAATGGACTAGCCCCACTATTTGAACATTAGCTCTCTTCTGTGGTGTGAAAAAGGAGTGTTTCTGTGTTGTACTCTTTGGTATTTTTTAAAGATTCTAGTGATAAATTAATGATGTTTATTGTCCTGCTAAAGGAAACTAGGAGTTTTCTTAAAACCTTCAAAAATAGCAAGTTAACAGTGACTTAAAATTTTTATTCAGATGTTTATTTGGCCGGAATGGTAACATTTTTTTCCTGGAAAAAAGCATGTTTGTGCCTTTGCAGCCCACTCATGGCACAGTCCCTGGAGCCATGCCTCTAGCAATTTGCTGGAAGAAAACAATTATGCTGTGTTTAATGCGCTGAACTGAAACACCCTATTCAACTTCCATTTGAGTATCATCCAATGCTAAAGCAGGTTGTTGAACATGCACATGAATAAATGGACTATCTCCCCCCACACACACACACACACACTGCCCACATAACTTTTCATAGATAATTCTGAGGGGGGTGGGTATAAGAATGGTCAGCATTCACTCCAGCTTGCCAGAAAGCCATGAGTTTTGAAAGCATTTACTGGCCTAGGGCTCAGTCGTTTCATTAAAAATGCAACAAAAACGGGGGGTGTTATATTTGGTGGTTCTTCCACTATGTTTATTTTTTCTTTTTTTTACTTGAGCAGTGTAAATACAGCTTCTGTTTTGCGTTGGTTTAAACATGTCACAAAACAGAATGTCTTTTTGAGACAGAATGTGATCACAATCTTACCCTTGACATTGTGTGTGGTATAATGGCTTGCTCCATAAATATTGAAGAAAAATGGAAAAATTACAAAGTTTAAAAAGATCTGAAGATTTACAATGAAGAAACTAATTGGCAGTACATGTTTTAAAAGACACTAATGTAAATGAAAACAAATATTGAAAGATTTCCTTTGGCAGATAAGGATTTCTTTACCCTTGTTAATCCTTGAAAATGATGTGAGAGAATTTCACTTGTAGTCCTACTCTACAAGTGAATCCTAAATCCTAAAGCAAGTGCATCCTAAATCCTTTGGATTCGGTCCCATGAAGTTTAACTTTACAAAAATATTTACCATTTACTGTGAGTCAAGAACTGGCTAAGTAACATCAACATTATTTGAACCATTCTAATGCAATATGCTAGATAAGTGCATGTAAAGTGCTAAACAAAGAGCTCAATAAAGAAAACGGAGGTCAGGAAAGGCTGTTAACCCAATTTGACATGCCCAAACTTTATTCTGCCAGTGGAAAATCAAGTGGTTATCTCAATCATGCCCCGTTTATAAGCCTTTCTGTCAATTTGTGAACTGGAGTGACAGTTAAAACTGAGAGGTGTAAAGCCAAGAACTCACCAGATAAACCTGAGTCATTTACCTCAACCATGAATATCAAGCGTTCATCTCATCTTTGCACACTATTTTGCAACATAGGGTCGATATAATGTGATAACAACTCACACAGGGTTGTTCCTAGTATCAGTAAGATGATCTACCTGGAGTGCATTGAACTGTCAGAAAATTGCTATATAAATCCAAAGTAATGTTACCATCTGGCTGGCTACTCCCTGAGATTAAAGGTGTTTCCAGACTAGGATTTCACTGTGCTAGGATTTACAAGGTATACAGATTTGTAGCCCTCCTGTGTTTCCTATGCTCCTTTTGTGGCAGTCTTTTGACCCCTCTGGAAGCACCCTAAATTTCTGCCAGCACTGGAGATAGGGCTGTGCTGTGCTGCAAGGCCACGTTCTTGCACCAATCTCTTATTCCTACTTCCCACCTTTTATGACCCAGTCACTTTAAAGGCTGGAGGAGACACATAAGAGCCATACACATAGCTGCCTAGCACTATGTTGTGTAACACAGCTTGCTGCTATGGCTGCTGTGCACACCCATGTCGCCAGCCCTTTCCCAGGAAAGATACCTGGGGCATATCTCCAGCGGAAGAGGGATCAGGGCTGCTGCCAGTGTTCACACCACTGGTGGAGAAAAGAGAAACTATACAAAGCAAAAGTGCTGTTAGACAGAATGTCCTTTCCAACTGTAACTGAATGCCACTCTAGTTCACAGGCAAATGCTCACCACAGATAAGAGTCTTTTTAAACCTGAGAATTGTTCATTATGTATCTTAGGACAGAGAAAGGACACACAGATGTGGGAACCAATTCTAACGAACACAGACGTGTCTGTGGGTAAGATTTATGAGTTGTATCTTCAAGCCTTGGGCTTTTTGGTTCTTTTGGTACCTAAGTGCAAGACCTATAAATATATCCCTCCCTTGGTTTCTTTCTCTCATCATTCTCCCTTTCCTACCAGGTTACACCTGTCCTACCAGGCTGCACTAGTCACTGCCTGCCAGAAAGAAACAAACAAGCAGTCATCCTCTTTCCTATCATGTAGCTAGGAGCTCTGAATACAACCTGTAAAGCATCTGGAAACTACAGTTACAGACCAAGAGGAGTCTGAACAAACCATGCAAATGAGCTCGAGCTACTGAGAGCTGCCCCTAAAAAACAAACTAGCTACAGCCCTACATATTTCTCCCCTCTTACAGGAAGAGTGCCTGGAAATTTTCAAAGGTTCCTAAATTGTAATGTGGAAGAAACTCATGAAAAATTTGAGCAACTTTCTCTGTTGTTGCCTTTGTGGAAGTGTGAGTCAGTTAAATGCTGGCTTGGCAAGTTTCTCTGAAGTCTTTTTACACTTGAATTTTGCAGACACTTTATTTAGCATTATTAAACCTATTAACTTCATCATTAAACTGCTGTTTAGTTCTACAACCACTAGTGGTTACCTATTATATCCAAGAACTAATTCTTACATAAAAAAGCTAATCCCTTGGGTTATGTCCACAAACAAGTTTCATTCATGACAGATCCAGGGCTTCACTGCTAGTTCAAAAGTAGAAAACAGCCTCCAGGAGCTAGGCTGCACAAGATTTTCCAAAACCTTTCTTTACCAGAGATGGTAAGTTTTGAACTGCAGGTACTCATCATCTTCATCTGAAACAGGAGCAAGTCTTTTGTAAAACTTTTGACTGAATAATCAAGACCAAGCCATCCTCAAACCCTTTGTACAAGGGAAAATCCATTCAGTCCCCTTTCCCTTCCCACCAGGAGGACTGCTGCCAAACTCGAAAGGAACAGGAAAGCCTGAAGCTAATCAAGACTCCTTTGCTTTCACTCTGCTGCCATGATTCCACCAAGACATAACTTCTTTACATCAGAAAGGGATCAGATGGTATGACTGCATTGTGGCTTATCCTGATCTGATTAATCAATATTCTAGCACTGTCAAAAACCTCATGTGGACACATCCTAACACTGCTGGCTATAATCTGTTTTTACCAGATATGCCCGTTTCCTAATGTTTGTTGGCTGCTTGCCCTTACTTGAAAAACAAAATACCTGCCTCCCTTTTCACCCAGTGTGCCCAAACAGCAGCTTCCTCAAAAGCTAGTTCTGTCCTGCAATTGCACAGGAGATGGAGGGGGAAAGGACAATTTCTAATAATGCAGGGAAGAGGTAACAATGTACCAACATTTTGGCACAACATTTGCTTTCATGGATTGGGCCCTGCTGTTCAGAAAAATGTGGGTATACTATGGCTTACAGACTAACCATTTATTATGGCATAACCTTTCGTGGGTACCACAACCCTTATTGCTAGTGACTTTTATCACAGCACTACAGGTAAAAATCAAGCAATGCACCAGCTGCCTGCACCATGGAAATATAGTTACCAGAGGGAGTTGAACCCCTGCCTGTTAGGCAAGTATCTTACAAAGCACATAGGCATTGTAGGATATGGGGGAAGCGTCAAGCCTGCTTGCAGGCAGCTTGTTTTTCCCTGAAGGGAAACAAAACAATCAGCAGGGCCCTCGCCTGTCACCACCCAGCTTTTCTCTTATAGCTCCAGTCCATTTCTGGAATTCCCCTGCTCCGCCCAAGGGCTGCGTTCCTTTCTTTATATTAAGTTCGATGGGAACTGGAAGCAGGCCAGTCCCTCGGCCTCTGAGTCATGCCGAGAAAGGGTTCTCTCGCAAGCGGCTCCTGGGAACGCGCAAGCAACTCCTGCAGCAACGCTTTATTCCATAGCTGCTGAAGCAAAAACGAAAGTCGACCCTTGGCTGCCCTGCCGACACGGTGTGAGCTCATGGGCAGAAAACGCCGCTGGGGCTTCTGCGCCACAGACACACCAGAAGCGCTTGGCCCAAGCGACGGGGTACTCTACACATGCTCTGCAGCTTAGCAGTACTTCGCAAGCTGGGCAAAGCCCTGTCACAGAGCTAAAAGCCCAGTCCAATCATGGCTCCAAACTTTGCTCTAGCCTGTCACCGAATACGCAAGTGAGCGAAAAAAGCCTGCGCCCCGTCCGTGCGCTCTGACGGAACGGCTGTTTGCTTTTGTTTGATCCGCCTAGATAAACATGTATTTTTCTAGGAATACATAATAATTCCACTCTCCGAGGGCCAGAGCTCCTTCGAGGGAAATTCCACTCGCCGTGGGGATCCCCGTTGCAGGCTAGGGGAAAGCGCTGGTCTCCCTGCAGGACTTCCCGCCCTCTGTCCCACGCCCGCTACTCGCCCCCCGCCGTAAGAGCTCGCCCCCTCCGCAGCAGCGCTTCCAGATGCATCGCTCCTGCCTCTGCTTCAACATCCCGAGGCACACAGCCACGCCGCAGGCTTCCAAGCCTCTCCACCGGCGAGGTTGCGCAGTCACTGGCCGGCACTCGTTCCCCCCCCCCCCCCCAGCTCCTCCTTCCCCCGCCGGGCTCGCGTCCCCGGGGGCTGGGGCGAGTCAGCCCGCGCCAGTGCGCGCACAGCTTGGGGTCCCGTCCCCAAGGCGAGCCCGTGGCCGAAGCCCCGCTCCCGTACCTGAAGAGGCCGCCGGGAGCGCGCAGAAGCCGCGGCAGCACAGGCTGCAGACCAGCAGAGCCACCCAGCAGGTGGAAAGGGAGCGCCGGCGCGTCCTCCTCATCCTCCAGGGAAAAGTTGCCGCGAGCAGAGCGGGCACGACGGCCGCGACGGAGCCGGTGCCTTTCCGGAAAGGCTGCCCCCGCCCGCCTCGGGCGCTCGCAGGCTCTTAGTTACGGTCCGCGTGTGAGCGCGCCGGTGCCGCCGACCACAGAGTGGTGTAGGCTTCGGGGCCAATCACGGGTTTTTCCGCCTCGCCCGGGTCTTGAGGAGCAAGTCGTCGGCAGGCGGCAGGCAGGCAGGCCGCAAACTGCCGGCATCAAAAAACGCTGGCGACGTTGCTAAATATATACCTATATATGTTTCTATTACGCCCTCGACTTCGCAGCGTCGTTTAGGCGAGAGCCCCGCCCTCGCGGCGGAGAAAAGGGATCGAAAGCGAAAGGCGCTTTGGCCCGGGAAGGCGCCCGCGGGAGAGGCGCTGCGCCCTCGCCACGCAAACTGCCCGCCGCGCGGAGAAGGGACTGCGAGCCATGCTGGATCGGACTGCGTTTAGCATTCCGTTTGCGCGGCGGGCAGCCCTCCGCTTGCGGGCGGTGCATGCAACAGCACCCGCGCCGCCTTCCCCAGCGACTGCTGTGCGTAGGCACACCGCCTCATGCTGGCGGTAGCGTGTCGTCGTCGGGACTCAGTTCCTGCTACAGACTCAAGAGTGCTGCACGGGAAACATTGGACATGATTGTGCATTATAGTTTAAACCTGGTGTCGTCGCAGTGCGATGTCTTGTGGTCGTTGCCCCTTGCTTTCACTCAAGGCTAGTCTTCCATGATCCGAGGCCGGCTAGATGCATTGGACTGCAACTCCCATCAAGTCCAGCGTGAATGTCCACCTAGCCCAACACTTCTGGACTGATAGAATTGCATCCTAGCGGTGTGAGTGGGGTTGGGGAGTTTTTATCTTCTCCGTGTGGATTCACAAACACTACTATACATAACTCAGTTAAATATAGCAGTTTAACTAGCAAGCGATAAGATTGAAAAATATTGTGTGTGTGTGTGTGTGTGTGAATATTTGATAAGCATTTTTTTTGCAAGTCTGGCACATTTTCTACCAATGGCAGAGCCTTTGCTTTGCTGCCTGATGCTTTCCAGCGGATGACATAATAGTTCCTCTTAACAGCTGTTTTGTGTTTATGTAAACAATCAGTGAATCGCCTGCACTCCACTCTCTGCATTCAGTTCCAAGACGTGCTTAGCCCCCTCTGGGACTCGGAGGCAAATGCCAAGCTGCCACAAAGCCTCAAGGAGCGCAAATGCTGCTAAAAGTGCAGGCTCGCTTGGCTATCAGATGCAGTATTGCCCATCACAGAGATAAGGATGCCTTGTAAAGAGAGACGTAGTTACGTGGAAGGCTACAGAAGAGCACAAGCACCGATGGCCTGTAGCTGTGCTCTGGTGGTGCTCAGAAGGTGCAGGGTTAACATCCATTCAGGCCCAGAGCACTGGAATAATATCTGTGCACTAGCTGCTGGGCTCATGCCTTGTTTTTCCACTGGTAAACGAGTAAGCAGGGTGTTGGAAAACAAACTGGGGAGACAGTGCAGCTGGCAAATCACAGGCTTAGTGTGATCACAACATGGTTCTTGTTAGTAATCTAAAAGCCACATTTTGTACTAACTCTACAGTTTCTGAACAGGCTTCAAGGATAGCACCAGATACAGTAGTCTAAACTGGGGGCTACCATCACATGGACAGCTGAGGGCATGTTCACTCAGTGAACTGAATAAAAAGCGAAAGTGATTTAATTCTATACCGACTTACCCCAGAGTAAGTCCCATTGTTAAGTCTGGCACCTATTTATGAGCAGACAGTTATAGGATTGTATTTCTTTGTAGAAATGCAAAAGTATCTTTACTTGGATAAAGCACTATTTCATTTTAATTAAAACGGGTTAGAGCTGGACTAAATTTCACTTTTTCCTTAGAGAAATCAACAGGATGTAAATTAAGCAGTGACCATCCTGAACCAGTGATTTCAGTGGACCTGAGTTCAGTTAATCTAGTCATTCCAATTCAATGCAATGGATCTTAACCTCCAAGCATTTTTAAATGCATCATAAGCAGCCTGGGAATATAATATTATGAATACAGTGGTTCTGATGTTTCTAAGATGGAAAAGAAGAAATCCAGTAATGAGATCTGTGTGCATAATAGGACAAAGATTACATTTTTTGTAGAGCTTATAATGTGATGTAAACCCAGAATGGCTATTTTCAGTGATATAAAATTAAATTAAGAGGAGCTGTAGATCAGAAGGTTTATTCACAATATATAGAGGAAAAAGCAGTTCTAATCCAAGGAATTTCATTCAAGTGCATGCATTTAGGTCTTCCATTAAAATAACCTTCCTGATTATAGTTAATTTAGATGAGAATATTCTAGTCAAGCAGTTAATTTAAATTGGGATCACAAATAAAACAGTAGGAAGATGTAACAAAGAACTTGACATAGATACCTGCTGCCATAACAAGACAACAGAAAGCATCTAACTGAATATCCTTTTTTATATTTTTGATTAGCCTTTGGTGAAAGGTTTCTGCAGCAGAATCTATTTTGTTGTTGTTATGTGGTATCAAGTTTTCTCTGACTTATGGCAACCCGATGAATGAAAGCCCTCCAAAATGCCCTGTCCATGCCAGCACGATCCAGCTTTCCCAAGTACAAGGCTGTGGCTTCTCTTATGGATTCAATCCATCTCATATTTGGACTTCCTTTCATCTTCTGTCTTTGACTTTCCCTAACATGGTGGCCTTCTCCAGGGAGCCTTGCCTTCTCATGATGTGTCCAAAGTATCACGGCCTCTGTTTTTGCTTCTAGAGAAAGCTCTGGCTTGATTTGATCTAGTATCTACTTGTTTGAGTTTCTGATGGTCCAGGGTATTTGCAAAGCTCTTCTCTAGCACCATGTTTCAAATTTCAATTTTCTTCCTGTCTGCTTTCTTCATAGCCTAGCTTTCATCGCCATGCATTGTGATTGGGAGCCATTGTGATCAAATGGTTTGAACGATCTTGACCTTGGTCTCTAGTGAAATGTCCTTACATTTGGTGACGTTTTCTGGTTCCTTCATTGCTGCCCTCCCAAGTCTCAGTCCTTTGAATGGCTACAGTCTGTATTTGAATTGATGACTGAGGCAACATATGTGAAATCACAATTTCAGTTTCTTTATTAATAGCACTAAAGTTCTGTCATTCTTCTGTGGACATGATATTTGTTTTCTTAATATTCACCTGCAGTGCTTTCTTTTACTTTAACAGGAGTTGTTCTAAGTCATTGCTGCTTTCTGCCAGTAGTAGATTGTCATCTGCATATTTTAAATTAGTGGTGTTTCTGCCACCAATTTTCACTCCTGCCTCTCATACGAACCAGTTTTCCTTATGATAGGTTCTACATACAGATTGATCAAATAGGGAGATAAAATGCATCTTTGTGTGACACCTTTGCCTAAGGGAAACCATTCTGTTTCTTCATATTCTGTCTTAACTATTACAGTGATCAACAAATATGGAAAACAAAACAATGACCCACAGACTGAAAACATTCAACAAATATATATTCCAATGCTCAAGAAGGGAAATGCAGAAGAAGGCCATTGTATTAATCTCCCATGCAAACAAAGTTATACTGAAAGTGTTGCAACAAAGAATAACACCGTATATGGAGTGAGAAATTTAGGGGTTTTGACAGGGAAAGAGACCTGACAGTGGGGGTATCTTATCGCCCTCCAGGTCAACTTGAGACCCTGGATGATGTCCTGACAGGCCAGATTCTAAGGATATCTCGGGGGAGAGTCACAGTAATTATGGGAGATTTCAATCTCCCGGATATTACTTGGGAGACTCACTCGGCAGTGACAGTCAGGTCTCGTTGCTTCCTAGGAGCTATAGAGGGAGGGTTTTTCACACAGTGGGTCCAAGAGGCGACAAGGGAGGGAAACATCCTTGACTTGGTCTTGACCAATAGGGAGGAACTGATAGATGAAGTAACTTATTTTATATTGTTAATTTATATTATTATAATTTATATTATTTTAATTGATTCATGTTGTGAGCCGCCCCGAGGCTTCGGCGAATGGGGCGGCATAGAAACTTTCTAAATAAATAAATAAAGTACAGATTAGGGGAGCTCTGGATGCGAGTGATCACTTCATCCTTTGCTTTGAGATCAGGGGACTGGGGACGTGCAGCAGGTCGAGCACTAGAAGCTGGGACTTCAAGAGGGCCAACTTTGGCCAACTGAAGGCCAGACTGGGGAAAGTCTCCTGGGATAGGTTACTGGAAGGTAAGCGAGTTGAGGAGGGGTGGATAGCACTCAAAAGGGAGGTTTTGGAGGCGCAAGCCTTGACGATACCTCTAGTCAGTAAGGTGGGGAGGTGGAGGAGAGTGCCGCCATGGATGCGAAAGGAGGTGGTTAGAGGGATTAGATGAAAGAGGAACCTCCGTAGGAAATGGGTACTGGGGAAAATAGACAAAAGGGTATACCGGGAGGAGGAAGCCCGTTGCAGAAGGATTCTTCGCAAGGCTAAGGCTGATTATGAGCTGTGACTTGCCACGAATATCAAGAGCAACAAAAAGGGCTTCTTTCAGCATGTAAATAGGAAGAGGAAGGGGAGACAAGTGGTGGGACCACTAAATAAGGAGGAAGGCGATCCAGTGACTGATATGAGGGAACAGGCACAGATGCTAAATGACTATTTTGCCTCTGTGTTCTCCCCAAAGCAGGATGGGGGATATCCGCATAGAGATTAGATGAGGGTGGGGACTTAGAGGCACAGATTAGAGTCACCCCCCTTGAAGTCGAGGGGCTCCTCAGGGCATTGGACATTACAAAGGTGCCAGGCCCTGACGGGTTACACCCAAGAGTACTTAGAGAGTTGGCAGGGGTTCTCTCACGCCCGCTGGCCTCCATTTTTGAGGCCTCGTGGAGAATGGGTGAAGTTCCAGAGGACTGGAGGATGGCGTCAGTGGTCCCAATTTTCAAAAGGGGTAGTAGAAAGGACATGGGGAATTATAGACCGGTTAGCCTTACGTCCATTGCAGGAAAAACAATGGAAAGGCTCATAATAGAGAGAGATCTAGTGATGCTAGATAGGGAAGGGAGGCTGACAGCCACACAACATGGCTTCTGCAAAAACAGGTCCTGCCAGACAAACCTTGTGGAATTCTATGACAAGGTTTCCAGATGGCTAGATGGAGGGGATGCAGTGGATGTAGTATACCTGGATTTCAGCAAGGCCTTTGACAAAGTGCCCCATGATATCCTGGTGGAGAAACAGGAGTTTTGGGATACACCAAAGCACTGTCCG